GCTAGTATCTGATTGCCCTCTACTAATACTTCTATTAATACCAAGAGCTAGTATCTGACTGCCTATAATCTCCCCCTCCTCCTTTAAATCCCTCCTCCTTTAAACCCCTCCTCCTTTAAATCCCTCTTCCTTTAAACCCTCTTTCTTTAAATCCCTCCTCCTTTAAACCCCTCCTCCTTCGATCCCTCTACTAATAATACCAAGAGCTAGTACCTGACTGCCATTTCCGGGTTACTTTTGTCCGGAACTCCTATACCATAAGTCTTTAATCTACTTGCTTCTTAGAAAGCTAAATTTTAGATCCCTCTTTTCTTTTTCCAATACCTCTTATACCTTTGGGCCCTTTAAGAGTACCCTCTCTCAAACTTCCAAAAAGAGGCTAACTTCTATTTAGATCCCCCCTTCCCTTCTCCGATATCTTCTCCCCTCCTTTAATACTTATAAAAGCCTTTGGGCCGCTACTAAGTACCTCTATTCTTTATCTTGAAATATATACTAACTTATTCTTATAGGAAATAGCCTTCCTTTCTTTAATCTCGATTTTTTTAATATATACTCCTTGCCTTTAGGCTATTTAGATATTTCCCCGTTTACTTTTACGAAATATATACTAACTTATTTTTTAGTTCCCCTTGCCTTACCTCTCCTTTAATATTACTATATATATGCCTAGTTAGTACTAGTTCTTATAACCTATAGTTAGGCTTTCTATTTATTAAATACCCGGGTATTTTATTTTACTTTTGCTTTATATATTTTGTTTTACGTAATTTACTTTTCTTTTATTATAGGTTAGGACTTAAATAGTATTTACCTTAAATACTTGTATTTTCGGGTATATAAGATTCCTATAGATCTTTCGGAATTATAAACCAGCCTATTTTGGTTCGGGGAAGCTTTCTCAAGAGTATTCTAGGAATTATAGTATTTATTATAACCCCTTCTAAAGATTAATATAATATAAGTAATTCTGGTTTATTCTCTCTCTATAAAGCAAACCGCTATCCTAAGTCTATATAAAAGTCCCGATTATCTCTCGAGTTAAAGTATAGGTACTCCTTATTCCTATTAAATTAGGTATAAAGAATAGCAGGCGCCTTTGAGCTAGACTATAGTACTAGTTAAGTACTAAGACTCCCTATACTTATCTTATAAACTTATAGCTTGAGATATATTATATTTAATAGGGCTTCTATATCTAATTACTTTATACTATAGTAAAATGTCTTGGTATTATAGTTAGAAGAGTTCTGCTTTATAATCTTATCTACTACTTATTTATTTTCTAGCTAATAAGTCTTGGCTAATAGCTAAGAAACTTATTAGCTACTTTATCTAAAGCCTCTGGAAGCGGGAAGTTGCCCTAATAAAGACTTAGTATTAAAAATGGGTTTAACTAATTAATCCAAATAAGGAGTTTATAGCAGGAGTCTTTATATATAGGTAATTTCATATAACGAACTCAAGTCCCTGTCCCTGGTTATATAAGTCGTAATATATAATAAACTCAAAATTTTCTGGCCTATTAGAGCTTGGGTTATTTTTAGAAGAATTAGTAAGCTTTTCTAGATAGACTTATTAAGGCCTTGGTTTTTAAAGGTATTAGTCTAGCCTTCTTACTTCTCCCTTAAGTAATAGTTCAGCTCTCAGGAATTATATATAAATATTGACGGAATAAATAAGGAGACGTACTATATATACTTTCTAGATAGATTGGGATAGAACCTATAGAATTCCCGTAATATTTATATTAAATCTATAGTACTAGCTAGTAAAGACTTTAATAACCTTAATAAGACTTGAATTATAAGCCCGGCTCTCAGATTTCCTGCTTAACTTAAAAATTAAATAATCTATAACAAGTTGCCTATTATAAAACGTATTATACTCTTTTCCCAAAGAGTACCGGATACTAGTAATAGTCCGGAAGCCCCAAAGCCCTTGAGACTTTTCGTGAGTTTCGGGCTTTAGGGCTTTTTTATAGCTAGCTAATTATATAGAGTTATATAACTATACGGGTCTACTACTAAATTAAAGCAATTAGTATTCTTATATATAAATATAGTATAGTTCTTAGTATAGCTAGCTTTATTTATAATATATTTATATATAAATGCCTATAATTTAATAATATAAATATAATATTTTCTTTAAATAAAGATAAAATCTTTATTTTAAAGATAATCGGAGCTATTACTTTACTAAAATATAAGGGCAAAATATAATAGATACCTACTATATCTTCTTACTATAGTTTGGAGTAGATTTACTAGTACTTATATAATGGCTGGTATAATAGTATAATCTGCCAGGAATAGGGAATCGGAAACAGGTATAAAATGAAGTTAAGCCGGAATATTTGGATAAGAGAATACTAAAAGATTAAGGTAATCCTTCCTTTTTTGCTTTCTAGCTTAGTATTTTCAATATATGAAATTTATTAAACTTTAAGCCTTTAACTATTATATTAATCCCGCTATTATAACTGGGATCTGTTACCCTTTTACTAAAATATAGGGGCAAAATATAATAGATACCTACTATATCTTCCTATTATAGTTTGAAATAAGAATAAAAGAAGTACTAGGATTTGCTATTCCTTTACTAAACTATAAGAGTAAAATATAGTAGATACCTACTATATTTTCCTACTATAGTTTGAAGTAAGGATAAAAGTACTAGGATTTGCTATTTCTTTACTAAACTATAGGGGCAAAATATAGTAAAAACCTACTATATCTTCTTACTATAGTTTGGAGTAGAGATAAAAGAAGTAAGTTTTATTCCAGAGATTTGCCGGGTTAGTAAGGATTTATATATTTAATAGAATTAGATCCGGTCTATAATTAATTCTTTTTAGTATATAGTTATATTAAAATATAAAGCAAATTATTATATTAATTAAACTATCTTATATACCTCCTTGAAATTTACAAATATCCCTTTACTATATTTCCCCTTATTATTAAGGAATAGATATACCAAAGAGTGGCCTGAAATTCGCAAGTATAAACGTATCTATAGCTGCCTTTAGTATACTTCTATTACTGCCATATTTATTCTCCTGTCTCAAGATTATCCTAACCTTAGTATAGAACCAATACTCGTAGTTTAGTAAATCTCTCTAATAATACTGAAACCCTTGGACTAAGGCATTTATTATACTCAATTACTGCTCTAATTCCCTTATATAATAATCCAAGTAGCTAATGCTCCAAGGGGGTTCTAATACGGGTTCCTAATTCTCTCGGTTATAAATATCCTCGACGGTAACCGTTCCACTACGAGTGGCCGCCTAATACAGAGTATTAAGGCAAGGAGCTGGATTCTAGTAATGGAGTGGATTTTGCTAAGAACTTAAAAAAGGTTATTAAGGGCCGGATATTAAGGGAGAAAAGCTATTATAGAGAGAATTCCGAGGTATTAGGGGGTATCTAGAAGAACTAGGGGGTCGTTGGCTGGGAAGGCTCGACAGCGGCCTAGTATATAGTAGGCGGGATATAAAATCAAGTAATATATTACCTAATCTATTAGAAGCTATAGAACTTTCCAAATCCGTATCTATATAGAAGTCAGGTATTCTATTATTAGATAGAGAGACTGATCCTTTTTTTCTCGGAACCAAGGGCGAACCTGTAATAGGACCGGGTTATTATTAAATATCCTGAAGCGAGGAAATAAAGGGATCCGTATCTTGTAGCTAAAACTGAGGTTATTGGGAAAAAGGCAGAGGTTAAGACCCTGATCTGGGCAAGCGAGGAGGAGGGCAAATCGGGGTAACCGTAGCAGGTACTAGTAGTATAGGAAGAGGCTGAGAAAGAGGGCCAGGATTAAGTGGATTGATAATAGTGGCTCTGTACCGGAAAGCAGGTGAGTTGGAGTATATGTAGTTGGTGTACTTGTCAAAGAGAGGAATGTTATTACTATTGCGAATAGGGCAGAGGATAGTATTAGTAAAGTGCTCGACCCGATAGGCAATATGACGAGTATATCCTTGAGCTCGAATACTATGAGTATAAGCCAGAATTGCCAGCTACTACCAGATTTGCGGTGGCTGGGGGCTCAAGCCAATATAGTCTGCAGGAACTTGAACTTGATCCCAAAGTAAAGCTTGGCTAAAGCTGAGATTAGTATTAATTTGAGGAATTATCCTCAAATGAATATGCTTGCTAGTTATTACTATTTTGACTTATTAATGCTTATATTAAGGGTAAAGTAGTATTTAAAGGTATAAAAGCAGGAAAGGTTAAGGCAGGGCGAGGAGGTTCTTTTATATTTATAGAGCAGGTATATAAGATATTTAAATTCGCTTATTTACTCGTATAATTTATACTCGATATACTAAATTTTGGGAATATGAATAGAGGGAATATATTCGGAACCTGTTATAAATCATTATATTACTTCAGACGAACTAATTTGGGAAGGTACTCCTGCTCCTTAATATATATATCCCGAGATGAAAATATAGTACCTCCGTTTACTATATTTTGAGCCTATAGCAGACGAAGGCACTATATTTTACGTACTACTAGTTCCACACTTCGAAGGTAATAAAGGGGCATTATATGGTAAATCGCTATATCGAATAGCTTAAAAGGCTCTTAATTATCGGTCAAATATCGGAGGTTATACTTGCTGGCTGACGTCGCAATTCGATTACAAATTAGAGAGCAGTCTATTATATTAAAATAAGGACTTTCTGGCAACTTACTCCAGTCGTAAAGTCACGGGGTCTGGGGTAAGCAGGGTCAATGATTTAAAACAATTAAAACCTAATACCTCTGATTCTGCCAGTGGTTAAGAGGAAATATGCATTGCCACAAGCCTATAAGATCCTAATTTTTTTTAGACTAATTGCGATGCAACCAAATTTGTCTGGAAACGACGACGACGACGCCATTCAGAGAATGCGATACACGCATTAGTATACCAATATATATTAATCTACACACATTGGTATATACAAAGCAATATCTACAGGCACCTGCCACCGCCTGCTGATTTCGGTTAGTGCGCCCCCCATCGACACCCCCAATCGACACCGGGGGGGGGGTCGTTTTACTTTTTCCCGTTTGATTAAGCGACAGATCGACCAAATGGAATTCCATTCTACGGTGTCGGTACGGTTGAAGGCGATGAACCCAAATCTCGCGGCGATCTTCCCCTGCCAAAATATGGACTATGCTCACCATGCTCCCCGTGCTCCCCACGCCTTCTCCTAAAAAAGAACCAGAGTAATGCAGAACCTGCCAAAGCCACTGCAGCCACCGAACCGACACCAACACCCGCATCCGCTCCTTTGCTAAGACCGGACGGACGGCTCTTGACTGGGTAGTTCATTGCATAGACGACGTTAATGACGGTGCTAGTGACTGTCTCCGGACCTACCGAAGATCCAATGTTTGTGGTCGAAGATACGGGAATAGGCGGGGGTGTTAAATAATTAGATGTGGTGCTATAGCACGGTGTGATTCCTCCGAGAAGGGTGTCCCAGAGTAAGTATCCCCTAACACCAGTCATGAGAGGTTTGTCGTCTCTAGTGATACTTGGTTTCAAACTTACGAAGGGCAGCAGAAGGAGGATGAGATGGTTTGGTAGTCGGCCGGGCAGTCCGGCAGGGTAATTTGATCAGTTGCGCTTGCAGAAGGAAAATCGAATTTAGTTGTGGGAGGGCCAGCTCCAGCGGCTGTTGCTGTTGCTGTAACGGTTGTGGTTGTACTAATCACTTGAAATGGGCAACAATCGTTTTTATCCCCCATACATCCCACTACTCCAATATAAAACACTGATGTAGTTTGAGCTCCATTGACAAGAGAAAATTCGGGAGTGACACAGTACCCAACAAGGAGAGGTCCCGTCCCGCCCCATTTTGGAATTGATGAGTGGGTTGTGGATGATATTGTAGATGTGATAAATTTTGGAGTACTGCCTGAAGTCACGCTGACTATTCCAATTGAAGACTGTGTAGAGGCTGTTGATGTTATGCTCTTCGGAAAGGTTGATAAAATGGAGGTAGTCGTTGGAGAGGTTGATAAAATGGAGGTAGTTGTTGGAGAGGTTGATAAAATGGAAGTAGTCGTTGGAGGGGGCGGTGGGGTGATAGAACTCGGCGAGGATGTTGGGGTGGGGCTCGGTGGGAGTGTTGAGGTAGGAGGGGTGTACGAGGACGTTGGGATTGCAGAGCTTAGCGACGTTGTTAGACAATAATAGTTGTCCTCTGGGCAGTCATTGAAACCAGTGCAGCATTGTTCATTGCCTAAAGGCATCTCTTTGTTAGCGGTGATCATTCTTTACACAAATACAGGGTTTAATTGATTCATACTTTGACATGCTGCAGCAATCAATAGTAAGATGATCCAGTACATCGTTAGGGTTTGTGGGTACATGCGGTGGCCTGTATTACTGACTAAGGGCGAGGCCAGGGTGGAAGAGAAGCTATATATATGGCAGCTCCTGTTGGTCTTGATACCACTTCTTTAAGCCATTGGTCTGGGTCAAGTGCGGGATATGCCGCCTTTCTCGGTCTCAGCTCTCCTCCCACCAACTAGCTGTGCGGACGGATTTGGGGGGGGAGGAATATTAGGGCAGACACCACAACCGAGTACAGAATGAAGGGTCAGGCTGCATCAATGGCAAGACCAAAATTTACATATCAAAAGAGTGCAGGTGTGGCAGGAAACGGGCCCGGCAGCAGTGGCAGCCGGAACTAATTGGTCACCTTATCGTGGGTTCCCAAGCCACTTGAGCGGCCCGCTCGAAGAGACAGACCCTAGACTCAAGCGTAAGACCATTACTGTAGCACAGCATATGCTCCTTGAGTATTTTCGACCAAGGAGCTTGCAGGCTGCATTCTGGGCTTGCAACACGGGATCAAAGCCCAACGCCCCGCTCGAGGCTGCCAAGTGCACGAAGCCGATCTTGGGATCATACAAAGATTTCTCGTGTGACCATTGAGCTGCACACACTACTTGCAAGGGCCTGCCACGTGGCAGGCATAGAAAGGTGAGAAAAGCTAATCGTTTTCTATAGATAAAGGGCGGCAATAGAGGAAGATAAAAGAGATATCCCGTGATCTTGCGATTTTACCAAAGTCCCTCGCCGCCTAAAATTAGTCAGCACCGACCCCTCATCGGCCCAGAAGGCGGGGACGGTTCGTTTCCTTACGGAAAGCCGTAAGGATCAATCGTCCAAGCAAGCTTTCGACTTTCGACTTTCAACTTACGACTCGGCACGTGATCACCCTACCAAAAGTTGCCCATAATTAAAATACCTCATTCTGCATATATAACTATACTTAATTCGCGTCTCTTTATTACTATTTATTATAAGACTTTTATATATAATTAAATTATTTTTATATTATTATTTATATAAAAGAATAGAATTATATTAAATTAAAGAATTAGTTATAAAAATGTATTTAAAATAACTAGTTAATAAAAGATATATTTAAAACTAATAATAATAAATAAGAATATATTATAAAATAACTTTATATAAATTTATACTTAAAATAAAAACAAATAATATATATTAATTCTTTAATATAAAAGAAGTTTTTTATTATATTTATATTTCTTTTTACTTCTATTTTTAATTTAATTTTTTTAAATTACTTTTATTTAAAACTTTATATATTATATTATTTTCTTTTTTTAATCTTAAATAAATTTATTTTAAAGAAAAGCTTTTTACTTTTATTTTTCTAAAACTAATAAAAGAAATAATAATAATAATAATAATAATTACAAATAGCTTTATTTTAGTTATCTTTTTATAAGTCATATATATATAATGAGATGTTTTGATTATAAGCAAATTTTTGGTAGGGTAATCATGTGCTAAGTCGTAAGTCAAAAGTCGAAAGTCGAAAAGCTCGCTTGAACGATTGATCCTTACGGCTTTCCGTCGTTCCCTGAACCCCCGCCTACCATGATAGCTTGCGACTGCCAAGCCCAACCTCCCCCAAATATTGCGCCGAAAAGCTTACCTGTTCCACAATCTTGAATATCTAGTTCTACATTAAGGTGGGGTTGAGAACATTCAACGTTGCTCTTTCAATGTGCTAATCCTTTCAGATGCTGAAACCACCCTTCTCTCGAACCATCATTCACCCGCCATTTTCGAATCCGCTGCGTCTCAACGAACCTGCATCTGATGGCCCAGCCATTTCACCCACGACTTCGATCCGCTATACTCTCCCTGCCACTATCCGACATAGAAATACCCTCGCGAGAATCAAAGACGATCCAGATAAATACTATATAACTGAGCTGCGGACGTCACGCCTTGATGAGATCAGGTCATATCTGTGGCTAGCGGGCGTGCCTAATTGTGGGAGACCTTTGCATCGACAACAGCTATTGGGCCGCGAGATTATTATTACTGAGGACCCAAACGAACATCTTGTTTGGCACCAGATACGAATATTTATAAAACCACTCCCAATATTCCTACTTGATCTCGACTGCTGGACCCGGAAGATTTGCAAAAGCAAGCAACTGCACGAACCTGCTTGTGGTCTTTTGCTCTCGTACGCATGGCTTGTCAGATACGAGAGCGACCTCCGAATTGCACATGAGAAGGGGTTGCTGCCGGATTTTATCCACCTGGCGACTTGGACAGAGTTCATTAGTGAATTCCTCGAGCACATCGACTTGCAGTCTTTAAGCGGTGTCTCGCCCAGATATCAATACGGGGAGTTGCGACTATCGAGGTTAAATAAAATATATTATATAACACGTTTTACTTGGAGGGATTCCGTTCGAGGATATATGACTACTTCGACATGGTACCAGGACTTCTTTGCTCGCAATTTTGCATGGCTTTTAGCAGTCTTCGCGTTTATGTCTTTGGGTCTATCTGCGATGCAGGTTGTTCTCGCTAGTACAAGAAACAACTGGGCATTTGAGAACGCATCCTATGGCTTCTCTATTGCTGCTCTATTCCTGGCAGCTGGAACTGTGTCGGTAGTGCTGCTTATCTGGGCAATTCTGTTTGTATATCATCTTCTTAGTGCTCAGATAAATAATCGACAGGTTATGCAAGAGAGGAAGCGCTTTGCAGATTCTCGAAAAGAACCCTAGATTTAGAAATATATTCTTGCTTAGTATATATACTTTAGAAACTTAAGATCCGGCATATGAGTCACGCCCGCCATCTACATCTACTGATAACTTCAAGATCCTCCGTTGAAATAATTCAGCTGGCGCATGAAGAGGCAGCAGCAATCTTCACCAAAGTGCTCACCAAAGATGAGCAGAAGCGAGTTTGGTGTGGCAATCATCTATCGATGAGAGATGTATTAGATGCCGTCAATACTTCGAAGAAAGCCTATGGGTCGAAACCAAATTCAAAGGCAAGGAAATGGCTCTCCATCCTCTCTTCCAGAGTCATCCACTATGGCGATATTATGGATGTCCTGGTTCAACATCATCCGGAGTATGTGTCACTCGCTTGGGGAGCGATGAAGTTCTTATTTTTTGTAAGTTCCATCAAGACTTCAGGAAGCCGAAACACGAGACAAATTACTTACTGCTGATTATACTAGGCTATAACGAACCATGAGGAATTGACCAAACAAATCGCAAAGGCATTCTGTCGCATAGCCGAGGTTCTCCCTCGAACAGAGCTCGTTCTGATCTTGTAACCAACAACTCCCATGCGAGACGCTGTCGCATATCTATACGCGCAAATTATCAAGTTCATACAAAAAGATGTGACTTGGTATAAGATGGGTGCGCTAGCCCATGCGTGGGGGTCAATTGTAAGACCATGAGCATTGAACTTTCAAGGTAATGTCGAGGATATCAAAGTCCTCTCTCAGCGCGTTGATGAACGCGCAACACAGCAGAGAAAACCGAGCTCCGAGATGTGAACCGAGAGATCTTGGAGATGCGCGGAGAAATGCAACTAGCCCATGGTCAGATTGAGAGTCTTCGAAAGTTGTTTGGGAATAAGGTTGAAGAAATCTTGTAGATCGTGACTGGTATTTATATCGCGCCAAACCTGAGATTGGAGCTTGAGCTAATAGTTAATAAACGAAACTCGAACACTGCAACAAGGCATGCATCTCGGTCTCAGCGACCAAACAGAAATGAACCACAACATCGAACTCACAGAAATCCTTTCCTTGAGCTTCATGTGCAACCTCCCCACCTCAGGTGAAAGGCTAGGCTACTGTCAGTCCGTCCGCGCCCGAGATTCAGTGCACTTATCGCCTCCCAGAACTCTCAACCCTCGAAAAATGGTCATCAGAACCTAGGAGCTCAATGCTGTTAACCCAAAACAGCCCAGCACAGACAGCGGAAAACTTCTTGGTCGACTTCATTGTATTGATTCAGCAGAACAGGTACCCAAGAATCTGAGCCTTGCGATTCCCAAACTTTTGGGATAAGATTCCCACGTACAGGGATATACTAAGAATGTTAGTCATTCAGGCTATACAGATGAACCCCTCTGCCATATCGGGTCCTACACCCATCACAGCCGTTCACCTGCGAGAAGCAAACAATGAAGCCGACTTGCTCAGTATCCTCAAACGAGCACTCACCGGAATCGCTCAAGTATACATCGTTATCGATGCCGATCTCTTATCTTTAGCTTCTGAGAATAGCACATATCGTGCGACGAGAATGATTGAGAAGTTTCCTGAGATTCTGACTGGGGTGAATGTTAAGATTGTGGTTTCGATGGCGAATATCGATCAAGAATATGCAACCAAGAATTGGGATCCGAAAGCTTGGTCAAGGCTTCAGACTGGGACTGCTAGGAGAGGGGGTTTTAACACACGTCGGAAGGCGAGACGACAGCGTAAGATAAGATCGAGGGTAAATCGTCCGGGAGCTTTTTATTAGAGGAGAGTTTCTTTAAATGCGACTTACTATTTACTGATTTTCCGACCACGGCAACCGGCCTGCCGTGACTGGTCAAATGGAGACTACGCGACTATCTGATCTAAATTGTAATACCCTAAGGTACGGTACTACAAGCTAAGCTATACCGGAATTCACTATAATAAATCGGAGTACTAGGAGCTGTATTCGTTTAGGTTATTGTCTTGCACGAGGCTAAGGCTAAATAGCTAGAGTCACGTGCAATAATGCCAGAGCTAAAAGTATTAAAATTAGGGGCCTGAGGCCCCTAATAAGTTAAGCCCTAGAGCTAAATATCTTAAAGTTAAATCCCTAAAGTAAAAAGCCTTAGAGGCTAAATCTTATAAGGCTATATATTAATAAAGCTTAAAATATAAATTTATTATTTAATATATTATATTTTATAAAATTAATTAATATAATTAATATAAAAGAAAAAGGTTATTATATTAAGAATATAGAAAAAACTTAATATATTAAAATTTATAAAAAAAATTATTTTAATTTTAATAGTCGGTCTCTCTTCTCTATTCGCTTTACTTATAAAGCGAACAGAGAAGGGAGACCGACTATTATATCTTATAATTATAAAAGATATTATTTATAAATAATAAATAATATATTTTTAAACTCGAGTTATTAAATTAATTAAATTATAAAATATAGTTTTATAAATTATTAAATTAAATAAATATATATATATATTATTAATATTTATAATATTTAATATATTTATTAAAATAAAAAATTAAAATAATAAAGTTATAAAAAAGCTTAATAATAAAAATAAATTTATTATATTATATTATTTAATTACTTTTTAATAAAAATATTATTAAAGTTATTCTTATAATTTAAAATATTTAAAATATAAAAAACAGAAAATATTAAAATATTAAGAAGAAAATTGAAGTTTTAATAAATAAATATTTTATTATTATTATATTAAATTAATTATAAAAATATTAAAAATCATTCGAGAAATTATTAATAAATAATAGTTTAGAAAAAAAATTAAAAAAGGCCCGAGAGCAAATTCGCGATATTTAAATAAATTAATTTAGATTATTTTTAAGAGAAGCCAAAGTTTGATAAAGTATTAAATTTATTTGCTAATTAAATAATAAGAATAAGAAATAGAACCTTTATATAATATAATAATAAATAAAGATTATAAAAGCAAGTAATTCTCTTATAAAGTATAAAATGTAATATAGCAAGTATTCTAGTTATTAATTAAGGCTTCTTAATTCTTTTTACTAAAAAAAACTTCTGAAAAGATATTTTAATAAAGTATTAAAAATGAAGTTCTTGGCCCTTAATATACTTCTTGCTACTATATGTGCGATTCCAATTCCTGGAGCAATAGCCCTAGTAAAAGAGCGACAAGTAAGTATATAACTTCAAACTTGTACTTAGCGAAGTAGTTATACTCCTGAAGTAAAGTACTAACGCGTATTTTGAACTATTAAGTGTCAAACGAGCTACTCATATGAATGTAAGGGGCATACCTGGCAACCTTGTGACGGGTTCTGCGAGTGTGTAAGTGCATGGCTTTTGTAACTATTAGTATTAGTTATAGAGGTACTAATGTACTATCTTTGAACTTGCAGAATGAGGTTACTTGGTGTGCCGCAGATGGGACTGCTTATTGCGGAGGTTTCGGCCAAGATCAATGCCCTTGTACCTATAAGGTAAGTCGATAACAATTTTTAATAACTATTTACTTAGTACTAATGTGTATCTTTAAACTTATAGTGCAATATTAATATGGCAGGTGGAACAACTTGCAATGTTAGTAGATAATCCTTCTAGTATAGAGATTTCAGGTACTAATAGGTATTTTAAAATTTATAGGAATGCTGTGGGCTGTAAGGTATCTGACTCTATTTCTACTTGGGCGGATTAGTCTAGTAGACTAAGTTTTGGGGGTGGCCAGATTGCGTATTCGTGCTGACAATAGTGGTGATTAAATGGGGGCTCGGGACACAATTTCTTAGTTTTTAAAATCAAAATCTATATATAGAGTTAGCAAAATATCTGTTGCTTAAATCGGACATAACAATAATGTATGTTCGTGACCTAACTGTCTCATTAACAGATTAGAAAGTGACTTGATGTTCAGTTTGAGAACGCTGCATAAATCCGTCCTACGGTGTGTATGTCATATATCCGCCTTGACATTCGAATTGCAGAGGCATGCTGAACAATTATCCTGCATTTAGTTGTGCCAGTTCTTGTCCCAAAAGAGTCCTATTCAATTCAGAGAGCTTCCAAGGCTAACCGGAAAGCTCTGCTTGAAAGTTTCCAAATCTTATAACGAGGTCAGGCTATTATTGCTTAAGTTTGTAATTGTCGTCCCAGTTTGCATGGTGGATCAAGCTTTCGTTCTGGTTCGACGATGTCTTCAGTATCCAAACCTAAGCTTTGCGTATACTTGATCGGGTCGGTTGCTATCGGGTCACTCTGGTCCATCGCAGTCATGCCCCCAGCGAAGTCAGGGTGGTCGTAATCCGCCCACCCTCGGCGCCGAATTTTACGGAAGAAAGAGGGTACAGGGCCACGGTGATACCCATAGCGGGCATCGAGATGCCTGTAGAGCCATTTAAAGGCGGATAAAGGTGAGTCTTCCGAATATTGACTCGAGTATCGAAAGTCATGGAAAATTACTCCAAAATAGGTTTTCAGTAACAGTAATAAACCTTGAGAGAAATTTCAGTTTGATCGAATGCAATGGATCCCCGACCGGAGCGTTGACGTCCACACCGTGGCTCAACGAGGCATCAAGGATTACCACATGTCCTCTATGAGCTACCTGCTGAAGTATCGTACCTTCCGAACCGCTTCTGTCAAGCATCTTGATATCCTCGATCAGCTTGTAGTGCTGGAACCAATATTCGACCGCGTGCTGCAGGCAGCGGCGATCCGATCTTCTTAGCATCGGATTCGGCGTCATCCTCGGCAGTATGGTCCAGACTGCAGGCGGTCAGAATTTCGAGGCAACGACTCGTCATTTCCAGGTTCACATCCTCATTCGAGAATACAAACCGTGCGATTTCCGGTTTTCTGATTCGGGGGATCCCAGCTGGACTGTCTCCAGGTAGTCTTTAGCGGAAAAGTGGGTGAATCGCAAGACCTCCAGCGCTTGAACCTGGCCACCTACAGTTACGCTCTGGCTCCACTGCTCCACAAGTGCTTTGGAGCAGATCTGAGCGACCAAACCTGCTTCGGCGAGCCCAACCGCCGCGGCAATCTCATCTTTGTGCAGCAGACGGAGCTGTCTCATAAGCCAAATCAATATTGACTTCATCGAACTCCCTCTTTCTTTCTTGACATTTTTCAAGGTCTCCTCGTAAATAACGACCATATTACCGGGGACTCTGTTTATAGCATTGCGGATTTCCGCCGTGGCAGTCGGCCACCTCGTTGAGCAAGGAAGTTGCATAAAGAAAGTTCTTATGCGAGATCACCCTGAGAAGCGATTTGGCAGGTAAAACTCAAAGTACCTATTACCTGTCATTGCCCTTTCCTAGCTTTTGGGTGATATCTTGCTTAATATGGGATGTCAGGAGCTTAATACCGTCCATTTTGCTCCCGATGAAGCTGTCAAGATCTTTGTTGAGCTCCTTCTTGATATAGGGAGCATCACGCCACCAAGTGAGTAAATTCACACACGCGACGAAAAAGGGCCGAACACCGATTTGGGGACCTAGGGATCCAAAGCGCCCAACTCTCCAATACATCATTATTGCTTGCTGCCCAGTTAGATCCGAAGCTACGCCTTTATACTCGATTTCGGATTTCTTGGCTTTACGCTTGGAAACAACGCGTGGCGTGAATGGGCGGGTCTTTATGCGGACAATCCTTTAATCATTGATGCTTTTCACTTTCAAATGAGAAGTATCGAAGCATCAAGGGAAGCAATGTAGCTTTGGCTTTTGCTCACATGCCAGAGGACCCGAGGCAGACTTTAGTATAGAATGAAGGAAAGAGCAGCGACGCGTCGGATATTGCACTAGAGTCTGGCTTGATCAGTCTCACCATATGGTGGCGAACACTGATATAAGATTCAGAAATTAGTTTATCACTAGGCTCTCGCCTGACTCCGAGCCAGAATCGTCGCTGCGCCAATGCATATATAACGATCTTTGAACTTTCAGCCCTCGTGATCTGAACTGAGAAACTTGTTTCTTCAAATTAAAACTCATGACACAATTCCCCACTTGCTTAGAGGGTTTGAATTATAGATGCATGTCGAGTGACAGCAAGTAATTCCCTGACAACAAGGCACACTGATGTTATCAAACCGAACTATAAAGCAAGCGTACAGGCAGGTGAAGTGAAATTCTGTGCTGGGCTCAATTTTAGTGAAGTGTTTATGAAATTGCCACATCTTGGATAACGAATGTTTCAACATCCAGATAGCTTTGTCTGCTCTCCAATGAAAGATGTGTGTTGCGAACTGAATCAAATGGTGATGAAGCAGTTTTATTTGCTACGTAGAAATCTGCCCTTTACCCCGCTTCGCTTAGCGAAGTGAAGTGGGAAAGGGTGATAATCGGTCACCGTTAGCGAGTATATAAATACTCCACGAAGCAGATAGATAGGCAGACAGAAACCCGTCGGAGACATAATCGGAAAATAAGTTCTCGGGGATTGGCGCGTCAAGCATAGCGGTATCCCAAATCCGTTTCGTTTTCGGTTCCATCACCGACGGTGGGGAAAGAGAGCAGAAATAACAAGACATATAGGAGAAAGAGATATCTCGAGGTCATATGACAAACGATAAATAAGTGGAGAGTGAAGAACGACAATAGCGGGCTGAGTGCCGGCAACTTCATATCACCAGTGAAGATAACAGCAATATACTTTATGCTCGGTCAGCTCACTCGAGCAAGAGCAAACTCTATATAATTCCCTCAACTCTCGTATTGTGCACCAAAACAGCACTTACTTCGTAATGAAAGCAAGGCACAGTGGAGGGGCTACACCAGCCATATCGAAGTATGAAAATTTCAGGTCTTTGTCCTTGCCAAAAACCCGTCTGAAGGTACCTGAATTTATACACCTTTTGTTCGCAAGGAGGAAGGCACTTGCAAATGCCCGAGATGGGAAAAGACACTTTGGGTAGACAAAGTGCTCGAAATGATATAAGGGAAAGAGGACTAGAAGGAAAGGGAGATATTTCTGATCCCACATCCCTGCTCTCGAATCTCCCGGCCACTTTATAAGATCTGCTGATCCTCTTTAGATCTTGCAACGCAGTTGGATCCCGATGAGTTCCACAACATTGGAGTTCCAGAGTCGACACCCGCCTCGAGGTCTGTGCGTCCCGTTCAGATGAGGCGAGAGAGCGCGGTGATAGTAAGAAGCTGGCAGAGAAGATGTTGTGAAGTATTGCCAACTGATAAACGTATATCTAGTACTGACAAGAGAATTGTTCGTGACAGTACACGCCACCCAGACCGATCCCAATAGAGGAGTGACAGCAACACGCTTGATTCGAGCGGAGAATCAAGAATGGCCAAGGCATAACCCAAAGCCGCAACACGAATACGAACGGCCTTGACTCAAACATGAATGCGAACAGAGCCCTTGCAGCTTTGAATCAACCATGCACAAGTAAATGCTGCCCTCGCCGGAGCCGCCACTTTGGCCGTGTGGTGGGCGCCAATTGGTGCAATAGCACGTCTATCTATATTTATTCCGTTCATCTGGGAAGCTGGAGTGCTTCGCCCAACGATACAACAAGGAGCCAGTAACCGCGAACTTGCAAAGTGTATGGTACTGCCCCCCTTTGACATCTCATATAAATGCAGTACTAACACAATTGGAACCGGCGTTGCGCAACTGCGGCAAGTAGAGGTATTACGACGGCTCCTGGTACGTATGCGATCCCAAGCACAATGGCCTCGACTCGACTCGCTCGAGACGTCAAACTCAGAAAGGGGCTTTCTGGTGAAGATTGAAGGATTCCAGAGGCACAATGATTACAGAAAGGATTGCCATTCGAAGGCGAGGGCTCAATGGAGTGACAAAACATTTCACTTGACAACACATTTCATCTCGTCTGCCCGTCTCAATATTGCACAGAGCCAATTCGACTATACCCAGCCCGATACAAACCTCAAAGTCCAAAGAAGAAAACTCGTGGCTAAACCACTGTCCCAAGCCAGCGCTCATTATCTCCTTGCTCTCCAGGTTACGTGTGGGCCTTCTTTGGGAAGAGCAGACACACAGCATCTCCCGCGCTCGGGAAAGGTAAGCGTCTCTTACCCTCCGTGATGGGGATAGTAATAGTGAAAAGTGCCAACACCAGACCAGTGTCAGCGTCCGGGACAACATAGGAGACAGGGGTTGGACGAGCTGGCCGATGCCGGCTAAAGGCGGAGCGAACCTTCTGGCTAACTGCCTTCTCGTCCTTAAGGTGCGCTGCCGTAACGCAAGATTCGTACTCCCTGAGATGGGCAAACGAAGCCTTAGTCTGGACTCGGAGGGACCCCTCGGTAGCTGCAGCACCAGAGTCACCCCAACCTTTGGGTCTCTTGCCATCCATCTCCTGGTCGTAGAAGTCGGTCATCGAGCTCACTATTGCGGTTTCTGACTAGTCGTGACATCCTTATCTCCAATTTGCTGGCAGGCCGAGAGGGGCCTCAAGCACACGATGCCAGGCGGGCTGGAGAGGCGCCATAGAACGGATAAATACCTGGAGTTCCACACTGGCAACGGGTTCCAATGGGAACTGTCTGGGCAGTTTGAATGGGTGCATCTAACTGGATGAGCCTGAAGACGTCGAGGAGGAAGTGAGCAAATATCCTCTGCGTCGTGGCCTTTATCGAAGGAATTGGACATGTCCTGGCACTTTCCCCGAGAACGTGCAATGTGGGACGTTTGATTTGTATCCAGGACTTCGTGGAAGACCCTTGCCCATCTCCCGCAATACAATCCCACGAACCCAGAACACACATCCCACCAGCGCAACTTCCTTGGCCCGTATCTGGTGGATCCCGGTCGCCTCTTGGACGAGACTCTGGTCAAGAAATCTCACGTTGAACTTGAGACTCGGTACCGTTGTACACGGAAAGCCTTGACTGCTCCAAGAGGATGGATGTATGTACGAGATAGTGCGTCCCGAAATTTTGGCAACGGTTGTTCAAGTGACAACACAACACTTGTCAACTGTACCAACAGCACAGATTACCGGAAGCACAACTCCCCTCAGGCTCACATCCGAATGAAGGCAAGGATAGCGCTTGCATTCAACCGTAAAAAGGAAACCAAGGACGCTGAAGAAACCGAGTGGTGCGAATGAGCCAAGGAGGAAGACTAAGGGGGCTCCATTCCTAGTGTTCACGATGCTACGTGAAGGCTGATGGGAAAGGGAAATTTATATTCGTCGGCTGAGGGGAGGGAGGCACTTGCTCGCCATCGCGCAAAAGGAGAGAAAGAATTTGGGCAGGAGCAGGATGCTCGAGTCCTTGGAGTGAAAGAAAATAACGGGAACGGAGTGGAGAAAGCGTCCCAGGTCGCTCGCGCCGTCCGATACTTCGACCGCTTCTACTTAAAACCATTCCTCTCCCACCGAGATCCCTCAGATCAAAAGAAAAATCCAGGATGGGTTTACACTCCTGCTCGTTCGCCTCAACCTTCTCCCCGGTGGCTGGCCGTGGGTGTTTGACTTCAGTGCTTGGTGTTTGATCCTGGAAGCAGCGGAGGATGACGAGGAACAGAGGGTGTTGCTATGACTTCATATCAAGACTTACAACAACCTCCCCGCTGACAGCAGTTCTCATCCTCGCTTCCTTGCCGCCTCCTCCCTTCACGCACCTCACCGTCTTCAAAGCCAACGCTCCGGCGGAAAAAGTCTTGGAAGAGACCTCCGACGAGTGTGGAAGATAGAGTTATGCACCAAACTTTGCAGATTCCACAGAGTACGGCGAGATTCTCCAGTTGGGTTTGCAAATCCTGAGTGTGGCAACGAGAGCAGCTTGCGTATCAGGCCCATGCTTTTATATTCGCAAGAAGGCTGGAAGGTGAGGAGGAGCGTCACCTGCACCAAAGTCAATACCCCCAAGTTTCTTCACGAGCTTGGAGAGAAACAGTGCCTCGCGGTATAAACCGCGCCCTCACCGAGTCGCGCAACTGAATGCAAGGGATAAAAGACTCGGGACGATCGCAGACGGCGTGTTACCGGCTGCACTTGGGCCCTTCACTGTCCGTGGGTTTCTATCTCGTGTTGTGCGGCAACAGATCGATGTCTGGAGAGGTATTCATGGGGTGAGGAGGTATGAGTTGAACCGTCGGTTGAAGAGCCACAGGTTTAGACACAGTGCCAACGAATTGCAAATTGACGGCAATTTTCATCCCTTTACTTCCTGCTTTCCTAAACCCACTCGAGAAGCAAGCCACGCGGATGCCACCTGCGCTCTAGACTCCAATACTGGATCCCGAGCGCATCGAACGCCCGGCAGCTGCCGTGATAGAAAAGTCGGCGAGCACCAAGCCACCGCTCCTATTCGTGCCGCAATCAAACCAGTCCCAAGCTCATGTCAAGACGATGGTGGTCGAAGTTCTTCTTTCTCCTCGCGAGGAAGATAGGTCTCCGGAGATTGCAGCAAACCATTGGCACAATGGAAGGCAGTTTGAAGCAAGCAAGCGCATAAATGAGCTCCATCCCTCCACAGCCAGTTCTTTCCGCGCGGCGTCAGAAACGACTGAGGAAGCTCGACGTGCATGTTGGCTGCACTGCGACCTTTCATCGCTCGGGCGACTGTGCGTCAGCTGAACCAACTACGCGATTGAATTGTCGAAAGAGGAAATATGTCTTATGGGGAGAGAGCAGAGGATGTTAAATAACGAGTGTCGGGAACGGAAGGGTGACGACAGCACGTCGCTGACTACCGTATTATCTGGTGTATATGACCATGGTCTTATAGCCCGTTCCACATCTGAATAATTCGTCAGGGAATGGTCTTAAGCCTGAGAGGGTCTAGTAATACGTCGATCCCACTAAAAACCGCTTAGTGTATGGTGTTGTGCTTACCCCCCTAATTCCTCATCCCTTTATTCTTCTCTCATTCTCCCTCCTAAACTCCCACCCGCACCACCAATTGCTCTTGATATTACGTGCCACAAATTATATACATTGAGAATTAGCTGAGAAATCTGCTAGGAGATTACTTGAATTACCTCAAACTAGCCAATTAAGCAATAGTTTAGTAATATAAGACCATGGTCTTCTATTACTAAGCTATTGCTTGAGGAATTGCTCTGGAAATGGTCTTCTATTAGGGGTTGGTCCTGAACGAAGGGGGGGGCATATACGCCAGATAATACGGTATCCGTTTCATCCGGATCACCGCTCTGCCTTTCTGCAGCAGCTCGGGAAGCAAGGGACTGCACTAGGAAGGCGGCTAGGGAAGACGGTTCACCGAGCCTTGGTGGGAAGAGGAAACGGCGCGAGCACCGCGCCGCTCTCTTCTATGACAGTGCGCTTGTTCCTATTCGTAGTTCCTGCTGAGACCATGCTGATCGAGAGGCTTCATTGATATTGCCGAAGACTCGAGGTTGAGGGCAGTGGAAGGATGGAGGGGAGGGAGGCACTTGCCTCAGTGTGGCTGTTCCAGATGATGCGGGATTCCGATGTTGATGTGTTCTTGGAGAAGGTACGAATGGGCACATGCTAAGTCCATCGAAGCGCACAAACAAAGCTGAATTGAGGAAGGGAAAGCGGTGGAGAAGAGGCTTGGTATCATTGATCTATCTCCTCCCCACCCCCTCCATCTCTCCACTCACAGCTTCACATCTACATACAACACAACAAATGGAATGGAATGGGAAAAAAGGAGGTATGATTTATTACAAGGTAATCCTTCCACACACACAATATGCTGTCTCCCACTCTCACCCCCCTCCTCCATTCATCTCCCCTCAATCTTCAGCCCCCTTCACTAGCACTACAATGAATAAACACGTACAACGCGGATACTCCCTCCAGTCAGTAAAACTCCGCCAACTCCATTCTCTCTCAATTCTTCAATGAAAATTCTACGCCTCTTCTCTCTCACTCCATCCTCTCGGCAAATCCAACATACTGCAACCTCGGGTCCAGCATCAAAGCAACAGCTCAATGCTCAATGCAAGCTCAATCAAGGAAATCCAACACCCGTACTGCGGTCTGCTCTTTCTCTTCGGATAATATTTCGGCTCCACAATATGCTGCTTCTTTGACCCACTCAAATCGGAAAGTCGTTTTCTCGCCCCCGCTCGATTTACTGTCCGCGATCTCTCCCTCTTCTGCGGAAGAAGTCCATCACCTTCCTCGCAGCGCCACTACTCCCCGCATGATCTGAGTGTGTAGGTCCATATCCGTTATTAGCCTCCTGCTCGTACGCCTCCGTGAACTTGCGGTTGTTCTTGACAAGCACGCCTCGTCCGCCTGGTTGTTCGCGTCGCGAGGACTGCCCGTGAGTTTGTCTGCGTGAATCGTCGTACTCGCTAAACCCTGAAGAATATGGTTGTCTTCTGTTCTGGAGATCAACGAGAGAGGATTCGGACTCGGTGGTTAACGCAGACTGGTCTTGGCGGAAGTTCATGGGTGGGAGAAATTGCGGTGGTGCGCCGGAGCGAGGATCAGAGACTGGCTGGGAGGCGTAGCGTTGGTGAATTGGGGTGGAGATATTTGGCCCTCTAGAGCGGCTCTGTTTCGGGCTGTCGCGGTTGCGGTCGTAAGAGCCGTCGGCTGTGTAAGGCATAGTTGCCGTGACGCCGCTGATGTTCCTGCTTTGGTTTTGCGGTGCACTTTGTGGGGGATCGAGATAATTGCCTCGCTCGTCTGCATAGTGCTCATCCGCGGAAGGTTCGCCTGGGGCACCATATTCTTTGCCAATGCCGATTGCTTTCAGTGAGAAGGACGCAGGGAGGAGGGAAAATCTTCGGGGCTTTTCTTGGAGAGTTGTGGTTTGGGAGCCTGTGATGCTGCCGCTTCTCTTCTTGCCAAAGCCGAAGGATATCGAGCGTCGAGAATCCATGGACTGCCTTGGCGTGTCCTGTTGTCCGACACCGCTGGTCATGCTAACCGGAGGATACTTCCTCGGTTTCTCTTCGGACTTTTCAGCATTTCGCTTTCCTCCGAATATCGAGTTTGTCCTGCTGAAGATTCCACCGATTGTGTTCGATCTCTTGTGGCCTTGTCCCTTCGACTCGTATGCATTTGCACCTTCCAACCCAGTAACTCTTGCAAACTTCGGTGGGACTTGATTCGCACTCGGTCTTCCGAAGTCAGATTGCTCATCTTGCGAGATCGGCCCGGAGATATTGTAGGTCTTCGCATTTTTTGGTTGTGACATTCTTCCTTGGGCATTCGTCCCAGCAACAGTTGGCGCGGCAGGTTGGCTGTATGATCCACGGTTTGCAAGAGCCAAAGATCCTGATCTGCTCCCAGTCGAAGTCATCGAGCCACCAGTATTCGGTCGAGCAATGGAGACGGGAGGAGGTGCGTGTGCTGGGATGTAGTTAGCGTCGGAAGCAGACCGAGGTGGTTCTCGTCCGGGTCGGGATGGAGGGGCCATGCCTTGTTGTTGGCGTGAGCTCGATGGCCGTCTGGCTTGATATTGAGCATCTCTGGGAGGATCTTGAGGCAATGGCTTCTCTGTTGAGAGGACTCTCCGCGCTGGCTGGGTTGTAGGAACCTCCACCGGGCCTTGACTTCCTGCACGTGCTCTTGTCCTCGAAGTACCCGAAGGTGCTGCGGTAGCAGGCGCTGATGCTTCTCCACGTTGTGTCTGTGATCGAGGAGCCACATATTCCACCTGCACAGTTCTCCGCTTGTTGTCTTTGTTTGGCTTCGGGTATGACTCTGCCGCATCTTGATCGACATTGCCATGCTTCCTGCTGAGATCCCCCACTGCTGCTGTTGGCTTCTGCGGCTTTGAAGGTTCTCGGACAGATGCAGATCTGGCAAGCAATGGTCCGTCTTGTGAGTCGTCTGCAGTGACGGTTGCAGCAGCGACGTCCGTAGCCGTGGTTGTGCTGCTCGTGATAAAACCGACAACATGCGAGTATTCGCTTAACCAGCTATGTCGGGCCACCTCGAACAGGTCGGCACGTTTTCGGGGGTCGGGAACAAGGATTCGGCGAAGCAGATCCCGGGCATGAGGCGTGACATATTCGGGGAAAGTTAAGGGGGTCGAGACTATGTACTTGTAGAGTAAATTAATGTTATCACCTTCAGGATTTGCTGGATCATCATCAAAGGGTAGGTAGCCTGCGAGCATAGCATACTAAATGTTGTTAGTTAAGTTCCGCACAAACCAAAGGATGTACTCACCAAGATCACACCACAGCTCCAGACATCGACCTTGCGGCCAGTGTACAAAGAGTCACTGACCACAAGCTCTGGAGCTGCGTAACAGGGGCTTCCACAGCTTGTCTGCATCAAGTCACCTCTTCGATGTCCACCTGGTAATGTTTTGTCAAGTTCCATCCTCTTCACGAAATCCCTACTCGACAAGTTGTACTCGATCTCATCTCCCAATTCATCGTCGGGATTGAAGGTGTTGGCAAAGCCAAAGTCGGTGATGATGATGTTCCGGTTTTTATCCAGCAGCAGATTTTCCAGCTTCAGATCTCGGTGAACAATGCCTTTCTTGTGCAAATACCCAACACCAGAAACCAGTTGTGCAAATAGCCGTCGAGCAGCGGGGTCCTTCAAGTATCGGTGGTTGAGAATATAGTCGAACAGCTCCCCTCCTGAGGCGTATTCCAGGATGATACCAATCTGCTTCTCCGTTTCCACCATCTCGTGCAAACGAACAATATTCGGATGAGAAATCTCTCGGAGGATGGCAATCTCGCGGTAGATCTTTGCCAGTCTGGTGGGGTTCGTGCCAACGCTGTCGCGGCGGATGAGCTTGATAGCAACCTGGATATGTTAGCCAGAATTTTCTCGCCATTCCTCGGATATCATACCTGTACACCACCTTCTTGCTTCCATCCCATCTTAACTTTGCCAAACTCACCCTCTCCCAGCGTGTTGCCCAGATAATAGTCACCGAACTTGAGGTTTTTTGAGGCCTTCGAGCTAGTATGATCCTGTCGACTTCGGCCGCCTCGTCCACCATCTTCAACACCTTCACTGCCGGCAACACTCAACCCCCCAGGCGTGGATTGTGCATTCGGCGATGAAGGAATCGCCTCCCTCATTCTCTCTTGCTCCCTCTCTATATCGACTTCCGGCTTGCTGATAATCACCCTATTTAAAACCTCGCTGGCTTCTCGTGATAATTCCGCTGGAGATTGTGCACCTGCCGCAGCAGCCATCGCCTGTCTCTGAACCGCAGAAGCTGATGCCGTTGCTCTCGACTCTCTGGGCTCTCTGCTACCGCTCGGTCTGTGTGGTAGAGTTTCAGGCTGTTGTTGTTGTTGTTGTTGAGCTCTCCGTCTGGCTCGTGCAGCCGTTGCTGCTGGGTCTTCTCTATCTCTATCAGCCCCGTTTGTTTGTGTGTTACCATTGCTGCGCTGTCTCTCCGCCCTATCCTGCTGCCCATCGCCCGTGTTCGCTAGCCGTGGAGAACTCGATTGTTCAGCAGTGTATGCACTTCTCCTCGAGGATCGATCAGCTGCAGATGCTGCCGCGTGGGAGGCATTTCGGTTCGAGGACGTTCGGGGTGAGACAACAGGCGGGACACCACGCTGGTGATCACCTGGAGCCATGACTGGGTACCCGGAGGGCGCGGCGGTCGTAACAGCGGGAGAGTTGGTGCTGCGGGCATTCATCGGCGTCGGGGACGAGGTGCTGCCAGACGGTGAATAATACTGTGGTTGTTGGGGATTATTACTCGGGGTTGCGCCATTGCCGCTGGGTCTCCTGGATGGCCGACGTGTTGATGGAGGCGACGCGTTTGTCGGAGCTTGATTGTAGTAGGCGTCGGCTCGCGATTGTGAAGAGCTGCCGGTGTAGGGTCTGGATGAGGACGTTGCCGCGACAGGAGAATGCGATCCCACCGAGGTTGACTGATGCAGCGCTGTTTGCAGTGCAGCCGAAGACATCTCTCGGTCGATGCCGTACACGGGGGGAGGTGCAGTAAAATCTTTGATGGCTTGCACCGTTTTTCGCTCACCCGAGATCCTGATTCTGCAACGGAGAGTCTGGCACGCCCAATGCAAGCCAGGCCCACTGCTTGTGATAGCGATTTGGTCGCCTCGGTCACCAATGGGGCCCTCCAGCTAGCATGGTGCGATGCTGCTGGCGATGCGATCTGGATGGCGGGCGCAGGTTTGGCGTGTTCGTGGGCAGATGCGATTCTGGAGAATTTCCAAGTCGCGGTGTTGGAAGACGCTCTGCGCAGGAGGTTGAGGCCGGGCACGATACACGGATCCACGGGAGGCCTTGATCCCTCCTCTGGATAATCTCAATTGAAGGTTTCGCAGCTGCAGCGGCGATGGCGAGCAGCGGCGGTCGCGCGTCGAAGGAGAGCTGGGAGCTGGAAGCTGGGAGTGGTGTTGATATGTGGTGTTGATATGTGCCGTGGCCGTCGAAATCTTGCAGGTCGACTCGAGTGTGCGGGAAGGATGGAGGTTCTGGAAGCAGGACTGGACTGGACTGCTGGACTGGGCTGGAACTGGAGCAGGACTGGGAGGGCCGGCCAGTCAGAAGGGACCTCGACAATTCACCCAGGGCAGCGAGGAGGCTGATGCAGAGCAAAGGAGAAGCAGAGTTGAGAAGCGTGCTGGCGGAGGGCTGTCTCTGGGCTGGTTGTTTGGTGCTGGTGCTGGTGGTCGTGCTGGTAATTTCCTTTGGGTTAGCGAGGTTTGAGAATAGGGGAACGCGGTGCCAGCCCGTGGAGGCCGAGGACCAGCGAATACCGCGTCGCTGTTCAGTTGGCAGACAGACACTGGTGAGAACTGACTGGAACGCCAATTGTCGTGATATCACGATGCTGGAGTCTTAATTGAGGAGCGTGCCGTAGAGCTGGATGAGCATGCTGAAGGCGAAGGTGAAGGTGAAGGTGAATGCTTCCCGTTCCTGATTCAGGGGCAAGACGGTCAAGCCCAGTATTGATTTTGGTGCTATCAGGTCAGATCACTTCTCACTTTCTCCGGAAATCGATTTTTCAATCGATTGACCAGACAATCAAGAATCGAGTCCTTCCGCAACAGGGCTGTCTCGCACAGAAAGGATTGGAGGAACTTTCTCATTCAAAAGTCCGGAAAGGTCCCCCTTCTGGGGCGCCGAAATCTAATATACTCCCTCACCTCCGCTCTCACGCTCCGCACTCCCTCCCAACGTCCCATCGGTGACCTTGCCGTCTGGCATCTGCTCATCCCATCAGCCCATCATCCCATCGAACGCGACGTCGCCTCGAACCAGCAGCGTGCGCCGAATCAACAAAGGCATAAACATTGTTTACTCGCATTGACGTGGCACTGGCCCCAGATCCCAGGCCCGGCCCAACGTCTGTGGGCGATTGGCTCAGGTGCCAGGAAGGACCTTGAAACATCCATCAGCAGTCAGCACCGGCAAACTCACCTCCCACAACGACGTCGACCGAGGACGGATGAGTCGCCACACCATCTTCCCTTTCGAATTCGAAGATCCAAGCATCCCCGGCAAATTCCTGTCTTTGTCCAATTTTTTGTAGACTGGTGTGCACGGTGAAGACCGAAGTGGAAAAAGAAAAAGCTGCCATCAGGAGGTTCAATCCGGCATTGACACCGGAAATGAGGCGTTCGCCTCCATATGCAAGTCACTGCGCCGTTCAACTGGCCAATGAGCGCGCCTACCGATGACCCAAATCGGCAAAAAAGTAATGATCAACCTGATCTCCCGAGAGGATCTGAATGTCACGTCTGGGAGAGCTGCTATTTTGGGAGAACATCGCATGGCAGCGCATGGTTTGATGTTGGGATGTGGATGTGGATGTGCATGTGGATGTGCATGTGAGGATGGATTTTGATTTCCTTTCTTTCCTCGAGCTCTCTCCACACCTCACAATTGGGCCACTTCTCTGGAAGATAGAGTACATCTCTTCTCTCTTCACACACACGAGCATCACATTCTCAATGCTCACGAGCTCCCGAGGTCGTTTTCCTCCGCAGACCAGAGCGCATCCAGAGCGCATCCAGAGCGCATCCCCTTCAACCGCTCTCGACGGTCCGATACCGATGTTTCGACATCGCGAATCCCTCAGCCTTCTCTCTCACTCTCTCTCGCGAGTCGCCATGAGCACGATTTCACATGTTTTCGCCTCGTTTGCAGCCCGCCTCCTCTGATTCGCCCATCAGCCATCGCCCATCTGCACCCTCCCGCCCCTAACCCCGATCCGGCTCCCGCCCTTCGCCTCACGCCGTCCGTCCGTACCTGAACCATTCCCTCTTCGTCCTAATAAACGCGTGCCCGGTTTCCTTCCTCGCCGCCCCCCCCCCTCCCCCCTCCTTCCTGCTTCGCCTGCACTCGACATGCGTGACAAGGAATCCACCTGCGGGCAAAGCTGCGAACGCCTGCCGTGTCACCTCCCACAACCCCGGACGCGCATGGAGGTGCAGTGCCTTCCGCCGCAAGGACGCCAGCCTTTGAATAAATCAAGAAAAACCTCGTACGTAAGTAAGTAAGTGACGGCTATGTAGAACGAACCCAAGTTAAATTTCTCATCAAGTCGAAACAAAAACTTCTTTTCTTCCCATTTCTTCCTTCCACGCTGTTTTTTTATATTTTTTAGTTCCTTTCACACCACCTCCTCCTTTCTGCCTGCCTGCCCGCTTCTTCCGAGATGAGGGCCAAGCTTCTGCCCTTTCTTGCCGTTGCTGACTGGCGATATCTGCGCGCATATCAAATTTCCGCGCGTGTAAAAAAAACATATTTGCTGTCTTCAGGAGAGCGCGAGTGGAAGCACTCCTCGGGTCAATCATCAATTCCGTCGGCTCGGAAAAAGGGGGGAAGGAAGGCAATGGAGAAGTTCTCGTCGCGAGGGTAATGCTTCTAGATGGAAAACGGGGGTGGAGGAGGCCGAGAGAAAAAGCTGCTGGTAGAGAGAGGTGATGGGATGGGCATAGAGCCAGAAAAGGTAAACGCGTCAAGTGAAGCAAGATTACCCCGTCTTGTTCCTCTCCTCGAAGCCGGGATACCGATGCCTGCCAAACGCTCTCGCAGCGCGGCTGCCTGAATGACCTGTCGTCACTTTTGTTCCACGCTGAGCCCTTCCTTTTCGAACTGCTTGTGATTCTTGGGTATCTATCATCTAGCTATTTTTACATGAAATACAGATGTGCTCAGAGTTTGATGGAGATGTCGTAGATATCCAACCCCACCGCCAGCCCTGTAACCACAACCGCATGCCCAATCAGGATCCCCATGGCCACCAGATCACTGACATGCAGCGTCGGGACAGTCAAGTTCACCGCTCCAGTCAACAGATTTGCAGCCAAGAAAACGAAAAGCCCGTTCCTGTTAAATGCTTCGAGAACCCGACTGGTTGACGCTTTATAGACCTCTTCTTCCTCTTTCGGCGATGATGGCGTACTCTTGTTATGCAAGGCGGGAAAGAAAAGCGTTTCGACGAGGCAAAATGCGAGGATTTGTGTTGAGTTGAAAGCTGCGATCCAGAGGAAGTAGGGGAGATTTGCTAGTCGTCTTGAGACGCTCAAGGACAGCCCGTATTTATAGCTTGTTGAGAACGCGAACAGCAGGATCCAGACTCCTGACCAGGCGGCGAGGGTGAGGAGGAGGTTTTTACGTTGTGTGCGTGGAATGACGACCATGCCTGTTGATTGCCCGGCCAGAAAGACGGCTAGATAACCGAAGAAGCTGAAGATTCCTTCGCGGTTTTGGGAGAGGAGGTTTGTTCGAGGAGCGGTAAGGATGAATGCTTTTAGAGAGGTGAACTCGAGTGCTGCTTGGTATGCTATGCCTAGTAGGATGGCGAGTCCGGCGTATGAGGGGACGTACTCGAACGCCGATTGAAAGAGTGCCAGAAACGGGGGCAAGAATCCGAGAGTAAAGAAGAAGTTCCAGTGGACGCCATATTCTGTGACGTGTTCTGCGTAATCCAATCCCTTCACGCTGTATAGTCTGATCAACCCGAGTACCAGTAATGGTAAGGAGTGCCGTATGGAGCGGTATAGCCGTGTGCTAAGAGATGTCGATTTGCCTGCCAGCTTCTCCTTCAATATTGGTCTTGCTGCGACCACTCCCGCTGAGAATACAAATGATCCAACCCCAACGTCCATTAACGATGTACCCCAGTTTTCGACCTTTGCGAACCTGCGAGGGAATATTTTGAAATCGACGGCGAGGATTGCTATGGATGTAATGACCATCATTGACCCTCTGTACGTCGTCAAGAACTGCTTCTTGGGCAGCGGGTTTGGCTCCGCATCTTTCGTCTGTTTCGAGGGGGGCAATTTGGCTTTCTTCGGCGGGGTCTGCTTGGGGAGGACGTATACAAGTGCCCCGAGTGCGAGGAGGGAGGTATTCAGGAGGATCGGAGACTTCGCGTAGAGAGTCGTGGCGAGGAGAATGGCTGCGACGTTAAGGAGGAAGTCCACAGCAAATGCAAGAGGTGTATATGGTTTAAAAAAGGACTGTCGCGACTGCAGTACCGACCAAAGAACAACTGCTGCCTTTCCAGAAGTTAGCACGTTCTGCAATGGAAAGGGGAGAGCTTACAGGAGCCACGGCCGTCACATAGTTGATCTCCCCGATTTCTCCTCCAGTCAAGTTCGAGACGAAGTCTTCCTTGAGGGCTTTGTAGCTTGCGGCCATCGCTGCTTCAGCTGCCCTTGACATGATGCAAATTGATGTTGGGGGACGCCGTCCCTGCACCCCTCGAAGTTCGAGCTCGTGTTGCTTGAAGATGCCAGAAATCGCGAAGTTCGAAGCGGACTGGATGCCGCCTCACCCTGGTCGACTCGTGACTTCTCCAACTTCCTAGTTTTTGTCTTCTCTTCGCTCACAACTCACATCGCAAAGCTGCTTCATTAGGCCAGATCTCGGAATGTCCGAATTCCTTCACGGCTTGTTTCGGGAGGATATCCTTGCTCCCGTCATTCGCCTCGGGGCATCCTGCACAGTGTGCTGCTCTCGATCTGCTCAAAATCAAGAAAATGCAAGAACTTTGTCCAGGCGCCAGTCCACCTGCGAGCTGAGGAATGTCATTTTCAAAGAGCAGCGTGGTTTCCACGTTTCAACGTTCTCCCACGCTGCGGGAGGCCTTGGATCTACTGCCACAGTTGCCAGCAATTGCTGTCGATCGAGAATCTGAGGTCGACCACTCCCGCTCGTTGACACTCGAATTTCGTCTCAAGAGCATTTTGATCGTCGTATTCCCATTAAATCAGCTGCAGTTGCTCTGCGAAGAAGCCAGCTGTTCATCTATTATACGTTGTTGACCCCAAGATGCAATTCTGCCCCCTCAATTCCATCTCATGACTCAGATGATATGACCGTTGTAGTCTCAGTGGCCAAGAAGCAATAAGTGCGACCTTCTCATGTTGCCGCAAGCAGTCTTTGTCCTCTGCGGATTTCTAAGTCGTATGTAAGGGATGTCTCAAACCTTCCGACACATCTTTTCTTTGTTTGCTTTCTGAAAATACGCCAAGTCAGTTGCTGCCAACCACCGCGAAGAATGTGTGTCTCAACCCTTTCAAGTATATCAAAGCCTCTCGCCTCGGCCGATGTCCATCACCAAAGCACTCGTCTTTCTGATCAGAGTTGCTCGAATTTTCTTTCGTGTCTTTAAGCTGCCTCGGGGTCAAGGACAGGAAGTCCTCATCGAGAGCAGAAGCAGAGACCGAGTTGCCTGAAAATTCTCAATTGGTCTATAACGAATGTACTCTGAGGGCGGAGTTGACAACATATCTCAGATCTCCCTATACATGAGATTCTCGAAGTCACAGGCGTACCCAGAATCCACTTTCCACATCACGCGACCTCCGATCAAGCTTTCCTCGTATCTGCAACCATGATTGCGGCCTCACCTCCTCCCCGACGACATCATACAGATATTCCGCCACTAGAAACTCGTCCCGATACTCCGGTGGACCGGACACGAAGAAAGTCGACCCCGGGTCAAGGGTCACTACCCACAAAACCGACTGCTCCATTGCCTAGCCCGAGTATTATAACAGCACGTGCCTATTACCTCGAATTGGCGTCACCAATCGGGCCGGGGGAAAGTGCAACCAGGAGCCGCAGAAGCTTAATTCAAGGGCACCCATTGCCAAGGAGACATTCAATTCTGCCTACGACTGGAAATCTAGTGTCTCAGTTAGAGAATTTCAAATTTACGCCTGCTGGAAACGATCTTCAAGCAGTGTCAGAGGGAGAGGAAGCCCAAAGGAAGATCAAGACCGAAGATGATAATGTGTGTATGAACGAGATCACAGAAAGCAAGCCTGTTCGACAAATACGAAAATCAAGTCTCATATGCGGAACACACCAAGAAGTGCTCCGTCAAGTCCCGTTTCAGTATACTCACGATCACTTGCGAGATTGGGGACATGCATATCTAGGGAATTCGGAGACGGCAGATGCATTCGTCCACGCAGTGAGCTTACGGCGACCCAGTCTGGAGATCAAGGATGAATTTCAAGTCAGGTCAACAGATGTAGTCACCATCCGAGCCAGAATTGTGCCAAAAGCAAAAGAGCGAAAGCCCTTCTTAATTCAAAGACAATTCAATATCGATGAACTACGGTCAAGAATAGCCAAACCACAAGCCATTCGAGATTTGGAGGTAGACAACATGCCTTCTCAACCAAGGCGGTCAAGCCGAATACGGAGATCCTCAGCCTGGCAAGCTGTAGCGCATCAAAAGAAAGCATCAGGGAACTGCAGGACCCTTATAACAGAGCGGCATGCTCCACTAGGAATCGGGACTCTTCCTATTCGTAAGTTGCTATGACTTCCCGGCCAATGTACTCGACTAACAAATACAGACATCGAATACGCACTGCACTACGTCCCCGTCCTCGCGGCGCTGATGCTCTCGGGCCACGTCCGAAAGGGGGACACCATTGACCTCCCCATCCCGCACCCTGAATCCTGGAAGGAAACTGTGACCTACATCTACACAGGTTGCGAAACTCCTTCCGCCGCAGTCAGGAAAAACATTTCGTACCTTGCTGGGCACGGTGACTAAACGCCACGCAAGTTGGGAAAACAGAAATTTGGTTGCGGCTGCATGAGCACATTACGGGAAAACGGGGGACGACGGATTTGATTTCGTGCATCTGCATGCGGCTTTGAGGTCATGGTTCAAGGGTCGAGAAGGCCCCTCTGGTTCATGGTTTGTGGCTCGGGGAGCGAGATTCGGAAAGTCCGCTTCGGTATTTGTGCATGCATGCGTCACAGACCAGCACGGTATTGGGGTTCAAGAAGTGGCGGCGGGGAACGCGGGATGAGTTTTCTATTTGGAGCGCTTTGCAGACTTAAGAGCCTTTGACTATGTACCGGCACTGCTTGAAAAAGAGTTTTATGCAGGAAGCTGGACTGATCTTCACCCAATCTAGAGCCTGAGACCTAAACACACTTGATTTTGAATGTCACTCTGCCATTCCATTTGCTAGAGAAGTCTGAAACCCTGATTTCAACTGGAAAACGAATATCGAGGGTCGGTGACGAGCATCTTCCCTGCGCGAGTCGCATCCAATCGGCCCCCAAAAGTGGTACAGAGGGGAAAGAAGCTTGACTTAACTTAACTTGCAGCATGCACACTGTCGCTCCGCCATACAAAACTCGGCACCGTGGCTTTTTTTCCTTCTTCTAAAAACAAATATTTCCAGAAGGCACAAAAGGTTGACCGCCAATGTGTGCGCAACCCGCCGTTTTTCCCTGCATGGCGAACGGACGGATGACGGTCTCCAGATCCTCGAGGAAACGGGGGGGACGGGGCGGCATGTCATGCATACGCTTTGCACGGCCCTTCCCAACGGTCAATGGGTGCGTTTCTACAGCGCCTGCTGTGTAACGGGCACGGCGGCTGTGTGAAACCGGGTCTCGTTTGTGGCCTCGAAAGCACCGCGCAAGCTAGTGAGCACCTTAATAAGGATGGGAGAGGGACGAGGGGGAGAAGTGAACAGAGAGTGTGGCCGAGCTGTGCCGGAGGCGTGGCTGTTCTGGAGAACGATGTGACTGCCGATTCGACACCAGAAGACGGAGGGCTTCCCGTGCGATGTTGCTGGCCACACGAACGGACCGATGGAGTCGAAAAAAAACTCCCCCATTGGGGGCTGATTCGAGGAGAGGGTTTTTGCACAGAGGTGGGAATGGATATCGCAGGGTGAGTGCATGCAGGTCTTGTGCGTTTCAACCGCATGTAAAAGTGAAACCCTGTTATGATCATGATTTTCTCATTATTCATAGAAATGAGGAACATTTGTGACTGACCAAGTGGATGGTTTTAGCGCCTGGTGAGCGTGATGAGACATTGAGTGTCGACGGGTTTTAATGGTGGGATGTGTTTCAGCTGTGGTTGGGGGCTTAAGCCGCTGATGAAGTCCGAGGAGATTACCCCGCAATGGCCAAAGCACTGGAGCGGATATCTCGCTATCTTGAAAATACAAGCGGATGTACCCCTCTTTGTCTCTTAGTACAGAGTACGTTGTTACCTCCATTCAAGTTGGATTGTCAAGAGAAGTGAAGGGAATTTGATGAAGTTTAGATGGAGAATAAATTAAGGTGCCAGCCTTCAATTGACGAACTATGACGTGCGGAGCCCGGCTCCGACGCCCTCTTGGATTAACTCTGCAGCTGTTGAGAGAAGTAGCAGCTTCATCACCGTGCTCCTTAAGTTTCGAAATCTCGATCTTAGTCCGGCACCTAGTAACTTCAGCAAGCCTTGGCTGGAAGCTAGGGCGCAAGTAAATTAAAATAAACGAACCCAAATGCACGGCCAGCCGTCCCCAGCGTCTGCAGCTGGCCAAGTTTATACTTTCTTCAGTGCAGTCACAAGAATCCAAGAATCCAAGAATCTCGCTGCTCGCAGATTTCTCTGAATGGGGGGAGGGGCAGTGTGGACCCCACCTTTTCAAACCTCACGTCTTGATCCTCGTTCCTCACACACACCTCTAAAATAGAGGAACATGCGATGCATGCACGACCGACTCATGTACAGCGCTCGATCGGAGGGACCTGCATAGGTGGGATCAAGTTTCGACTCCTTTCACGATTCGATTCGTCTCCCGCCATCATCATCCCACCTTCCCCCCCCCAAAACGCCAGGATCAGATGCATCAGCGGTGTCTAGCACGTGTTGAGGACACCCTCTTCGCTCCCAAACCCCTCACACAGCAAGCGAAAGCACACCCTCACCTCACTCTAAGCGCGAGTGAGAAGGGGGCGAGTAGACCAAGAAAAGATCTATCGCCTCTATTCTCCCGGTCAGACTCCAACTCACATGCACCTAATCCGAGCCGGGTCTAGACTTGCAACCCATCTTGAGCATTTCTATCACTTGTCAACTTCCTATCTCGTGTCAGGAAAGAAAAAAGATCCGACACACACAACACACACACACACACACACACACACGCCAGGTAGGTCATTGAGACTTAGTTATTTGGAAAAACATGTGAAAACTTTCAGTAGAATGAGCGAATCCTGCAATCAACTGCCCACCGATCTTCAACACGAGATTAAACGCTTTGCTCTAGATTTATCCAGAGCACACACGTAACTTACACAATTATCATTTTGATTTGAATTTGAAATTTAGAGTTTCGGCAGTCCGAAGACGACAGCATGTATCCGATAGGGAGCCGAGAGCGTGTGATGTTCCCCCCAGATACCGACTGTTCATCATGAAGAGACACGTATTCATCCGTGCCGATACGGCTCGCTCCTCCCCTTCCTCTGCTCTCCTTGCCGGAGCAGACATGAGTACATTATCCAAAATTTAACTTTTTCTTATGCTTGCTGCAAGGGAGAAGGCAGGACGTCCGTCCGTACCGGGTACCTCTCCTCGACACCCTCCCGCCTGAATGCTTAACCGAAGACACTTGTCGGGCCAACCAACCCGGCCATTCTCGCCTTTCGAAACCACACCAGACTCAAACTGCATCGGGAAAACGGTCTTCTCTTTCTCTCCGAACGAACCTCACCTCATCCCTCCCCATCTCATCTCATCTCATCCCTCATCCCCTCCTTAAACTTCGAGAATCTGACACTTTTGCCCATGCCTGAAACGGGAAAGGCCGGGAAATGACAAGAGCAGAACGTAACTCCCCTCCTCCGATCGGAACCCCCCCGGCCGCCCCTAACTGGCCCCGTATTCCCGGCCCGCTGATGAAGAGGGTGGCTTGGGCCAATGCTCGCAGACAGAAGCCCTGACGTGCATGCTGTACGTGCAGCCAGCGCAGATGCAGCGTACATGCAGCATGCACACGCACCAGCGGCCTGCATTACGTTTGCGTTAGCGGGTGTGGAGGCGCAGGGATGGATGCCTGGGCTTCTGAGAGAGCAGTGACGTTGCTTGAGCTTACAATTTTAAATATTTTTGCTCTGGATTCCGAATCGCCAATTGCCTGTTGGGGAAGAATGAGGCTGGTGTAATTCTAGAGTTGTCGAGGTGAGTAAAGAAGAGGGTTTGGATGTCACGGTAGCAGAAGGAGGGGAGAGGTGCTTGAGACCGAAAATTTAAATTTCTCTCTCCAAAGGGATCTCATTTATCGGTGATTTCTCTATCCGGATGCAATCTCTCATCTATCAACGATTTCGCATGACCTCAGCCCTGTCAAACCTCGATCCACCAATTTTGTGTAGAGAATTTGAAAATTTAGAAAAATAGGAAAAAAGAACTTTTGCTCCATCTCAACCTCAACTTTTGCTCGGCGCCCAGTGACCAGTCCAGGGCTCATAGAAAGAGAAACAAGGAAATTTTCGCCCCAACACAGAACGCAGAATTTTGTGCCGGTGCTGTGGCCCCCTACTTATGTTTCCCTTCTTTCAAGGGAAACGTGTTCGATTTGCCGCAATACTCAGGCTCCGGCCAGGTCGCAAAGCGCGAGAGAAAAAATCAAAGACGCCAGAAAATGTAGCTGCCAGACACAATTTCAAAACCCGTTTCAGTTCGCCGTTAGCCGTTCTCAAAGGAACAGGCACAAGCGCTTGCCAAATCTGGCAAAATCTGGCAAGCAAAAGCCTAAAAGCTCAATAAAAACAGAAAAGGTTTCGTCTCGTCCGTGAATCATAAAAGTCGTCACCAGAAAGCAAGGCGTAATATGCTGAGGAAAGGTCCCTTGGAGTTATGCTGCACTAGCGTCCAAAGGGTCCTTTTATTAATCCGAAGCCGAACTAGAATCTGAATCGTCGTTGGAATCGTTAAGGTCGTAAGACAAGCTGATGGATACTGCGTCTAGGTCGCTCTCAGACCGGTAGTCTGGGGCGGCTGAGGGAGCCGTGGTTGGCTTCTCTGTGGAAGGGATGTAGCTCTTGTCGTCCTTGTAGCGGACGAGGACGGGGTGATTGCCCGGTGGGAGGGTAATGCTTTCGCTGCGACGTGCTCGGGGTGTCATACGCTGGCTGTCGTTAGTGTCACCGTCTGCGCGGCTGCCCCAGGATGTCTGTGATACGTTAGAGAGGGGCATTCAGGGATGAGCACGTGACATACCATGCGAAGGGTCGCTAATGCCCATAGTTTGATAAAACCGTGGAAATATCCGAAAAGGATGGAAAGCGGCAGAAACACGATATCAGTGGGTTCGCGGATGAAGAGGCCCACTAGCTTGATGACTTTGGTCCAGAACATGAAGGCGAGTTGAGCGTAGAGGCAGTAGAGTTGGCCGTTGCCGGGTAGGTCTCTGAAAGCTCGGAAGGTCAAGATAAGGATGACAGGATCAAAGAGAACCGAGAGGGAGGTGAAGGTGGCGATGTGGAGGGCGTATGTGCACCAAGGTTGTTGTCTAAGAAACTTATTAGCAAAATCCAACATCGTGGCTGGATCACTGACCGAATAACATATCCTTCTGTGACAAGACTTGTGTAATTGCTCCGCCAGTTGCTGCGCGCCCAACGAGAGCATTGATACAAGAATTTCATGTTGTTCTCAAGGGTTGTCTCTATTTCGCATTCCCGGTTGTACTGGATCCATGTCTTCCACTGCTTCGAGACCAACCAGCGTGTAACAAAATTGTCATCATCGGCATTGAGCGTATACGGACCCCAGCGCTCAGTCTTGAAGCCCTCCAAGAACAATGAGCTTTGCAGAATCTCCGAGCGGAAGGCGCAGGTGCGGCCAGACATGCAGGACGTTCCACCGTCGATGCCGTGCGTAGCCGAGATCTCAAAGTTGCGTCGCTCAATGTACGCTGCGCCCAACCAGTTGTAGTTTCTGGCCATAAGTGGTCCTGACCGGACTCTCTTGACTCGTTGGTTTGGTCCTACACCACCAATTCTCTCATTTTCGAAGGGAGCCAGAAGCCAAGGTAGAATTGTGTTGGGCCACGTGACATCGTCATCCGCCATAATGATGATGGACGTCTTGACCTCGGGAATAGCCTCGCAGACCTGTATCCGCTTATTCGCAATCCGTGTTTGGAAAACTCGAATGTTCGAAGCCTCGAGAGTTTTTGTGAACTTGACAAGTTTATCATATTTGTCGGACGTGGTTACCAGGAGCAGCTCACAGGGGTGGCACGCGAGGATGCTTTGTAATGAATCCCTCAACTCCTCGAAGTTGTTATGAATCGTAGGGATGATTACCGTCACATCTTTGGCTGTGTAGTTGGGATTCGCAGGAATTGGGACAGATTTGTAGACCCAATGGCTCCAGAAGTGAACGATTGTACGGACGTATCGATGGAGCCTGCATATTCTGTCAGTGTGGTATTTTGATATCATGGATGCCTCGTGGAAATTTAGGAGCACAGATTCCTCGAATCTAGACTCCAGGATCGTAAAGAATTTGCACTTACCAAAAGAATACCCAAATGGCCTGGTAGATCCACGTACTTTCAGGGAGAAACCACCAGAACGACATGGTGGTGTGGGAAACCGGGCAAGACGACCAGGCGGCGCGGAGATGATCAGGGGTCCAACTGCAGGATTCCGTACCGCAATGTCTGATTCCTTGAGGTGATTGCGGTGTGCAGGATGAATTGCCACTATGGGATGATTTCGAGAGGCGAGAAGTAGGTGGTCATGTGTCAGCTTCTCCACCAGTGAATTTGATGGGTCCAAAAGTGACTTTTATATCCTGGCCGGCAAAACCATGTGGTAGGTCGGAAATAGAAATGGAGTCGAAGGAGGCTGAATGGCAACGATTTCAAGAAGATCTGTCGGGAGGCGTAGATCCCCGTCTGTAAGACACGGCGCGGAGAGCGTGTGGCCAGCTGTGTGGAAGGAAGAGGAGGGTGGCGGTAGTTGTTCGGGGTGAGATGATGCTTCCTTTTGGGGATTTTTGTAGTCTTGGGATTTTCCTGCACCAGTCGATTTTTGGTTTTTCGGGTTGGAAGGAAAGAGCAAATTAGAATATTCACTGGAGCCAGCCGTGAAAACCCAAGCCCGATTCTCTAATGCAATGCAACGCCGTACCAGGCCAAAAAAGTCGAAGTTGGTGTGCTGATTTGAGTATGCTGGTTTCGAGGTGCAGACCAACGTGCAAGTGAGTAAGTAAGTGATGATACTGACTGACGATGCCCGAGGGAAGTCGTATTATCAAGAACAACGAAGGACTGAGATAAAAGATCAATCACAAAAGGACCGTCATTCGCAAGTGCTGAGGTCAGTTGATAAATACACAGTACCAGGTGCCCTTCATATACACCATGCACGAGTGTCGCCGATATGTCATGTTGCTACGCTCTCTGCCGGGTCTATGGAGGGACTATATAGCTTAGCCATGAGATGGGGCGGCAAGGCCATGAGCCAGCAGCAGCGTCTAAGTAGCTGCGGACGCGAACCCGATCAGTCAGTTTTTTTTTTTTTTTAGGAACCGCGTCGTCAGACGTTAGCAGCGTACGGGAGAATGTGGACTGGGAGGTGCGAGGTGTTGTCAGGGATCGAGATGAGCGAGTGGATCACCTTGGAGACAACAGGCGCTGTCTGGGCTGGGGAAGCCGTGGAGCGCGCGAGAGGACTAGGTACGACCGTCGAGGGAGATGAAGTCGAAGAAATACGCTTGCCGGCGCGCCACATTCCCTCAAATTGTGGCCTCTTCCATGCTGCTCCCGGGTTTTGAGGGCGGGCGGGCATTGCAGCCAGTTGACGCAGGAGAAGTACTGCAACCGCGCAGCAGGCCAGGTAGCTTCTCTCGACGAGGACCCTGACAGCACGAGTCGAGCCCGTTCTCACCACTCAGTGAGGCCACTGATGACAGCGATCCGGCGCTGGCTGCTGAGACAGCCTGAATAGCCTCGATGACAAGCCCTCATGAACCATGCAAACGCCCATGTCACTGGCCTTGGGGAGGTGCTGGACAGTGGACGGTGCTTGGGAAGGGGGCAGGCCGCTTCGACGCGTTCGAATAGAGGCCGCTGCACTGCGCCGGATTTGTACATGTGAAAGAAACGCCCGGTACGCCTTTTTCAACATCGGCCGGAGCTCCACGCCTCCTCCATCGACCACTGAGCAGCTAGCACACTCTGGGTTCGAGGCGCCTCGCTTGTCGATGCAGGCTCGATGCCATGCAGCTGCCAGAGAACGGAGTCTGCTGGTGATGGTGCTGACCAGGGTTCAGCGGGCCAGGGCCTCGATGGGGGGAGGGGGGGAGCGAAGTGAGGGGCACGATGGAGCTTGATGGTGGTGGTGGTGGTGGTGGTCGTGGTGGACATCCGTTCAAGTTGTCCGGATTCAGCGCGAGCAGCCAGCGCGCTTAATTTCACGGCTCACTCTCCAGCATGGCCATCACGGATCACAGCATCACACGAGCACGCGGCCGTCATCCACGGCTCCAGACGGCAGCATCTGGCAGTGCCGCACCGTACCCGTTACCGGGGAGGGGTGCTGGGCTGTAGCCCCCTCCTCGTGGGTTTGAAACAATACTGGTTCGTTCTTTTTACGGCACCAGACTCGCTCGTCCAGCCGGCGTATGTATGGCGTTTCTCGCCGTTCGTCAGCCGGCAGCAGGGTGATGCGAGCAGCATGTAACTGCAAATCTGCGAGTTGCAAGGTACTGGAGAATGGCAGACATGGTTCAGTTGTCAGTTGTCATTACGGATCAGAATTGTTCCTGGAATGCTAATCCCGTCACGGCCATTACCTCCAGAAAGGCTATCCTGTCCTGAGCTTCGCGCTGACAATTCGAGAAGCGATGTTCACGCTGCAGCCGCCTGGAAATGAAATCTCATTCCCGTTGAGAGTCAGATTGGTCTAAGATCTGGTCCAGGGTTGGGTGGAGGAGGAACCGCAATGAGACACAGACAATCGACTGGGCGGGGTTCACAGCGGACTAGAGACCTCTGAGTAAGAGGGCGGGCGAAGCCCGGTCACTAACCTTCTTGCTGTGGAGAACATCGAAACTTTGTTCGATATGGAACTTTCTGTGGCTCGAAGCACGCGCCGAAGATCAACAGGCAAATCTTTATTCCTTGCGAGAGTCAAGGTCCAGCATCTTTGTCTGGCTGGATGCAGCTGCAGCGGCAACGGCCGCCGGCCGTTTCGCCCTGGGTGCCAGTACCCCCGATCTTGGTACGGAAGCACGACGTTGCTCCCCATATTGCCTTCGACGGGGAGGGAACGTGGATCATGTATTGGGTACATGAGCTGCCCTCGAAATGAAGATGAGGTACATGCAATCTCGAGCTCGACCCCTGGGAGGCGAGGCGTTTGGCCTTCAAGCCTGGAATCGCCATGGCTCGGCGGGACGGTGGCAGTGGACACCCCGTGGCGTGTGCTTATCTAGAACGGGGCCAAGATGCCTCTGTAGCTCCTTGTGGATTTGTGGGCCCTGTCCTGCCCTCATCCTGCTGAAGCTCCACGGATTCGCCATTATCAGCACAGGAACAGCGAGGACAAGCACGCATGTTGTACGTCTAGTCGACGTCGGTTCAAAGGAATCGAAAGGTATACGCAATGCTGGTCGCAATAGCTACAGCTGTTCGAGTCTTTTCCCAATCTAACAGCCTTTCAAAGCGGGGACCCCTCACGGGAAACGCATTACAAGAATTTGGCACGACGAGTAATGTACACTTTGGATATCTGAAGTGGAGCAGCAAAGCTTCAATCACATGTCTGCATTCCCAACCCTTTCAACTGACCTCGCATGTCTCTTTTATCCTCGAATAGATAAATTATAAGGGACTTTCCTCGGCGGCAGTGGCTCCTGTGCCCTCTCACTAATTCTATTTCGTCAACCTGTCCCTAACATTCGTCAAATTATGGGCTCATTTCGTCTCGAAATTTCGACAATAGCCTCAAAGTGGAGTGCAGATCTGCACTATTCAGCGAGTGGGGGGGACGCCTCTTCGGCAGCATCGATAATGGAACGGATGCACGGCTGTATGCAAGTGATCGATTCAGGTGGGCGAGCGATCTAAATTCTGACTGCACTCAAAAAAAAAAGTACCTCCACCACCAAACCAAGCCAGACGAGACATGACCCTTTGAGGGGATGCAATTGAGTGCAAGTGCAAGTATTTCTAGTTCACTGAGTGGGTATTTAGACAGCGGGTCTCGACTGATTTTTTAGTTGGTTATTATAAGGTACAGCAAATACTCGTCGAATGGTGACGAACTCTTATCTGGCGCTGCTGGCAGTGCCATATGAGGAAGGTAAGAAGACTTCAACACTTGAACATCAATGAAACGATCCCGTCCACCGTGGTCTGGTGCAAAGTAGAAGCTAAATGGTCCCGAGAACTCGAGACGTGGCGGAGCTCGACGTATAGGAAAGACGTGCCCTGGTTCCCCGAGCAAGACCCTGAAGAATAACGTTCCAGATGCAGTCGTACTTCATCTGCAGCAAAAAGATTTCTAAGTTTCTCCATTCGCTGCACGGAACGACACACCGTAATTTTGCTGCTGTACCAAGACAAAATGGGACGACGAGGGTTTGGACGATTGGGCTGCAACAGGCTGAAGAAAGGCTGAAGAGATATGCGGCTCTACAGATTCATCTTTATGTGTGCTGCGTTGGCAGTTGACGTTGTGCTGTTCAGGCAAAGCGGAAGGGAGGATCCATGACGATGTAGGATCGAGGTGATGTTCCAACAACAACGTTCATCGCTTAAGCCAGTATTTGAAGTAAGGTACTTGGGTACATATTATCTGGCATCGCAGATTCAAGTGATGTATTCTATTTCTTGCACTTGCTACCAAAATAACGCAACTGCATCCGTCATGTATGATGAAAATCTCGCTGCTTCATACATATAAGGATGCGCTCACGCGAGCGGGGATAGTTTTTACGCCACAGAGGGGCCGTCAATTGCGTGCATGTGATGTGTTGCTCCTCGCCCGCGAAGAGTACAGTACCCGAAAGATGGGAGACATTTCCCCGTGGTTGCTAAGACAAAGAAAGGCATGGCCGACGTTCCTCGGAGTGACATTGGCACCCAACCCAAGCAAAGACAGGCAGATCCAGATCTCTGTTGTGCCCCCACGATAGATGCCCCGCCGGGTTGCTGATCATGAACCCTTTCTGCTCAGTGCACAAGGCCAGCCAGGACAGCCAGGACAGCCTCCCAGCAACACCATGCCGGCCGTTACAATGGAGCAGGCCAACCACAGGGAGCGGTTCTGAGGGACGCCCTCCTCGCGACCTATAATAATAAGGGAGGGCTGTAACGAATCGTTGCGACCTCTGGCCACCTATTCTTCCTGTGCTTTTGCCCCTCCGCCGTTCTCTTCTGCTCCTCTCCCTCCCTCCCTCACTCCATCCTTCCCTCCGTCCCTCACATCTGCGCATCTTCTCTCTTGCAAACAGCGCACACTCTGCGGTCCACGCATTTGAAACGATTTGGTGATGATGCCCATGAATACACTCCCGGACTTCCCGATTCCTCCAATGAGAGGGCAGGATGGGGATGAGGGGTCGGCTCGCTCGGCCAATCTTCCCTCCAGACCTGTGGACAGGTGGGGCCGTGGACGATTGGAGCCCCAGGCGTTCTGAGGCTGATGCTTGTTGATTGAGTCGGCTGTCCCGACCTCACAACGACCAACTTCACCACGACCACGCCTCACTCACCCTTTCCTCCCTCTCCAACCACCTCGCCGTCGAGGCAACGACGACGTGCTTCTGAACACCATCAATTCCATCGCGACCTCTGCATAGCACGCACCGGCTGCACGAAGGCATGCGAAGTATATGAGTCGCAGCGACTGGACCTGTGACGGGGCTGCGTGGAGGCTCCAGCTATTGTTGTTGTTGCTGCTGCCGCGTTGCTCGTGCAATCATGGCCAGCTACCAAGGTCCGACGACAAGCAAGTCGCGGACGAAGGTCAAGCCCATCCTGAGGAAGTTGACGCAGAGCGAGAAGAACTCCCTCGACCTGGACCGGCCAGCGGCGGAGCAGGATGGCCTGGGCATCTACGACTATGGGACCGGCTCCCGGTCTTCGCACGACATCAATTTCATCACCGGCATGGGAATAGGGCGGAGAGGATACCACAATCGCAGCACCAGCGGGACGTCGCAATTCTCGACCGCAACGACTGGCAGCGGGCATCGAACTGGGAGTTTCGTACACCCGTTCCAGCAAACACCGCGGCCGTACACGCCTCCGCTCGCAGCCTCGTCATACCAGAATTCACTGCGCGAAAGCGAGCACTCGCACTCGAACTCGCCTGTCCTGACTGAGGACGACGACCCCACCAACGCCCTCCAAAACTTCCGCTCTACCTCGAACCTCTCGAACCACCGCAACCCTTCATTGACCGGCGGATCATCTACACCTGTGGTCGCGCAGCCGCTGCGTATCCCAACCAAGCAACCCTCATCCTCCCGCCTTGCTCTCGCGACGTCACACACAAGTCTTCACAACCAGGACCTCACCTCTCCTACCGACACGCCCGCCATGTCCCCCTCGTCCGCAATCCGCACCAGCATGGACAAGGGCTTCCGGATCCGTTCGCGCAGCGAAGTCGACTCGCGCTCGCGCTCAGAGACCATCCAAGAGGCGCGCCGCAAGTTCCAGGAGAAGGAGCTTGCGAAGGAGGAGAAGGCCGCGCGGGAGGAGATCAAGGCGTTGGAGAAGCGGAACCAGAAGGAAGCAAGACAGATCGAGAGAGGACATAGGCGCAGCAGCGCAAGTGATGCTACCCGGAGCAAGAGAAGCAAGAGTGATCTCACTATGACAGAGAAGGGGGAGAGTTTGGTGGGCAGGGAGTATGATAGTGTGACGGTGCAGACGCCACCAGTGTTCACCAATGGGTTTGCGGGTGAGGAGGGCGTGCAGAGACGCGAGGGTGCCCTGAAGGAGACAAAAAAGAAGACGCATAGTGCTTGGACTAAGTTGATGATGTGGTTGAGGACGAGATTCATTCGTATGGGCAGGAAGAGAGATCGGTCTTGAGCTGGGAGCTGCACGCATACGAACTTGCGAGCACCTGAGCATCAAGCATGAACATATGCGTTTCTGAGCTTTCGATCTGTCACCCGTAAGCATGGAGCACAGTACAGCATCTAGACCTGGCGGTGGCGGACTTCTCAGCATTTCGTCACTTTTTTTCGAATAACGACAGATTTCCTTTCTTTGTCAATACCCCTCTTTTACGAACGCGCACACGACATTCACGAACTCTATACGCCCCGGTACATTCACGAACAACATTGAAGCATGCTACCCCGCGGAATGAATCTCACATTGGCGTTCTCGGGCTTGCTTTCTTTCTATGCAGAATGGAGATCTTTAGGCTGGTGGCTTTGATTCACTGCATTACGGCACAATGGGTTATACATCAGCGTGGCGTTATGGATCTTTGCTTTAACTTTGACATTCCACTTTCTGTGTGGCTTTGGCTGGTATACAGCACACATCACACACATGGGTGGCTGAAGCCCCACGACGAATGCACGTGGAGGAAGGGGATTTGATATGGGGCGGTGCCACAGTGGAGAGAGGAGTGCTTTTTATGCAGAGACAGATAGGGGCCGTATATCGTGTTTCTTTCCTCTTTCAGGGGGCTCAGGATCCTGACATCGGGCGTTAACTGGAACTGGACTTATACAGGCTGGATGGTAGAAAAATGGAGAGAATCACTCGGATGCATAATTTCTGGGCTTCTTGTGATATTCGGTGCTTTCCCGATTCTATCTGGTACATACTCAAGCCAGAATTGCACTCTTTTCAAGAAGCTGATTCCCGTCTAAATATCTGTGAATGACGTGTCCGGCCATTCATTGCTTTCTGGATCTCATTCGTCTTTCTCAACATCTCAGCTGTCTATGTGATTCGAATTTTGGATGTGGTATTCACGTATCCATCCAAGTGTTCACATATCAAACCCCCTCTCTTTGATTATGAAGCTCTTACTCCTTTTCTCCCTCTATCTGCAGATCATTAGCAGTATCAAACAAACAAAGCAGAGTTTCTACCAAGGCAGTACCATAGCAGCAGCAACCTTTCTTTCCAGCAGGAAAAGATTACAACAAGCACATCAAAGCATGTTCCCCGGAACCAACCTCCCCTCTCTTCCTTGCTTCACTCCACTGCCCTCTTTCTCTACAAACTTCCTCGCAAAACCCCCAGGTTCCAACAAGAGAGAAGTGTGTCACCTTGATAACTCGAATACGGTGCTCGTCTACAACATCGCTGCAGATCGGTTGTTTTTCTATACACAAACAGAACTAGTAAGTCTTTCTTTCTTCTTCCCGAACACTATTCCCTGCCCCTTCTCCCAGGCCGAAAACGTCTTTGCAAGACTAACGCGAGTACAGGACCTAATCCGCCTCTCCAAAAGCGTCTATCCTATCCTCGTCCCCAAATTCAGCAAGAAGGTTGACATTTGGCTTCCTGCAGAGCTTGAGGATTTGCGGGATGCAGGTGGAGATGGTGGTAGAGAATCGATGGAGAGCGGGGACTGGGTGTACGTCCATGGGCATCCTGGCGACGAATGGATTGGAAGGGATGCCGGGGAGGCGCGGTGCAGGACAAGCCAAGGCGGCATCAGGGAATGGTGGCGAGGACGTATCTTGCTGCCGAGTCAGATTAGATTCGAGCGGTTGATGGGGAGGTGGGCGGAGGTGCTTGTTGTTGAGGAATGAGTCTTTCCGATGGGTAGTTTTGCATTCGTTCTTTCTTGTTGAACGCATTCAACGATATCAGCTTTGCGGGAGTCAGAGTCGATGATCTGGATGGGAATAACCTATGCGTTTTTTATTTAAAAGTTGCTTCGAACGGGGTATCATCTATCCTATCCTTCTCTCCTTCCTCAGTCACAATTTCTCCATTACTCCAAAGCCAAGCTCTCCCCATTCCCCACCTCTACGAACCTAACCTCCTCCCTCCCCTCCCCACCCTCAGCTTCCCCCTTTAAAGTATCTTCAACACTAGCCCCCACCCTCCGCAAAAACCACCCCACGACCCCGCCTCCCCTCTTAACCTCATTATGCGTGCCCACCCAATACTTCAATCCCAGCATTCTCTCAACCCTGAGTCCATTATGCGCACCCATATTCAGCTGCGGCTTTTTCCAGAACCCTTCGAGACTGGTACCGTGTAATCCATGCAGTAACGTCAATATTTCAACTCCCGGTTTCGCGGTAGTAAGAGGCTCGAGGTTGGAAGGTGAGATGCTGTGCGGTGTGTAGAGTATTGCTTCTGCTTCTGCGTCATCTTTTTCATCCCGGGAAAAGTAGATCAAGATAGCTGAGTGGAAATAAAGTAAATCGTTCCCCGTATACGCAATCCTATGCACGCCCATCCAATCTGGCACTCTCCTCTCCCCTGTCCCGCCATCCTTCCAATCCCCTGAGAGCCCACCGATTTGTCGCACGGTGCGAAAGTGTTTCCAGGAGGAGGTGGCTGAGAAGGCTTTCGAGGTTGCGAAGATGGGGGTAGAGGGCGAGAGAGTGAGGAGTGTGGGTTGATGCATGTGGTCTGTGAATTCGTGGAAGATGAGGACTGCGTCGATCCACCACTCCTCTTCAAGTCAGGGCGAGAAGCAGCAGGAGTACGAGCAGGGGAGAAGGAGAGCGAGCAGCAATCTCTTCAATCCCCCGTACAGCATCTTCTACCTCCGCTATACTCTGACAGCAGGAGTTGATTGCGTGCTATTGGGTGCTGAAGAAGGCTGCTACGTCGCTTTGGGGACCCGCCAGCCATGGATCTATCAATATGTAGAAGTATAATCGTTTCTTTCCCGGGGGATGGGATAGAGGTATCGGGAGCAAGAGGAGCCAGGTCGTGTCTGCGTTCAAATGTGTGAGAGTTGGGCGGCGGGAGGAGAAGGCGTGGGTCATTGAGATGCGGAGGTCGGTGAGGAGTTGTGTTGAGGGGGGAGTCGAGGTCTTCGAGGTCTTCGAGTGCAGAGGACATCGTGGAGATTGGAGCTTGGCTTCTGGGATATTATTCGAATGGAGCCCGCGGAGCTCAAGTGATGAGGGATTATAGGATGAGGGATGTTATGGTATTAAGCGGTGGAACCGGAGGCAGAGCATCGTGGTTGTAGTGAAAAGGTGTTGGTGTTTGAAGGAGAGAAGATGTGGCGGGCTTGATTCAGGGGGTAGCAGCTCAGATCTTGATTGTTACTACATCCAGTCCACAATCTGGGTATCGGCTGAAAAGCTTCCATTTCACCGCTATTGTCACCTGGGGATTATGTGAAGAGCATTGAAAGTTCAATAACCAACTCCAATCCAATATTTACCTGCAAGCTCAAATGAAATTCCACAATAATTCTACCTTGCTTGTTAATCATCCCTGCTACCCATGATACGATTCGAGAAGTCTCCTAACTGCATGGTGCCCATTCTCTGATGCTCTTCTCACAGCATTTTCGTACTGTTCCTGTCCATCTTCAAATATATTCGCTCTGGAATTGAGGAGCAATTGCACCATGTCAATCCTTCCATGCTCAGCCGCTCCTTCCAAAGCTGTCCTTCCACCAATTTCAGCAGCGGGAGCATTCACATCGGCGCCGTACTGCAGCAGCAGATAGGCAATCCCGAGGAGACCTTTAATGGCAGCGAACTGTAGTGCGGTTGCGCCGAATTCTTTGGTTGGCGGCGCGTTCACGTCGGCTCCGTGCTCAAGGAGAAGTTCCACAATCTCTTTGCCTCCATCTCTGCTAGCCATCTGCAGAGGTGTGTGAAGCATGTTGCCATGGATGGCATTTGCGGTTGCCTTGTATTCTAGAAGAAGCCTGATTGCTGCCGTATCTTGATTACTCACTGCAATCTGAAGTGGTGTTCCGTTCTCGCGTTGCGGTTCATCGTTGCAGCTTCTTTCATTGCTCTGAGGGAGGGCAACTGTATTTGCATTCGATCCATTCTCGAGAAGTATGCGCACTGTATTAAGGCTTTTCCTAGACACAGCAAACTGCATCGGGGAATCATACATACCACTCGTCAGATTTTTATCTGCATCGGCACCTGCTGCCAACAGTACTCTAACTTTGTCCGGATTCTTGTATATTGCCACACACAGGGCGGCCCTGAGGTAACGGAAGTATCCCGGATATTTTTCCAAATCTTTATCCATTTCGAAGACCGTGTTCGGGTCAGCACCATGGCCAAGAACCATGCTGACAATCGGGTAGTTGGCGGCAGTATCGTGTTTGAGAGCTCCTAGTAACGCCGTTGACAATATCCGATCGGTCCGTTTATTGTACTTTAGAAGGGCATCAAGGAGAGACACGATAGTTATCTGGTCTTGCCTTCGCATCGCTATATCCAGCGCCTCGTGTCCCACATCCTTGCTGTCATCAGTCATGTCCCAGCTATCCAGCGCTGTAAGAAGGATTTGAAGCAGTCCGAACTCGGCCGTGGCCTCTCCTAAGGCTTTGGAATCATAAGGGTTTGCTCCGCTCTGAATAAGACGGCCTACCAAATCAATGTGCCCCTCCTTGACAGCAGCTGCAAGGGGCGTCACAGAACTGGATGCAGAATCAGAAGGGTTGTTGACAGCAGCGCCCATAAAAATGAGCTTGTCAACCAAAGGCAAGTTTCCTTTCATGATGGCAGCAGTGAGGGCCGTTGTGCAAATGCATACAGACTCCCCCCCTTTGCCATCGGCTCTGCCTAGAGCGTCAAGGCTTGCTCCTGCGTTAAGAAGTTTCTCAACCACCAAGTCGTCGCCCCATTTAATAGCCATAATCAGTGCATGGCCACAGACCTCGTGGTGCGACACGCAATTTTCAGTGGACTCTTTACTATACCCCGTGAGTATCGTTTTCCTGCTGAGGACAGTGAGGATTGAGTTGTGATTGATGAGCTTCAAAACCGTGTTCCGGTCTTTCCTTTGAATTCCAGCCATCAGTGCGGTTTGTCCAGAATCGGAAACGGCATTGATATCCGCACCAGCAGATAGAAGGGTGTCTAGCATACGACCATAGCCACTGTCGACTGCCCGTAATACAGCGCCTCCGAGGTACGGAGAAATTGACACATCACACATTGAAAATTTGTCAATGATGAGGCGCAAGGTGTCAATGGGTCCAAATTGGAGAGCCGACTCCAGTCCGTGGAGCTCTTGAAGAAGTTTTCGGCCTTTGGTAACTCCACATTCAAAGACTTGGTTTATAATAGCATTTTCCCCCAGGACTATAGCTTCAACCAAAACCATCCTTTGTGTCCTAATATCCGGTCGCGCCTTGAGTAGAGCCCCAAAGATCTTCTCCTGGCCTCTGCCCATGGCCAACTGGATAGCGTATGGCGATAAAGGAGCACCAATATCTAAGAGCAATGCCACAAGTTCGAAGTCGCCTATCTTGATGGCATAGTCCAATGAATACCTGGCCGTCCTGTTACCCCCGGCGCGCAGCATCATCTTAACAAGCACAACACTTTCTGTCAGCACACTCAGCTCGAAAGTTGTCGTACAAAATCCTGTGTGACCGTGACGGTTATCTGACCTGTCACGCCAATAAACCTCTCCGTGTACATCGTCTCCTGCATCTAGGAGACTTTGAGCCACGCCGATGACCCTCGATAGACTTTTTGCACCGGGAAATAGTGGTTTCCGTTTGGATAGTGGTTTTGGTGTGATGACTGGAGAGTTGAAACAATCTATCGCTCGTTCCTCCGTGCTATAGAGACATTCCTGAAGAGCGGAAGTGCCTTTTTTTGTCCGAAAGTTTACGTCTGCCCCTTTCTGAAGAAAAAAGTCAACGAGCTCCAGATTCCGATATTTAGAGGCGACTGTCAGTGGCGAGTGCGATTCCACCATGACTGAACACAGTGCTATGCCAAAGGAGTTCTGGTAAAGAGGCTGATATGCTCCCTTCTTCCCATTCAAGCTCTCCAAGTTCGACTTATCAACCTTTGGGTTAATAGCCGCTCCAGCGTCCATTAAGGATCTAATGAGGATGAGAAAGAGAGCTGCCCTTTCCTGAGTGTCCAAGTGGTCGTCAGGAACCTCCCAATATTTCTCTAGATGAGGAAAATTTCGTAATCCCCAGAAATCTTTTCTTCCTCGGAAGTTCTCCCCAATGATAGCAAGGACCAATCCACTGCTTTTCCAGCCACTGCCAGGCTGGTCAATGACCGATCCGGCGTCGATCAATACATGGACCAGTTCCGTATTCCCTCTAATGCAGGCAAACTGAAATGGATTCATATTGTCCGGAATTCGTAAATGTCTGCAAACGTGCCCGTTAGGATCCACCCCTGATTTGATCATGAGCTTGACAGTTGGGACGTCTTCAGCCTCTATTGCAAACCGAAACAGCTTTTCACGGAGTGCCTCCGCAGTTGTTCCCTCCATAGAGGTCAGGGTTTTGACAACGGCGGTGCCACCCTGAGTAAACCATTTGTATAATTTCTCGTCGCTGGTTTCTCCAGGAAAGTTGTTTGAGATCAAGAAAGTTGCAAGGTTCAAGAACTGGAGAGAACTAGGTTTCTCGACTTCTCTTAGTGCAATTTCTGTCGCACAAGGCTCTTGATTGAATGCTGAGTTAGGGATAAGAGAGTCTATCATAGACAAGCTAGCCTTGCTCAGATTCCCTTGATTGAATCGTTCCCCAAAGAGTGGCACAAGTGCTGATAAGCTAGAGTCGAAAGACTTGACGGCTTCTGCATCGTCGCAATGGTTAACAATAGCGTACAATTTGATTTCGTTCATGACTCACCAGCTAAGGGATGTACTACTTCTTGAAATTGAAGTATAGGCAGATCTTCAAAGACGAGTCTAAAAACTGATCTTGCCGTCGGGGTGCGTATGTCAAATCCGGGAGGTGTTCGGGGAGGTGTCACTAAACACTGTTAAACTGGCGTCCTCCCTTTGGCGCATAAAATACTCACGATGGGCTTGGTTGAACTGCTCCGTGAATGACATATACCCCTGGCGAGATATCTCCTTCTGAAGTTTTTTCCGCGGCATCAATTCATGGTCGAGATAGACGTTGCTTTCTTTTGCTGCCCGTTTCCTTTGTTCAACCTTGGAACCAACAATTCTCCAGTCTTCCTTTGTGTGGTTCTTCTTAAAGCCCCATTCCTTGAATTTCTTCTCATATTGTGCTTTCCTAGAAATCATGCGTCAAGCTACAAGGAATTTTCGAAGGGAGTCCTCAACCCAATTGTACTTACGTAGCCTTGAATCCATGTCTCTCTTCCATTTTCTTAATGACACCATCGGGTCCTTCAAGTTTATGCCCATTTGCGATGTAGAGACCGCGAATGGCGTTCCTGAATCGGTCCCAGCCTTGCGGATCAACTCGCTCAGACATTTTGCAGACGTTGCCTGCGCCGAACTCCGTACCAGGCTGTTTGATCAAGTAGATGGAAAGAATACAGAGCTGGATGGCAGATCGACAAATGCTGAAGGAGAGGTTTGCCAATGTCTTCGAGCGACAAGGCATCAACGTGGTGAAATTCAAGGATGGCGCAGCCACGACAGCCGGGCTACGTGCAACGCCGGGGCTGAGACACTGCTTTTTCATTCGCAGATCCCAAAATCTGAGCTGCAGCCACTTCAACGCCTGACCACAGATTGAACAGGGCTTCGAATGTCTTGCATAGATCTTTCTTTTGCGTGGTTGCGATTTGTCGATTCCAAAGTCTGCCTGCGTCGAACTTACCATGTGGAGTGGTCGGGTCCACGACCAAGTCTTCCCTTATTGGTGTATTCCAAAATCTTTTGCGAACTATGTGGGCCCATGGCCCTTGAAACGGACAGTATCGGTACCGTGGGTGCTACCGGTGAGTTGCCGAGTGATTCTTGACTGCACCGAGAAGACAGAATACATAATCACTGGTTGCTCCCAAAATCTGTTTCCGGTCGGTATTCCTTGAGCCCCTGTCTGGGATCCCATAAGGTGGAGAGACACGGGCATGGCTTGGTTCTAACAATACGGGCGCCCGGGTCGTGGGTGGCCTATCCAAGTGCTATTCATTGGTAATTTCCAAACTCTTCTCCCGTCCCTGGCAAAAGACAGTACCGCCAATGCGAACCCATTGAAGATTTCCAAAGTATGCCCCACGTCCTTTTTGCCTTAAGCAATCTGTCAAACGAGACGGAGGAAAAGGCGTGATGTCCATTCAGGTACTGGTATGTGCTGGAAGGTTTGACTTCGCCACAGTTCTCTAACAGAATATTTAGATCTCAGACTTCGTAGAACCTCGGTTCCCAGGCCTGGCACTGCAATATACATTCAGCGCAATGCATATCCTGAGACGAGACCTCGATTTAGTACTCCCCTTATCTTGAACCACGGTTTGTGATAATTTTTGCCCGATCTTGCTAGAATTTGACAAGAATATTACTGATACATTTCGATTTCTCTAGAAACGGTTTCATTCTCCTTTCAATCGCGGTCATATGTTCAATCATTGTGCTAAGGGACTGCCTTCGAAAAGGTCAAGGAACCAGAGGGGTGTCTCATTAGATACAAATCTTGTTATTATCAAATCACTGGAAAGGTTCAACTCTAACTGCATGTAAGAACGCTAACACGAAGGCACTTAATTGAATGTCTCTCGTTCTCCATACTTCCATATGTTGACTGCATTAATTGTCGTGTGAATATCATATGTCAAACGAATCGCCATATTTAAAATTCTAAGGATAAAGTCTACGCGATAGCGTCTCTTCTATAAAGCGTTAGATCTTATGCCATTTTAATTCTGACAACAGTACGAAATTTAACGATGTGTTCTGGGAGTAGTGGTGGTGTGAAGTGCTTGATTCAGGGCTGGCGGGGGGAGACTAAGCCGAAAGCGCCGAAATCCGTGCTGACTTCCCAGCAACACACCTCTACAACATTTCCTTATTAGCAATCATGATCTTCTGAGTGTAAATGCGTCAGACTACCTTGGATACTTAACTTGAAGATATACTATATACAATTGAGGGTACACTGGCCTGCTGCGGTTTGAGAGCCTGGCTCGCAGCTCGGTGTCCTTTCTAAGGGTACAATTATTCTGGCAGTCATCACTCCCCCAAAAACCCGCTCCTTCAATTCTTCAAACAAGAAATATCATCAAAACCATACTTTTTAGGCCCCTACCTAAGTTATTCTATTCCGAGGTATCTAATTTCCCCAGCAACTCTTGTAATTTCACATATAGGGTCTGATCCCAAATCCGGTATCCTTCTTCATTGAGGTGAACGTGATCGACTAAATGCTCTTTCGTGATACCCAAGGGCGCTTCCATCCAGTGGATTCTCTGTCCAATTCCCAAATTCTTGTCGAAGTCGTTGAGCATGCCTCGGAGCAACTCGTTTGACTCTTCCACATACTGATCCCCAACATCTTTCCGCTTGAAGAGTTCGCACGCAATGATCTGACTCCTCGGTGAGATAGAAAGAAGTGATTGAAGCAGTAACCGGTAGCTTTGGACTTCAACTGGAAGCAGATGGTGTGTCTTTTTGAGATTGTTGGTGCCAACCATCACTACCCAGACCTTGACGTTCCATTCCTCCAACAGGTCCATCATGCCGAGATCAAGTCTATACAGGACGTTCTCGATTTTGTCTCCGCCGACGCCGGCGTTGAATGATGAGGGGAGGTGAGCGATTTGTGTGTGCGCACTCGTGGTCTTTAGACGCTCCAGCATGGAGTCACCGATCAAGACTGTATCTATCGCGGCTGGGACGTTGGTGGGGCTAGGTGTTTGAATCTTCTCGACGGAAGAGGAACCAATCGAGGCTATATTCGGCGCACTGTCTTTTAGTAACTGTGCTTGTCGATTTTTGAGCTCGGGAGCATGGGTGTTGTGATAGGTGTTGTGAGATCGTGTTTTGAATTTCATCTCGGCCTGGAGCAGCTTCTTGAATTCCGTCTTCGATAACCCCTGATTCTCAGGGATCCGCCCTTCACTTAATTTCATTTGGTACGTCATGTGGATGTGGTGAAGAGCTTCAAGGTTATCTTCTGTGATGGGCTTTGTGTTCGGAGGTTGATGGTCGACGTCTTCAAAACCTACAGTTCATATATTTGGGAAGACAAGCCATTTAGATGGCTCGCTTCATATTGTTGAACTAGCTAAAGCAATATAGCTAGGGTCACGTGCTTGCAATGTAAACCAAGTAAACGATACTGAATTGACTGCTGTTCTACAGTGGTAAGTAGCCCGTATATATAGCCCTGAACCCCCTAAGTCACATGTACTAAATCCCTATGCCAGCTGAACCGATTACAGCTATACAGGGTATTCCAGCCGTACATGGTATTCCAGCTATACAGGGTATTCCAGCCGTACAGGGTATTCCAGCTATACAGGGTATTCCAGCCGTACAGGGTATTCCAGCTATACAGGGTATTCCAGCTGGACAGGGTATTAAGCTAGTGCACAGCCCCATGGCGTTCGGTTCCAGGGCTTACTAAGCCTATTAGGGGCCTCAGGCCCCTAATTTCAACACATATCCGTGGTGACTCACTCGGTGTGACTTGACTTACTCGGTGTGACTTCGACACTTAAACAATAAAATTTCTTGCAAAACCAGCTTCACCTTTATGTATGCAGCTGCTGGAAGTCCTAGCTAGCTTTTGCGATGTATGAACAGCTTATACATTCTCCGATTCGTGTCGTTGCTTAGTAAGGTTAATGCTTAAGAATCATTGATGATTGGAGAGACTACAGTCGTGTGCGAAACTATCAATCCTGCACCAACCGTCTTGTCGAAAGGCTGATATATATCGGTCTTCAAAGATAATATATCTATGTCCATTTCCCCTCTTGGCAAATCTTGTGTGCCTAAAAGCTCTCGTTCTTGAGCTTCTTGGCGATGTGTTTGCTGATCGGCTAGTATCGTTTCAGATTGGAAAGATTTTAGAGCCGGCTTAGCGAGGAGAGGGAGGCTCTTGGTAACAGGGAATTTATAACTATCACGCAAGAACCTTTGACTTAATTTTTCAATTTTAGACGGCGGCAGGATTAGCAGAGAAGCCCAAACGGGTCGCCTTCGGCTTAGGCTGTGCTCGCCCACAGCTCTGGTCCAAAGACGGAGATGAAAAATGTTCATATCAAGATTCCGACTCCGAATTCGCACAAGGCTTGCAAATAGGCATAAATGCATGCGATCTCATAATATTTCAGACAGATTCTACACAGGCTATAATCCTAATACAGAGAGAAGTAATCAATAGGCTTGAGATTAATTGACATGATAGAGACGTATGGAATAGCTTCATTTTGAACCGGTGAAAATGAAATGCGCGCACTTTGAAGTACGAAGGCGACGGGCGAAAAAAACCGTCCAAATCCCTTAAGCGAGAATTTGCGCAATCTTAGCCTTGCGATAAAAAATTTGTCGTAATTGTAACTTGAATTTAATTCCAGCAAAATTGTTATAAAAGATAGATCTGCTTCTTCTCTATTATACAAATTAAAAAGTAAAGAGTTTAGACGTTGTGTTGAACCTTAGTGTGATTTTCCACAGGTAGCGATTTTGGTGTTCCTCGCGATTTGGCAGATGGCCGGTTTTTTTTCGCCCGTCGCCTTCGTAAGGATACTTAGATCATGATAAAGAATAGGAAAGGCGACACGAAGGCGGAAGATACAGTGATATCCATTATGTCACTGCGAGCCCAGCCTTTTTTTTCTAGCGAAACATATACTTTCTTTCTTCAAATACATCGCGATTTCCAACCGATTTAAATCCCTTCTCAACTTACTATACTATATCTAAAATACCTTAAATATATATGCAATTAATCCTCTAACTTATAGCTATAAAATATCTATTTTTCTTCTTATTTAGTGGCTTTTAAGTCGTGATATTTAAGATTAGAGTGTATTGCAAAATGCGTTGAATTTTGGGCGAAAAAGGCTCAAGAACACGAAAATTACGAGTTAATTTCTATAAATCAAATTACTCCCCAAGTAAGGGTATAAAGAGTTTTAGTAAAGAACATTCTATATTGAAAATCTTAGAAAGAAAGATATATACTTTTTATAAGTAATTCACGTTTTCGTATGGGAAAAGTCCCCCCCTAAAAAAAAGTCCACGTTTCGCTAAAAAAAGAAAAAAAAAAGGCCGGGCTCGCAAGGACATAATGGATATCACTGTAGTTCATCCGATTAGCGCAAGACGAAACCCCTCAGATGACAGAGGTAAACCCAGACGACAATTTTGCATTTCCTGCTCCAACGCGGTTAGTCAGCATCGCCGCTCTACCCAGGCGCTACTCAGGCGCTACTCAGGCTCGCTTCAGGCATTAGAAAATTGAATATCTATCGCTTTACTTCACGATTTCAAGATAGCAACTAGGCATTAGAAGTTGAAATTAAGGCATGTTAATGAAAAGAGGATTAACTTTAATCTAGCATCTTTAGTTTAACTTTTGCATTTTAATTAGAAATATTAAGTTTTGCTTCAGGGGATAAAATGCCCTGAACGCACAGACTAGTGCGGTTGGGCTCGTAAAGTACTTAACTATAACAGGCATATCATGACGGTAATCTAACACGAGCATTTTCTGTTTCTGTCTTTGAACCTGAGCTGATGCTGCTTTAAAGTAAGCCGAGACTGAGCAACCTGAGCTGGCCGAGTGCAGCCGAGGGGTCGAAATTGCCCCCTTGCTCAAGTTGGAGCATAGGGTAAGGATTGTTCAAGGATCCATTTTTTGGGTTCCAACGTAGCCTTATACATTTGCATTGCGACCACATGCTGCTTGAATGGTAATGCCTGAGGAGCGCAGGGGCTTGACACCCTTAGGAATTCGTCAAGAGAAAGCCTCTGCGCAATCAGAAAAGAGATACGTCGACAGTCACGTTCTCATGCAAGCTCTTTCCTTCTCAATAATTCTTAAAATCTGGCGAAGCACTTCCCACATTACAGTGCCCATCGACTAATAGAGATTCAGATCCTCGGCGGTACAATGCAGACCAGAATCTCAGCTGCATCCTGTGTTGTATAACATAGTCAATCAACCAACTGACCAACCAGCCAATCAATACATTGCTTCCTGGAAAAGAGCGCTGACATAGTATATTGGATTCCTCGCGTGTTTCATTTTCTCATAATTCCTTCTGACCCGTAGTTTCTGGGATCAGGACTGTCTTGTGGCCTGGCGGTACTGCGAATCCCCTCCTAGTCTCGGAAGCCTTCTGTCAGGAGCATCTAATAAACGCCGTTATTTGATTGCGATATAGTGTTCGCCCTGTTCGAGATATATGGTAATAAGAATGATGCGTCTACAATCATTGTCAGGTATTTATAGAGCAGGCTATTCTAGTTTCCTGTGGGGCGGTAGCTTGTAAGATTTACAATTGGCAAATTGATATAAAAGGAATGACTAATCTAAATACATTCCGACTATGCGCACTTCCAATGCCCTATAGTCGTATTCATCCTGCGCCGTTACAACTGGAGCGCTAATATTGTATCGGGGCCAGTATTTAGCTGTTGCTCCGGCCCATTTTGAGATGGAAATGCTACATAGCTTCTACATCTGTTTACTTATCAAATCATATTAATAATACATATATATGGAGTGAGAAGTAAGTTACGGCATAGTAGTAGATACCGCACGAGTCCACGCCGATTTGATAGTAGACTCGCAATATGATCTCACTCTAAACTCCCAAGCTGTTCCCTTCGTTGTCCAAAGAGTATCCAAGTGTCGCTCTTGAGTAAAGTTTGCAGAATCAATTACCCATTCGACGCCTTCTTGCTGAACTTGAACCTCATAGCCATACGCGCCATACACAAAGTCCCATGTGAATCTAATACGCTCTTGGCTGGGGTAAATCGCAACAGTCGCTGGGGTGAGACAAGTTCGACTGGGGAATTTAGCTGGAAGGGCAAGCGGCTGCTGTCCTATGCCGAAATTGTGATATAAAGTTTTACTAAATGCATGCGCAATCTCGAACTCTCCTCGACTATTGGGGTGAATTCCGTCCAAAGCGGCGGGGCAGTTGGTTTGACCACCTATATAATAAGTCATTAGACGATCGCTTGGGAATGATATGGGATAGACAGTTACTTACATGAGTATGCTTCCATAAATTCAACCAACTCCACGGGCGAGCTAGGCAGCGACCACTTGGGGATTGCTTCCCGAAGTTTCTCGTTATATTGCCCTGTTCGAATGTCTAAATCTCCAACTTTGCTCCGTTGTGGCACGTTGGCGACGGCAAAACGAAGTTCCGGGCTAGTTGCTCGCGCCTTATCTATAAACTGCTCCATGAGGAGTAATGCTTCATCGGGCTCGCGTGACGCCCACGCTAAATCGTTAAATCCGAGCTCGACAAGTAAATAGTCGGGACGATAATCGTGGATTTGCTGATTGATTATGTCGACATCCTGTGCGATTTCTCTGCCCCAAATGGAAAAGTGGGCGCTTCCAGTACGAAGGAACTCTGGCTCTATATCGAAAGCATAGCCATTGTCCATCGCAGTAGGGCCGTCGAGTTCATCGCCATGGCGAGCGGCTGGCAAGGGAACCCCGGTGGACAGGTCCTGTGGCTGGAGCCGCGTTTGATGGAACGGACCTACAAAAGTGACTGGAACATTGTTCGCCTGGAACCACTCCCACAGTCTATAGCGCCACGTATGCATCGACTCACAACCTTGTGATATGGAGTCGCCGGCGACCAAGATACGGAGAGGAGCGATATCTGGCCGCAGCGCTCTCCCAGGACTCCTCTTTGCCCAGAACCCTAGTGTATATCCCAAGGCGCCGCAAATGATACCGACAAGAACGGCGACGGCTACCAGGTCTCGCCAATACGAGTCTCGCCAGTTCCGTTTTAGCCATCCGATCCGCAGTGTTCCTTTGCCGTTAGATAAGGGGTTATGGTCCAAATTTTGTTCGATGTCGGCGAAATCGAGTCTGTCGTGGCCATTCAGTAGCCTTGTCCCTTGCTCACCAAGCTCCATTATGTCGTGGTCATTCGAGTCCAGCAGCCTCGTCCTCTGCTCGCCGAGCTCCATTATGTCGTGGTCATTCGAGTCCAGCAGCCGCGTCCTCTGCTCGCCGAGCTCCATTATGTCATGGTCATTCGAGTCGAGTAGCCCGGTCCTCTGCTCACCAAACTCCATGATAGATCGTCAAAAGCAACGGTTTTCGAATCGCGTCGAGGCGCATGCCTAAGCCAGCTTGTATTCAGTGCGCAGAGAAAGGGTGGATGGCAAAATTTGGGCGGTTTTATGGATGACAATGCCCCTTTAACGAGCAAAATCTCTTGACCGATGACAGAGCAGGATGTCTTTTGTCTGCAGGAGATTTATGCGGTTGGTTGCAGGCCTCTCGCGTTAATTGATTGGCCATGCTGATAAGCGGCGGCGGCGCGTGAGGTGTGGCGCAAGGGATGTACAGTACTCTCTATGCTGGCGTTTCTAAGAATAGAGTAGCGCGTGAAACAAACGTTTGAAGGGAAATAACGTCGCGAGCCAGTAATTTGATTGCCAACAAGCTGAGCAGGGTGGTTTGAAATCTCTAACAAAGCTTTTGGTAGGGCTAAACAAGACCCAAATCGAGAGCCAATGTAGGTACTTGGGGCTCATTTTTTGCTGTCCTTGGAGTTATTGTTTTGAGCGCTCGCTATATTATTCTCTCTCGATACATTGTATCATCAGCTGGCAAAAGGCTACTCATGGCAACTTACACTGCTGAGTATAAAAGGTGGTAGATTTTCTCTCATGTTGCGTGTTTCATCACCTGAGCCAAATTCCGTCCCGACCCAACAATTGTCCAACAGACCGCAGGGGAGGGGCGCAGCTGTGCTTCGGCGGTTAAAGTCTTATATAAGTCAATCAGCTACTGCCGCTGGCAGTTTATGATCTCTTTGGACGGGTCCGGGATCTAAAGCTATTATCAAAATCTCCTTTCCTCGAACATCTATCACTCCCATATGCATTTCTCATTTCTCCCGCTGGCATTTCTCGCCATCATATCCCCGGCTTCCTCCTTATCTGACCATCCGACGCCCGCAGACTATGTTCAGCGTGGAGGACATTCAGGTAATTGAGCAAGAAAAGTTGATGTAGTAATCAGAACTAACCATTTACACGCCGTAGTCGCTCGATTAGGGGATTTCATCTACATAGATGGCGGTTGGATCGAACAGTATCAAGGTAGACATGGCGACGAAACACCCTTTCTTACAGGTAATTTGATGCGCATGCCTTGCACGGCTGGCCTTATCGGTGTGGGAAATGAGTTGAGTAGAGTAGAGTAGTGGGCCCTACTCATATTCTACTCAAGTTTTTTTCTCACTACTCATACTCTACTCAATACTCTACTCAACTACTCTAGAATATTCTTGAGTAGTTGAGTAGTGTGCACGTGATACCACACGTGACAGGCTAACCTAATTGGGTAAGGCTCCGGGGTGGCCCGAGCCTAGCGCCACCGCACTGCCCAATCAAGTGGTGGCGAGGCTTGGTAAGCGAGGTAGAACCTTTACGATACTTCTAGAACTACTATGGCTTATATATTATATTATATTATATTACTAATATAAGAGCTATATATTAGAAATTAAAGAACTAGAACTTTCGAAATATAGTATTTCTTTCTAATTAGAAGAATAATTAAGAAGCCTTTAGAATATTAGAATTTTCTATAAGAACAGGTTATTTTCCTCGAGTTCTCGCTTTTTTTATTTTTATAATTACTTATATATCTTTAACTATTACTCTTATAATAATACTTTATATTATAAATACCTTTATATATACTTTATATATTCGAAAATGTCTCAATAATCCTCGATTAAGCTTAATATAAGCCAAAATCACCCTGATTTTATATTAAAATCCCTTAATAAAAAACCTCTTCTCTTTAAAAAAGGATATTTAAAAAAGACTTTAAATCCAATTCAAGAGAACCCGGAAGACGCTCGTACTTGTACTATTAGGTACTTAGTATAAGGCTATTCGTAAGTTAATAATCTTAATTTTAATAGTTTTAATATTAATTAACTTTTTAGAAAAATATAGCTAAATTAATAAATATATAGTCAAATAAGTAATTATTTAGCTTACTTTCGGAACTTATATAAATTCATTAATCTTAATACTCTTTCCGATAGTAGAAATAATAGTAAGTTAATTAATATTATTTAAAGAATTATTTACTAGTTATTTATTAGGTAAAAGCAAAGCTTCTTCTTCTCAAATCTCTCAACTAACTATAAATAGTCTTTTTAATAGACAATCGGGCTAAAGAAAAGATAGCTTTACTATTAATTACTTTAAGAGATTATTATTAAGCTTTATTATTAGTAATAATATCTCTTTTCGAGCAGTTATTACTCCGAGCTTTAAAGTACTTTTAAAATATTTAAATTAGTAAGTACTTATATTATTATTATTATTATTATTATTATTATTATTATTATTATTATTATTATTATTATTATTATTATTATTATTATTATTATTATTATTATTATTATTATTATTATTATTATTATTATTATTATTATTATTATTATTATTATTATTATTATTATTATTTTATTATTATTATTATTATTATATTATTATTATTATTATTATTATTATTATTATTATTATTATTATTATTATTATTATTATTATTATTATTATTATTATTATTATTATTATTATTATTATATAAGCTAATATTTTATAGTCAAGTACTGCCTTTATATAAGAAAATACTTAAGGACGAGCTTAATTTGAGCTATATAGAAAAGAGTTTAAATATTAAAGAAGAATTATAAGAGAATATTAATTCTTAAGGAACCTTTTCTATTACTTTAGATACTTGAATAGGTATAAATTAAAAGCCTTTTCTTGGAATTACTATATAAGTTAATTAATTATTAATTATTAATTTTTTATAAAATATATACCAATTTTATTTTAGATATTTTATAAATAAGGATTTTATATTAAAATCTTATTTATTAGTAATAAAAGACTTAAATAATATATACTCTGGTATTTATATACTTTTTGTTTTATTAGAAGCTTTAAAACAATATAATATTAAATATAATATTACTAGGTAAGTAATATAATTACTAATATATTTTATTTAGTATTACTCGAGATAATACTAGTTTAAATAATACCTTATTAAAGGCTTTTATAAAGTATTATAATAAGCAAGGAATTAAATTTCAAAGAAATATTCCTTATATAGCTCATGTATTAAATTTAGTAGTTCAAGATATTTTAAAACCTCTTATTAAGAATAATTACGATACTTCTTATTCTACTAATTTATATAAGCAAGAAATAGAAGAACTTAAAGATAAAAAATAAAAAAGAGAGCAAGTAATAAGTAAGTTTCCTATATAATTTATAAGAGATTTATTAATAAATTTTAGATTTATTAATTTAGAGAAAGATTAGAAAGACTATTATAGGTCTTAAATATAACTAAGAAAACCAACGATTATTAGAAGCTCAAATTAAAGCTTTTAATATAGAAAACACTCGATTCCCTTAACTTAGTAAGTAATTAATAATCTAATTATTTATAGACCAAAAAACACGGTTGTTTTCGACTTATAATATATTAAAGAACTTTTTATATATATATAAAGCTATTGAAGTTATTATTAATAGCTCTAATTCGAAGGCTTTTAAAAATAAAAGTCTAGTTTTAACTAATATTAAAATTACTTATTTAAATAATATTTTAAATATAATTTCAATATTTATTAAAGCTACTATAAAGTTACAAGCCGAAAACTACTCTATTATATATTATATTATATCTAAGGTATATAAAATATATAATAAACTAGAGAATTTTAAGAAGAAATTTAAAGTAAGTCTTTTTTTAAACTCTTCTTATATTATTATTAATATTATACTAATATTTAATATGATAAAGCATTTACAGATACTATTAATAAGGGTATAGCTAAGCTTTGAAAATATTATCCTAAAATAAGTATTTTAAATAATAAAAGTAAAGCTTTATATTTAGCCCTTATTCTTGATTCTCGAATTAAATAAGAAGAATTAACTAGTATTAGCTTATCTAGCGGTATATTTTCGGATATATATAATAGATTAAAGACTAATTATAATATATAAGTAATTCCTTTAATTACTTTTTAATAAATAAATTAATTTATAATTTTGTTTAGATATAAATATGATTATAATTTATCTCAAGCTAGATCCGATTCCTCGGATATTAATATGGCCGATTCCGATTCCGATTCCGACGATATATATATTACTAATAAGTTTTCTAATATAGAAGACGAATTAGTAACTTATTTAGAAGAAAAAAGAGAAGATAGAAAAGTAAGTAAATTTTACTTAAACTTTATTAAATAACTATCCGGTATTCTCTTAATTTTTTTTTATATATTAGTACTAATATATATATAGACTAAGCCCTTAGACTACTAGAAGCCTAATACCGCTAGATTTCCTGTTTTAGCTCTAATAGCTAGGAAATATCTAGGAATCCCGGCTTCCTCGGCCGTTAGCAAGAGATTCTTCTCTCAAGGTACTCTTATTATGTCTAAATTGCGTAATAGACTTAATAAGAGTACTTTTGAGATTATATCTTGTCTAAAAAGCTGGGGGTTATTTAAAGATGAATTAGAAGAAGTAAAAAGAGAGAAAAAAAGAAGGAAAAGAAAGATTCTGAAGAGGGAAATTTGTTTTTTATAGAAGAAAAGTAGTATTTAAGTAGCCTTATATAAGCTCTAGCTTAAATTATATAGTGCTGCTTAATAGGTACCTTATTTATTTATTAATAATTAAATGAACATTGATTTTCTACATTCACGTGACTTGCACGTGACTACTCTTGAGTAGTACTCTACTCTACTCTACTCAAGTACCATATTACGCTACTCAAACTCTACTCTACTCTACTCAAGACTACTCTAGAGTAGCTTGAGTAGCTTGAGTATTTTTTGCCCACACTGGGCCTTATGCTCTCACTCTCGTGCTAATATATATTTATTGGCCATAGTAAACTCGACCTTGTCGATCCCTCTCGGCACGTCGTGGACCAACGCGACCTTGAATATGACCGACATAGAAAAAGCCGGGGCGCCAGTACTGATTCGGGAAGCGATGTGGACTGACGAAGCAAGGCAGTTGATATATATGTGGGGAGATGTGGAAGGAGCCCTGTCTACGCATGTTAATGATACCCTTACTTGGGAATTAACAGGAGATGGAACTGGCGGAGGTTCTTGGAAGTTTGAAAACTTGGAAAGTCCATCGCAAATGGCTGGACTGCAGCGAGCGTCAGCAGGAGCGGCGGCAACATGCTATAACACCGGATTTAACCTGGGTGGCCAGACAACTACCCAGAATGGAACGGCCATATTTGTCCCAGGTCTCTTGACGTACAACATGTCGAGTCACACATGGTCTAATGAATCTGCCGCTCCGTTTACCACTCATGGAACATCTGTGGGAGCTGAGGCTGTATGCTTGCCAGATTTTGGCCCACGCGGTCTTCTATTTTTGGGCGGTATAACCTCTGTGGACAACAACTGGCTCGACCCCGTCAGCGCCCTATCTAAAAGTCCTGGCGTTGCCTTTGACAATCTTACCGTGTACGATCCATTCACGAGAGAATGGTACTGGCAGACTACGACGGGGAACCGACCAACGCCAAGACACGAGTTCTGTGCGGTTGGGGTTCAAGGGCCACAGAATACATATGAGATGTACAAAATTCTCTGTCAAAGTTTTTCCACGAACACGGGAGGCTAATAGAAGCTCTAGTTATGTTTACTCCGGGTTTGCAACGCAAAGCACTTCCATGCTGGGGGACTTCTACGTCCTTAGCCTGCCCGGCTTTGTTTGGTTTAGAGCCAATTAAACATCCGCGGTAGCTCGTGCCTGGACTCGGTGTGTAGCTTTAGGAGACTCACAGATGACTGTGGTGGGTGGGTATACGGACCCAAGCCCGGATCCGTGGTCCCAAGGCATTGGAGTGTTTGACATGTCTTCTATGTCTCCGAGGACCTCGTACGATCCCAAGGCTGGTTCGTACAACACTCCAGGGATTGTCACGGACTGGTACAATAATGGGTATGGGTTCTGCCATTCCTCAATAGCTTATGCTGACTATGCTTTCAGAGGTGTAGATTCGGTCCGTTGGTCGTCTGAAACTGTCCAGCAACTTTTTCTGGGTCAGCGTAAGCAAAATACCACCAGTATGCAACTAGTTTTCCATTCTTTGTCTGATACAAGACGGGTAGCTAATTTGTACTTTGGACTCAACAGATTTAAATATCCCCCAAAACTCAGTCCCGAAGAAACCCAATACAAGGGTTATTGTAGGCAGTACATTCGGCGGTGTCGTCTTTCTTTCTATTCTGGTCGTCGGCATCTGGTGGTTCTGCTATAGGAAACGGAGCAAGATGGCCAAGAATAAGCTTTATAAGTCTGAAGTGAACGAAGCAGAGCTGTCTTCTTACTCCCCGGCTTTAGCCTACGAGTTAGAGCATAAGGAAAGCACTCTAGAACTCCAAGGTTACCAAGAACCGGTTGAGATGTAGGTATAATAAACCTAAGATGGAGAATCAAATACTGTTTACTTTTTGCTTGTGTTTTGCTACCTAGCCTGTTTTTTCACCAAAACCTCATCTACTGCAGATCTGAGCTTGGATAAAGCAGGCTTTGAAAACCCGCCTCAGAGCATGTTGTTATAGATGAGCAACTCAAAATAGCTGTCCCAGCTGTAAATGCTGCAGGTGATTGTGCCGGCATCTCGTATTTCATCCATATGAGATGGGTCAACTTTTGGATTATTCTTGGCAGTATCAGATTCACCTCGTTCAGAGGCTACCTGGGAGCGATAGGTACCGAGTGTGTTATTCATCTCACTAGAGTTGGCGCAGTTGGGATAAGGGAAAAAGAAGGCAATGCCAAAGGCATCGAGTATCTACTGGTAAGGGCGTCGATGGGTTCAATATTCTTCTATACTTACACGCTAGATCCAGTGGCAACTGAGCGTAGCGCCTTAGCGAAACGCTCCAACTTTCAGCGACTACAAATAATACTCCCACAAGATGCAAAACCGTTCTCGAGGAGACAGTCGAACCGTGCCTAAATGCCGCATACGGCCATTGTCCCGTGATCCGAGCACAGTTTGGATGAATTGCTTGATACCCCTTATCTGTTACTTCCTCATTGGTGGTATGTTAATGTCAAGAGATATAGCACTTGTAAGATATGCATACTTTGCATTAGGATTATTCAATATGATTTTGCCTATCTCAAATCAGAATAGAATGCAGAGAATTTACTTGTATTAGCAGTGTAATAATATGATAAAGCGAAATTGGCTTTGTTCTTAATTATCTAGACTATTCTTCTTTTGATCATTTCGGAATATGGCTTCCAAGTTGAATATCGAAACGAACCTCGCTGCTAGGAGGATGGAGCGCTTGTCCGGGCCTTAATCTTCAAGACACAGGTACCAGAATGCCTTATGACTCAAGTAATATACCAGTTCCACCCACAGCTAAGTTATATATCCGCCAAACATGGCCCAGGACCTACCCAATACGAATTGTATAAGCAATCTACGTGAACCTATCTGTATACTGCGCCGGCGATTGCTATTAAATGATGAGACAAAGACAGTATGATTGTACCAATCAGCTTTAGGAATGTAGTGAAGAATATGACTAGCGTCGATTTTCAGGGTTATTTATTTACTACAGGCCAACTGAACGCAAACGCCAACTTGATTATTACAGCTGGTACCGATATAACGGCAAATACAATGACGCAAGTATTCTGGAAGCTATGCCAAGATCCCAAAATTTTCAAGAGGCTACAGGAAGAGGTTGACACTGTCTTGGAGGAAGATGGTCGGCTTGATGTCGAAACCACCAGAGGATTGGTATATTTGAACGCAGTTGTCAACGAGGCTTTGAGGTTATTGAATCCAGCTCCGTCAGGTTATTACTTATTAGATAAGAGCCTTGTGCTTAACTCAAATAGTATTTCTCATACTTAGGAACGCAGTCTATACTTCAGATCGTTACTATCCTTACTCTATTCGTATACCCCGTATCTCAAACCTAACCTGACAGTAGGTCTGTAAAGACCTACTATTGCAAATATGTACAGTTTGCGTTTTTCTAGAGATGTCTGCTTGTACTTCTAAGATGGCGAATAACGGTCCTTTATAGGAAAGCCCTAGAATATAAATACTCTAACATAATTACCTAACTAAATACCTGACAAAACACCCCTAATTCTGAGAACATAAATGACAGAATAACAGAAAAGTTAAGAAAAGACACCAGAAACTTTTCGCCCGGTAACTGTGTACGCGATATTACATTAATATATACTAGTATATTATATTATTTAAGGCTGGTACTCTATTACAGTATTAAGTCTTAAGTTTAGCTTGTAATTACCTTTTTATATAGAGGTTATCAAGTTGATTTTCTTTGTAGTAGTCGGTCGAGAGTGCACGGGCCACGAACCCGCAGTTGGCGTACGCGAAATCTCGTACCGCAGGCCTTATTGCTCCAAATTGCAATACTGTAAGCTGGAGAACTCTTAATTGCAGTAATCTCAGTTGCAGTACTCTCGATTGCAATACTCTAAGTTGCAGTACTATAAGTAGCAGTACTCTCGCTTCGAGGACCATTACACATTCGCCCTCAGCTGATCTTATGCTCTGTCATTACTGTTTTAGTGTCAAACACCGATATAATTCTGCCTTGCTGGGCCTTGGCCATGCTATCGTCACTGTATACCTCCCCCCTACCCAACCGATCCTTCTCGCGTTACCCTTTTGAGTATTAGCCGCCGATACAGCTCTGCTATACTTAGCAGCATATACATGAATCTCCTCAGAGCATACTGCGCCTTGGATGTCACTGTATGACTCTACCCTACTCAGCTGATCCTTTGCGTGTTTTGGCAACTACTTTGGGGATCAATCGCCGATACAGCTCCTGCTATGCTTGGATTTGTATAAACATCCCCAAGTTCTACTTGGATATAGTATTGCTATTGATGTAATTCCCCTACTGAGCTGATTATTCTTGACTTTTAGCTGCCACTTTAGGTGTTGACCGCCGATGTATAAATCTCCTCTGAGCCGTCGCTGTTGCATGATATCACGACGGCTAATAGGCATAGTAACTAGCTGGTTATCTTTGATTAACATATTATCTTTTATAGAAAGTATTTGTAGTATCTAAGTTATAGTATCTAAGTTAAAGAAAAGTGAAGATATATTCTAAATTGGACTGATCTGAGGGGGATTTAATGGGCATTTTAAGCGAGGCCTCGCTTTCGACTGGTTTACTCTTGGCTAAATAAGTTAACCTGACTAGGTCATGTAGGATTGTGTTAAGGGAGCCTAAATCGGTTCCTCGAGACCATTGATAAATCTGGCAGGGGGGCGAGAACGGACACCGTTATAATATTTTAATAGGTTCAGAGAGGTGGCTATGTTATTTGGAACCCGGGTCTACATAATTCCAGATATAAATAACATGGAAACTGTAGCCGATTTAAGGGGACCGGAAGAGGTCCCGCCTGAGCGAAATCCAGCTGACTCATTAGCCGGCTCAGGACTCAGGGCTCGGCTCAGGTTAGAGCAGCGACTGCTCAGGTTCAAGGACGGAAGCGGATTCTGGTGGGCAAAGGTGTCGTCTGTGATTATATCGGTAATTCTGACGAAATTAGTGAATTTGTAGTCAAATTAGGAAATCTGCAGAATGGTCGATATGCTATAGCACATCCCACCTCGCAATCTTGTACACATCATTATCCGACTCTTGCTCTACGAATACAAGGATCCATGGGGGATTTGCAGATATCATTTGGATCGCATTCTGCAGCCACAATCTCGCAATCCAATGCAATTCCTAACGCTCAAAGCTGCACAGCCACCAACCCTTTGCGAATGCAAGAAGGAAGTCTCAGTCGCAGACGCATGGGAAAGAGGCAAGAGACATTCAGAGCCGGGCAGCGAATCTGAGCTGGAACTAGGCTTATCTGAAGACAGGATAGGATCGATGGCTTACCTTCGAAGTGTGCTTTCCTACCACCGCCAGTGGCAAAAGCCTGATGCATTGTTGTCACCCACCCTTAGCAGCATTTCCTTGAAGATTCTTTTGTGTATCACGGACTACCTTCCTCCAAAGTCAGCCGTGGCCTTCTCTCTTTCCTGCTCGTACCTCAAACGTTTACTTAGCCCCCGGCAATTCTAGAAGTTAGCCTCTTCGGCCGAACACAAACTCGTGCTGCTAAACCTTTAGCTATCAATCTACCTAATTGCACTGTGTGCGTTCCTTGCAGATGACTACATAAAATGGAGAACTCGCAAAGATATAACAGCGCTACTTACAGTGTTGGCAGCACGATCCGTCAGTACAACTCTTTACGCCTTCCAGCATGTGTGACTAAGGACCGAAATGACGACACTAGCCGTATAACTGACTTATTCGGTGCAACCGCTTTCAAAATGGCCATCAAAAGACATCATCAACAACCCGGTTATACAAGGCTATTATCGATAATATCTAACCAAGTAGCGCAGACCGTGGAACATGGAGCCTATGTGCGGCAATCCAGAGGAGAATGCCGTGTTATTCGTGGGCATTTGATGCATCGCCTATGGAATGTATGCATCTCGTGCAAATGCTTGAATAGCATATCTTTGGTGGACGATCTGTATCCTGAGATAATATGTCCAGACATCAAGTTCAGAAGAAGCATGCTTGAAAACAGATCTGGGATAAGGAGTTGTCGAGAATGCCCCAAAGAATACAGTATTGACTTCAATAACTACAACAGCCTTTGGGGGGGTAATGTTCTTCACGGGATGGAAGGACTTAGAGCCTGACCAGAGAATGAGGTGCGGAAACAGCATCTCCCATCGAGAATCTTAGACTTCGTTCTATCTTCTATTCTGAGTGAGTTTTCAGCTCAGACTTCAATGGGTGCCCAGACTCAAGTTGAGCTCAAAACCGGTAAACGGCAACGACTTCAAGTTCGATTCATGGCTAACCCCGAAGAACAAATCTGAGCTGCTCTAATTTTAGAAGCAATTCGTTGCTTGGCAACGATGAATTGTTCTTTGAAGGTCTTCAAGCCCACAGGCCATGTAACATACATCGTGGAATAGATTGAAACCGAAAATGTTTTAGATTATGGGGTTCCTGCAGTTATTAGGCTTGGAAGGCCATCATTTTCAATGAGGGACTGAAGATAAGACTGTTGGGAGTTATGTTGTCTTGCGGCCTTGAGACACTGCTAAGGTCAACCGCAATTCAATTATTCAATCTTTTATCGAACTAGATTGCTGTTGTCTTTGTCCTTGGTTTTGGCGTGACATTTCGCCCCTTTCTCGTACCCTTTCTTGTTTGCTCCACAGTGTCTCACAATGTCCTGGAACTTAGCTTCGTCCTCACCACACCTATGAGATGGAATAGCGTACCTCTGGATCCTGTCGTCCGGGAAGTTCTCTGTCTCAAAATATCCCACCTCAGACTTGAGTTTGGGCCGTCACATGCCCCGAATGCTCTACTGCAGGGCTTGGAGGCGGGTAGCAAGACGACAGAAGCTTCGGTACGTCTTGCTAGTTGAGAAACTTCGTAATTGGGGTAGGAAACAAGGTCTACTAAAGAAAAAAATTAAATTCGGAGTCAGAGTTGGTCCGTCGGCTCGATCACAGGGAACATTTTTGGATACAGTGTCGGTGGTCTAAACTGGACGAAACGAAATCAATGCATTCGGAATTCTAGGAATTAAGAGATCTAAGCCCCAACGGAGGAAGAGCTTTCTGTCTTATAAAAGCTTTGGAAAAGAAACTGGGACAGATCAAGTGTAGACATCGTTCTGCTTTCAACTCGCCCCCCCCCCCCCCCCCAACGCCATTGGATTTTCAGCATGAATCTGGCGGTCACTAAGCCGCAGCCTTGATATCTAAGCCTCTTAAACCGCCGTCACTCCTCCATTTGTCTAACACCTCCACGTAATGATTGATGCCTCTTCCCCAAACCTGGCCCCTCATCATCTTCGCTTGTACCTCTGGACCTTTACTAAGCAACTTATCAAGCTCGCCTTCTAAGTTCAAGTAATTGGGCGTGCAGCCCCCCATACCGCTCATACCCAGTGCTACCGAAGCAACTTGGTCACCCCAGTCATCCTGCGCCGCCTGCGTCGATTCGATGATGGCACCGGCAGTGCCTGCCTTGCGCTGCCCTTCCATGATCACATACCCAATGTGCTTGGCGAAAGTATCCATACTCATGATTTGATTGGCGGTGAGACTGGCTTGTGAGGCGCCTGCGAAGAACAAGTTCGGGAAGCCAGCGCGACAAAGACCATGTAGCGTGCTGATTTCCTCCTGATATGCGGCGTCCATATCAAGGCTGTCCTTGCCGGTGATGGTGATACCAAAGCGGAAGGCAGGACTCATGTTGGTGGACCCTCCAAGTACCTTATACCCGGTGCCAAGAATCAGTAGGTCAAGCTCGTATTCGACGCCATTGACTACCACGCCCTTTTCTGTGAATCGGTCGACGCCATGTCCATTAGTGTCGACGAGGGTGACGTTGGGTTTATTGAAAGCAGGGAGGAAATCATCATGGAAACATGGGCGCTTGCACCACGTGGGATACCAGTGCTTGAGATTTTGCGCCGTCTCCTTGTCCTTGACAATCTCATCAACGCGTTTGCGAACACGTTCGGCTCGTGGTATGTCGTCTACATGAAGCCTCTCAACATATTCGGAAACCTGATCCGGAGTGACAATACTGTCGTATCCCCATGCTGTACAGTACGATGGGTTCCCCATAACCCAGCTATCAGAGACCATATTCACGGCAGGCTGCGGTTGCGTCCGATGCAGGATCTCGGCAAAGTTGACATTGCGATTCCACCACCAGCCTTTCTTGCCCGTGATCTTCTTCCATTCTTCGGGGTCCGTTTCGCGTTGGTTGCGCACGTCAATGGATGATGGTGTTCGTTGAACGACAAAGAGCTGCTTCACATATTTTGCAAGCTCTGGAATCGCCTGTACAGCCGTTGCTCCAGTGCCAATGATGCCGACAGTCTTGTCCTTGAGCTTGGTCAATTCTGGCTTCACTTCACCGTCGGATCCACCCGTGTATCCGTAGTCCCACCGCGAAGTGTGGAAAATGTGACCCTTGAAAGTATCAAAGCCTTCCACGACAGGGATTTTAGGGCGCGTGGCCTGCCCGCCAGCTAGGAGGACGTATTTGACGTGTAATTCAAGATCAAGATCTTGCTTGCCTCCTGCAAACTGGGTCTTGACAACCCATTCGTTTTTTCCGGCGTCCCAGTTCATTTGCTTGGCCTGCTGCCTGAATATCGTTCGGCCTCTCAGGTTCCATTGGTCTGCGATCCTGTTTGCCTGTCCTCGTAGCTCGGGGCCGTAGGAGTATTTATGTTTAGGCATATATCCGGTCTCCTCCAACAACGGCATATAGATGTAGCTCTCTACATCGCACATAAGACCTGGGTAGCGGTTCCAGTACCACACTCCCCCATAGCCTCCGGCGGAATCAATAATGACTAACTCTTCCAGTTTCGCGCCCGCATCAAGGAGACGCACAGCGAAGAGGAGCCCGCTGTACCCGGCACCGATAACCAGGTACTTGATTGGGTTGGAAATGTTGATGGTCACAGGCACAGAGGTGTGCTCGCCAGGGCTAACCCACGGGTCATCTTGGAGATGCTTGAACTTTTCCGACGTCGTCAGGTCGATGAATTGGGCTTCGCCTTGAGGGCGCTCTTTCAAGCGCTTATCACGTTCAGTGTTGTACCTGGCTTCGATGTCTGCAACTGCAGAGGCAGATATCCCGTCAACATCGAGCTTCGCCATGGTGGTCCGAGGGATAATTCAGTGCGAATATTGAAGCGGGGAAATGGGAAGTGGGAGGAGAACAAGAACTGTATTGCTGGCAGTGAGCTAGTTAATAGTCGGACTTAACGTCACGACTAAAGGGGCCCCACCCTTTAGGTCGGGTGGGTGGGGGGGGGGGGGGGGGGGAAGCGAGATGGCCCGCGCCAAAACGCGTAGATTTTTAATTTATATAAAACACTCGTAATAAAAATTAATTAATTTATATATTACTAGCCCCAAAAATTTGTTCAATTTAACTGCAATGGCTTGCCTAAGCAACTTACCCAAATACACACTTTTGCGCGATATACTAGAGAAGAATAAGCTTTATAAGGCCATCTAGTTCTTAAAAAAGAACTCAGGAGAGTAATTTTGGTTTGGCGCGGGCCAACTCGCTTTCCCCGACTAAAGGATGGGCCCCTTTAGTCGTGACGTTAAGTCCGACCATTACAAATCCACCACAGAAACCTGGACCCCAATAGGTCCACGCTGGTTGCCCCGTGGGGAGATCTACCCCGCGTCTAGGCCGCTTGTGGGTTAACGAGCCTGCGAACATAAGTCCGTGTTTTAGGCAATGTTCTCGGGCTACAAAACCAAAGTTGCCCACTTCACTTCACAGTTTCTTGACAGCTACAGATTAAAACCTTGTATAAATCAAGCACACACGATGAAAAGGGGTAGATTGAATTTAGAATGCCTTTAAACCTAATTCTAAAGATAAAATAAAAGCGTCCAAAACAGTTATCCCTTCGTCTGGCGAGACATAGTCCACGCTAGCAAGGGGGTATTCCGGGACTAAACCAGGGGGTCCCGCACGGCTCACCTAGCATAATATTATGTACCTTTGCATACAAATTTATTAGTAAGGTACATCGCGTGGATGAAATCACCACCAGCACGTTCAATAATGCCCCTCCAGTATGCGCTCATGCAGACAGCTAGTAGCAATGAACTATTCTTCCAGCCCACCCCCAGAGCCAGAAAAGCTAAAAAAGGGCTAATTCCTTGAGAATATACTCCTCCAACTTGAACCAATTACGAACGTTTCCTATAAGCCCTTCTAACCCGAATCTAAATAGCTAGTAAAAGCGATTTTACTTCCTGATTTTATACGAAAATTATGTCTGTTTAATTACTTTAGCCTATTCTTTACTCCTGAGCTTTTTTAGGCAATTACTATAAATACTAGTTAATATACAAGCTTATAGAGATTATATAATATAAAGAAATAAGTATAAGAATAATTAGATTTGCTTATTAAGAAGCTATATATAAAAGAGTTTATATTAAGCCTTAAAGCAATATATATTAAAATATAAACTTTAATAAAAGTCTTATATATTAAATATTATTATTATATTTCTTGCTTTAAAAGTAATAAATAAAAGAGATATTATTATTTAAATAATAAGCTTAAATATTTTATTTTATTTATATAAGCCTTTTTAATAATATTGCTTTTTTTCTAATATAAGTATTAATAAACTTATAATATAATATTTTAGTAAATATTTTTCTTTTTCTTTTTCTCTTATTTTATTATTTTACTAATTAATTTAGATTTATATATATAAAATACTTAAGAAATTTATTAAATAAAAATATAAAATCTATAAACTTATTAATTATAAATATATATATAATTAAATATAAAGCTTATAAAAAAACTTTAAAAAAATAATTATTTATTTGATTCTTATAAATACTAGTACTTTCTTTTTTATATTATTATTTTATAATATATTTTAATAATTAATTAATTTCTATATTCTTATTTTTAGAATTAAAAGTTTATAAATTTAATATAATAAATATTATTTTTACTAAAATTATTAGTAATTAAAAATCGGTTTATTATAAAGCTAAAATAAAATACTTTACTTATAATAATAATTTAAAATATGTTTTATTTAGCTTAATAAAATAATAGTATTATTTTAGCTTTAAATAATATTTATAAATAAGTAAATTATATAAGATGTTTTTAGTAATTTACTAATAAAAAAGCTTCAAATTTCTAGTTTTATTAATAATTATAATTAATATATAAAAGAATTATATAAGAATTATAAAATTTTCACTTCTACTGGCCCAACTGGACTGGAGACCCACGCTCACGTTCAAAGATTGAATTTTCCATCGGTAATTAAAGGAACCGTGATGCCCCTTTCGACTAACGTGGAAGAGAGCGAGCTTTCGGAGGATGCTGGTCCGGTCGAATATTCAATGTACGCAAGTCCACAATCTACTCCTGTTCCCTCCTCCGGTGGCTCTAACAAATTTTTGATCTTCTACAAGCTCTTACTCAGTCCTTGTGGCAACTTTTTGCTTGTTGTCCAGCCAGGTATAGATCCTATAGACAAACATTGGAGCTTTGACGTCTTCCAAGACCTCGCATACTATAGTCGTCCTGCCCGGCCTTGCTTCCAGTGGATTGCTGGCCAAGAGGCTCCTGCTCTTCCGCGCAAACACTACACTCATCACAGCCATTCTCAGCATACAGACTTTACTGTAAAGAATATGGAGGAGAATGGTGGAATCAGTACCCAAGACAAAGATCCAATGGTAAGCTCTAAGTCAAATAATCCTAGTAAATAGTGAATAACCTATCCCGATAGCCTGACACTTGTGAAAGCCTTGAAAAGGACCGTTTCTTCGAGTTGCCTACAGACGGGCCCTTGGAGAACCCCCCGGGTGGCCGGAATAATGTTGAGATTGCATTTCATCCATATTTGCCACAGGTTGCATATGCGACAGACGCAACATACTTATGGAACTTTAGTGCCATGAATGCCAGCGGGGATAGAGTGAAGAAACAACCTCCTCTCTGCATCCATATCAAACCATTATCACAAATGAGGTACTCCTATTGCGGACAACGAATCCATAGATTCGAGAATTTCGAGCGTGCCGGAGCTAAGGAGGGCATTATCGTTGACCTGAGCCAGCTTCAGAGCAGTTCCACTCCAGTTATCCCGGAGCCTGAAGGACACGGAATGACCCAGATGCTAGTACTGAACGATACGAGGAGAGGTCTATCCAAATTCGTCATGCCAGAGCAACGAACACCGTCAATACAAACCTCAAACACCTCGTTCATCACCAGGGACGCAAACGGTATGCCTACGTTATCTACGCTGCAACAATCTTCCGAAGATAACTCTCTGACCTTGCACACTTTTAACACTCGCGGTCAATCGAAACAAGAGACATTACATGAAGTGGCGCAGCAGATGCTTCTAGAAGACCAAAAACCCCGATCAGAGAGCGAAGAAGAGAAAGAGAGATGAGAAGGAGTAGATGTCCTACCATTGAGGGGTCGTCTTTTTTGATGATGAAACAGTTATTAAGTGTTTATATCACTTTCGACGTACTATCTGAAAGACCGATGTGGCATAAAGTATAGTTGTAGTGCAGTATCTCGCCTTTAGTTTCAGATTCTCCTCGTTAATTCATTCTCGTCCTTTCCGATCCCAAGACCTTAGAACGAATCCCCCTTCTCGTGCCATGTATTATTACACTTAGATCTAGAGACATTTCGTGTGTTCTATCTACGTTATCTTTGATGTGTTAGTGCATAGCAATATGGAATAGCGTATGCCATATGGTATAGATTGATATGTGTTACATTGGAGGAATCGCGTCATCGCAAGTGCATGAAAGCCTAGAATCCTGCAATGTAAGCCTGAACCTTCTAGGAAGATCAGAGTGAAGATATTCATACAAGATCTCAGACCAACCTCTAAGCTTGAGCGGAAGTCGTCCATTCCACCCAAAATGATCAACCTCCAGTAACCCCTCGCTAAGCGAGTCAACAAAAACAAACCGCAAAAACCTTCAACACGAATCGCATTTATTTTAAAAGAACGAAATTGATTCCAGTAAATGGATTAAAAAAACAAAAGGCGTTTGCCAGCTTGCACTGACTACATCATCGGCCATTGACATGGGCGACATCCCGCCTCTACCGCAGGTTGTTATCCCCAGGTAGAAATGTGCCCGCGTAATCCGTAATCGAGTTCACGATCTACCACGCCACATCGAATGGTTGAGGAAAAGTCATTTATTGTGGTAAGATAAAGTCCACTCAGAACAGTGTGTCAAATGAATAGAATAGAATAGAGTAGTGGCCACTACTCTATTCTATTTACCGAAATTTACCCACTACTCATATTCTATTCATATTCTAATCAAGGTATTCATGAATATTCGTAAATACTTTGAGTAGTACGCACGTGATTTTGCACGTAAGCAGCTAGTTATATTAGGTAAAGCTCCCACCCGCTCCCGCTCTAGCGCCACCTCACTACCCAATTAGGCGACGGCGAGGCTTGGTAAGTGAACTAAAGCACAAGATTCCGAGGAGAATAATTAGATTATTATTATATAAAATTAGTACTTAGCTAGTAATATATAAGTCTTGGCTTAGTTTGGCCAGAGCTACTAATAGGCGCCTTAGTTACGAGATCAGGGCCGCTTCGCTAAAATTAAAGCCTGGCGGCCCTACGCAAGCTTCGGGGCCAGTCTTTAATTTTGCCCTAATCTCGATTCGAGATTAATTAGATGCCTCAGGCACTTATTTAAGGGATATTAGCTTTACTAACTTTAAATTCACTTTGAAAATTCACTTTTTAAAGGCTAAAAATTCTCTAGGTAAGCTAAATAAAGTAGGTTTTAATTTCGAATTCCAAAGCTTCTTTCTTTTAATAAACATATATATATATACGCATACATAAGTCAACTCCCATATCCGCTACGGGCCTGCCCCTGGCCTGTAACGCTCCTTACGGTCCGTAGAATATCTTCTCTACTATCTACTACCGCCGCCGCTACTACTGCTATTACTGCTACTATGGCAGTAAGCTTTGCTACTGGCCTGCCGCCGCCGCCCGCCCGCCCTGCCTGCCCTCCCGCCCCGCCCTACCCGTACCATGGCCTCCCTCTCCCTCCTTACCGCCCGCCGTATACCTGTCTTGCGGCCCGGCCGTACTACTAACCCCGCCCGGCCTACTAATCTGGAGGCTAAGCTTGGCCAATTCATTAGTCAAGTTTATACTACCGGATATATATATTATACTGGCGGGTCGGGTATATAGATAGTATATATGGTTATAGCTAGTTTTTTTAGTAAAAGCTATACTAACTATTATTATAGTAGTAAGGGTGCCTGCTACTTCTTCCGTAAATACTTTTATATAATATTTTACGGACCGTAACTAATTTAATAAATATTTCCAGGTACTACTACTACTACTATTACCGCTGCCGCTACTACTACCGCTACTACTACCGCCGCTACTACTACTACTACTTCTGCCGGCCCCGCCCCCGCTAATCCTTCCTCGCTTTTCCGGGTTATTACCGGTAGTCATATAGGTAACCAGGTCACTCCTAGTAACCTATCTTCATATATATATACCTGTTACGGATTATTATAGACCGTAACTAATATATAAATAGCCCGTTACATTACTACCGCCTGCTACTACCGCTTACTTACTTTCTCTTAGAGGGTATACCGTTTTACTAAGCTCTATAGGAAGCTAGTAGCTCTTTATAAAGAGAAGGCAGAGGTACTAGAGAAGGAGGAGGGAACGGATTATTCGGTACCGGTATTAGAGGATAGGAAGAAGTAAGGGAAAGAGAAGGGAGAGAAGAAAAGAGGGAAAGAGAGAGAGAGAGGAAAAGAGTTATAAATCTTATAAAGAGTTATCTAGAAGAGATATATACTTTTAATACCTAATAATATAGTATTCTCGGTCTATTTGAGCCCTAAAATATTTGAAGTAATAATTATAAGTTACTTATAAATAGATACGGATACTTATAGGTAGTTACGGATAGTTATAGACCCCCAAATCCCTTAACCCGACCCATAAGGCTATCTAGTACCTATAAGATACCCGTAAGAGATAAAGTACTAAAGTAAATTAGCTAAGACCTTAGGATAAGTTATATTAAGTATTCTAGATAGGTTCTTATATAATAGAAGAATACTTAAGCCTTCTATAAATAATATATAGGAAACCCCTATATAAAACTACCTATAAGCAAATACGGGCATTTATAGGTCTAAACTAATAGTATAAAAGAACTAACCTTATAACTTATTAATAATTATTATAAAGTATAAATAAACCGGGAACTATTTCCGGAAAAGGGTAATTCCCAGGCTAGTATCCGTAGCAAATAGCTTAATCTATAGAATTACCTGTAACTAGCTATTAAAATCCCCTCTAAATAAGCGGGCCTTAATATAATATACCTATAAGCTTATAACTACTATCCGGGTCCTATTATATAAACCTTCTTATAAATATAGGTTCTATAGAAGTAGTACTAGAGTCCCGATCTTGAAAGTAAGCTAAGATAGTAATAAGGAAAAAAGATTAATACTTTATAATTACTCTATAAGTAGCTTATATAAGTTATTATCCGAAGACTCGTTTATATCTAGGGAATCTACTAATTAGTATATCCGTAATTAGCCTAGTAAATATCTAAGAATATAGGTATTAAGCTCCGAAACTATAGTATTTAATATAGTTAAGAGATACTATCTATAGAAGGTTAACGGATTCGTAGTAGCCCGAAAGAGAAGATCTGGGGGGTAAATATAGCTAATTAGATCTGTAATTAATACTAGCTAGTTTATATAGTCCGGAATTATTACTATTATATTAGGATCTAGGTTATTAGGTAATTTACTAATTTAGTAAATAAACTCCTAGTTATTCTCGCCCTTATAGACCTGTATATTAGTCTATAAATAGAGCTACTTAAGCTATAGCTAAATAAATAATTATTAAAGATATATAGTAATAATATTAGCCTATAAACCATATAATATAACTAGAAGAATCTGGGTAAAGTTCCTATTAAGAATTATAGGTATTTCTCTAAAGAGAATATTATCTACTATAGACCGTAAATTTACTAAGAGCTAGTAAATAACCTTAAAGTAGTACTTATACTATATTAGTACCTTATTTCAGATAATAAGATCTATAGACCGGAGGACCTATTTAAGGGTACTTTGCTTTATAATAGAACTTATAAATAATTTATAGAGCTTAATTAGAATCTTAAACTAGGAATAAAATATATATTTATTTAGTAATAAAAGAGCTATAATACCCGTAAATACTATATAAAGAACTATTTGCCCCTGCCTATAAAAGTAATAGTAAAGCGCCTTATATAAGAATATCTTACCTATATCTCCTGGCCCTTATAAGTAGAAGTAGGCTATTTATAGATCTGATTTAATAGCTATAATAATCTCTATAAAGTATAATTACTAATTAGGATTAAGCTAGGCTTATATTATAATTATAAGTAATACCTAGTTCTTAAAAGTATATAATATAAATAAGAAATAGTACTTACTAGTCTAATCCCAGATAAAAGACGAAAGCCCGTAGTCTGTAAATAACTACTACTAGTTTATAAGCCTATATATAAGTAAGAAGAGGCCATAATTATAGTATGGGTTAAGAAGTGGAAATAGGAAACTATTATTATAGGTAAGCTAGTACTAGAGATTATTATAGAAGTAGTACTTATACCGGTTCCAGATTACTAACGAGTCCGTAATTAGCTACTAGTAGAGGCTAGTTAAGAATAATATTCGTAAATTACCTATAGGTATAAATAGGATAGCCTTATTAAAATACTAGTATTACTTCTAGTTATTCTTTATTAAGCTATAGGTAATATAGATAGTTTAGTATATTAGGTAATAAATACCCTTAACCAAATATAGATCTGCAAAAAACTATAGGCTGCAAATAACTATAAGTAAGAGCTATAAGTAGTATTACTTACTTGAAATAGGGCTATAGTAATATATATAGCTAATCCGCTTGCCCTTGCCCTACTAGTAACATTTCTATTCCCGGGTTTTTAGAACCTATATAAACTCGGCCGGAAACTCGGAATATAAGTATCTCTAGCTATTCTTATATATAGTATTATACTTAAAAAAGGCTATTAATATTAAACGGATATTTGCAGTTTTTATAGCCAGAGCTATAGGAGAAATATTATCCGAAAAGTAAATCATTTATTTTTTTTTAAGATAAACTATAAAATACTAAATAGAAGGAAACTCCTAATATATAGAAAATTCGAATAGCCGCCAAATAGCCTTATATAGACTTACATAATAGGTATATATATATCGGGTAATCTCATTATCTATAGCCGTAACTATAACTATAGTATAGTCTGTTTCTTTATATATATATTTATAAATATACTTAATTACTTATATAGATATATAAATCTTAATATTAATATATAAATAGAACTTTTAAAGAAGATACGGGTTATATAAAATAATCTAGTAATTATTACAAATAATTTCCTGGCCTAGAAAGCCTAATTTACGGATTATAAATATTTGCCCGTTATTCCGGTAGTAGTACTCAGGATAGCTATTCTTATTAATTATAGTACGATTTATAAAAGCCTTTGGGAACCTCTTAAAGTATACTAATAGGCTATAGGCTTCTTTATAGACTATATACGGGGCCCGTATATAGTTCTTCCTATATAAACTATAGGTTATATTACCTATAACCAAGGCCAGAAGCTTATCTATAGGATCTTATAACGGATCCGGTAGCTTAGTATATATAACCTTATTTATATACTTAGGTATATTAAACTTTTTAGATACCTATAGGAATAAAAGTAAATATAAATACGAAAGCCCTTGTTTCTAGTACTTAATTATATAAATATAACTTATATATTATTTGAAAATATGGTTTTTTAGATCTATAAGAAGCTTATAAACCTTGAGTCAAAATACGTAAGTAATTAGATCTGGCTAGTCTATAGGTTATAAGCCACCTAGCTCCTAAATAATCTCTAGCTATTACGGGTTTATTATAAAAGTAATAAAAAAGATAGGCTTTCTAAAATAATAAATAATAGTTATTAAGTCCTAGAAAAGCTATTATATAAACTAATTCCTATTTATAAAAGAGAAAGAAAGAATAAATTAATGGCCTAGATTAGCTAGTAAGATATCTTTACGGATTAAGGTATTTACTAAACTATTATAAATATTCGTACGGATCCTATCTTAATATAAATAAAGCTAATTAAGGAATATAGTCTTATAAGTAATAAAAGCATTTATAATATATTACTAAAAGAGCTAGTAAGCCCAAAAGAAAAAAGATTCCTTATAATTACGGGTATATAAATGGAACTAGTAAAAGGGCTACTACTTTAAATAGAACCATTAATAGATATAATAGGTATCTTATAAGATTATTTTATAATACTACCCGTATTTATTATATAGAAAGAGAAATATATAATAAAGTAATATATATACTATATAGGTAATAGCTATTTAGTAAAGTTATAGACCTTAATAGCTAGGCTTATAGACTATAAGAAGAATATTATATTAACTCTTATCTATAAATTTATCTAGAAGAATTCCTGCTAGCTCTATAGCTATAAGAAGGTTCTTATAGTAATAATCTGCCCTAGACTAGAGAATTAAATATATTTATAGGCTAAAAAGAATTCGAAAATAACCCGTTTAGCTAGCTAATTACTCCCGGGCTATCTTATAGATCTATATAAAAGAATTACTATAATCTGTAAGTATTTTATAAAGGCTATAGAGAATAGTTTAATTAAGTTACGGGCAATACTATAACCGGAGATTAGTTATATAGTCTGGATTATAAAAAAATAACTAGGCAAAGGCCGGAACCTGCTATAAGCCTGGCTCTAAGGGTTCCTAGTAGTAAAATAGCTTCCTATAGATCTGAAAGTAATAAAGATTATAAGAAAGATTAGTACGGGTATTTTTAGTATAGCTTACGGATATAAAAGCAAATACCAAGTTATATATCCTTATATTCTAATAAAAGCTACGGGCTTACGGATTATCTCCCTCGAAAAGCGCCTGTAAAAAGGGTAGCGGCGCCCGTAACTCGTCTAATGCCACGTTTCTCCTCTTGTAATAGAGCTTAAATCTCTAATATATACCCGTAATTGCCTCTGATTCCTAGTACCTTGTCCTATAATCCTTATACTAAATATTTATTAGGCCAAGATTATGGGCTGGCGAAAACCGAAAGAGTAAACGGAAGCCGGATAGTAAAGGAGAAGGGCTAGGAGGAGCAGGAGGAGCAGGAGGATTCACTATGGCCAGAATACGGTCTTATTCGATTTGTATATTAGTTCGCCGAATATACTTATAGGGCCGTAGATTCTTATCTCTGTCCGTAACTAGCTATTATAGACCGCTACGGGTCTGCCGGAGCATATTAGGATCGAGCTTAGTAAGAGCAGGCTAGTATATCCTCTGGCTGGCCTAAAAAGAGGTTAGCTATAGGAGAAGAAGAGAGAAGAGAGAGAAACCCTGTAATATAGATACGTCTTATATACTATATTATTAGGATTACGAGGAAATTAAGAGAAGGAACGATATTATATATAACTCGTATAAAAATTACAGGGAGAGGAATTCATTATAAAAGAAAGCTTACTGGCCGGAGAAAAGGAGAAAAGGAGGCTAGAGTAAAGCGTGGGCTGGAAGTTTCGGTATTCCTGCTTAGGTAAGAACGCATAACCAGGAATTTTAATAGGTAGTCCGACCGTACGACAATGTTATATAGATTTAATAATTATTAAGCAAACTGTTGAAATTAGGGGCCTGAGGCCCCTAATAGGCTTAGTAAGCCCTGGAACCGAACGCTATGGGGCTGTGTACTAGCTTAATACCCTGTCTAGCTGAAATACCCTATATAGCTGGAATACCCTATACGGCTGGAATACCCTATACGGCTGGAATACCCTATATAGCTGGAATACCATGTATGGCTGGAATACCCTGTATAGCTGTAATCGGTTCAGCTGGTATAGGGATTTAGTACATGTGACTTAGGGGGTTCAGGGCTATATATACGGGCTACTTACCACTGTAGAACAGCAGTCAATTCAGTACGTTTTACTTGGTTTATATTGCAAGCACGTGACCCTAGCTATATTGCTTTAGCTAGTTCAATACAAACCTTGATTTTCTATGGTCACGTGACCAGAGATCACAAGTATTCATGAATATTCATGAATATATATTCTACTCTACTCTAATTTTTTGAGAATTACGCTACTCATATTCTATTCAAGATACTCATGAATATTCATGAATACCTTGAATACCTTGAATACCTTGAATACCTTGAATACCTTGAATACTTTTTTGACACACTGACTCAGAATTTGGCTTGGCGGACCCGAGGCTCATACATGAAAGTCAGCATTTGTTGAGAGATTTTCTACGAGCACGTTTGAGTCAGTACTGGTTTATTTATCTTTGAGGTATCATGCTTGTCAATGCTGGTATTCTGTACATCTAACTCATCACATCGTCCTTGTAGATGGGGCTGCGCTCCTCAAGCCTTCAGACTTGGACTGCTATGAAAATTGATTGTGAGCCGGAATCGACGCTCAAGTTCACCTTTCGAATTTTGACAAAATTCACTCCCTCTGGTCAGCCCACTGAGCCAGGGAAGAAAGATTTAAGGCTATCATCCCCGTCTCTCAACACCACGACCATTCAAACCCAACACCGTCAAAGCCAAGCAACACTCGTCGTCCGAGCAAGCATGGCGTCCTCTGCGGTATGTATCCCAATCCAAAATCTTTGAAGAAGACTTACTGAGTTCAAACTTCGTAGTCTTTGGCAATGGCGGCTCGGCGGCTGTCGGAGAAACGCGACCTACTGCAAGGTTTCAAACTGCTCCTCCAAACGATCGACAGAGCTTATGCAGACTCTATCCACAGCGCTGAGGCCAATATTGAAGCAAAGAAGCTTGTGCAAGACTATTTTCCCATCTTCAAGAAGGCGAATAGGAGATTATATGACAAAGTCTCATGGGACGAGATCATTGATGCTGTAATAAAAGCTTAACTAAATAATAAATAATTATACAATAAATACTAGTTAAATACATTTTCTTATTTAATTTCAATAGAGTCTAATAAGGAGCAAAACTCCTTAGTCGCATATATTTATTTACTTAGTTATGGACTGGAGACCCGTAATTTGTTATTCTGATCACGTGATACACTTAGCACATGACTTTGCCCCGCTTCACCTACCTAGCCTGGCTTTTAACAACTGATTCAGTCACTGTTAAAGAATTCTTCTCCCCTTCAATGTACCTTATAGGCGAAGCCGTAGGGCTCCGCACTATGAAGTACCTATAAGCCCACCATGGAATTCCTCTTAAACGTGGAGCTGTGAGACGTATTGATCACTAATGGGAACCTTCCCATGATTAAAATTTTCCATGATTAAAAAGTTTTTAACGGTTCGCCTTAGCGCCTCGCTACCCCCTGCTAGCCTAGAATACCCCTGTACACCTGCACACCCTAACAACCTCAGAAGCGAGCAGCCTGAAGCTATACCCTAGAGCCTATAGGGGATAGGCCACGGGTAATAGAGGAGGGGGCAAAGGGTACTTAGGAGTAACTTTGCTCAAATCAATTGATTCTTCAATTATCTCTTTAAGAGCGTTGTTTTTTAAGCTCCTGGGAGGCTTCCGAGTCCTTACACACTAGCTTAGCTTAGCTTACTAAGCGGGGACTTATAAAGTAAGCGTATATGTTAGCCTTTAGGAGATATATCACGTGATAAATACTCTTCTAACGGTTAAAATTTTCCCATGCTTAGTATTTAGCCATGATTACGCAAATACCACGATTTTACTACTTTTAATAATTAAACATTAATTAAAACTTGAATTTACTATTAAATAATACTCTTTTAGGAGATTATAGTTATTTCACAAACATTTCATAATGCGGAGCCCTAGCGCCTCGCCCATAAGGTAATTCAATAAATAAGCCATCATGCCATAATCAAACCATGCGAGATCTGGGTAATCTACAGTAAGATCTTACCAATGGTCACGCCACGTTCGGAGGCTCTCGGTTGCTCTTGCCTCTTGCCACTGATAAGCGAAACCACCCCACCACTAGCGTCCAATTTTCACTCAACACCTTAATCAGCTATTTGCATCACATCGCCTGCTGTTTCAGAACTTTTCAACCTCATCCTTCAAAGATCAACTTCTCAATTGAACATATTGGTCTTCAGAGCCTCAAGTCCAACCCTCAGATCGGGTTCCCAACACAAACATAATTCACAATGGCCACCGCAACCGCCGATTTCGGCATCGACGTCTTTGCCAAGTACAAGCCCATTGCTCTTGACCCGTCAAATCCGAAGCTCTCGGAGCAGCAGAAGAGTGACCTTCTGTCTAACATCTCACTCCTCAGAGACACAATCGTTTATTTCACATCATCTGGAGCGGCTCGAGGAGTCAGCGGGCACACCGGAGGCCCCTACGACACCATCCCGGAAGTATGCATCCTCGAAGCCTTCTTCCACCACTCTTCCGACAAATATCTCCCAGTAGTCTACGATGAGTCTGGACACAGAGTTGCTACCCAGTACCTCCTGAGTGCTCTCCACAAGCATATCCCATTTGAGCAGCTCCTCCACTACCGCGAAGCCAATTCGAAGCTACCTGGTCACCCCGAGCTTGGACTCACCCCTGGTATCCAATTCAGCTCAGGACGTCTCGGCCACCTTTGGTCTTTCATCAACGGAGTTGCCATGGCTCATCCCGAAAAGATTCTCTTCATGTTGGGCTCAGATGGTTCCCAGCAAGAAGGCGACGACGCCGAGGCTGCACGCATGGCCGTTGCCCAAAACTTGAACGTCAAACTCCTGATCGACGACAACGATGTCACCATTGCCGGTCATCCATCCGAGTATCTCAAGGGATATTCACTCACTTCTACCCTGAAAGGCCACGGCTTGACCGTCTTTGAAGCTCCTGGAGAGGACATCGAGAAGCTCTACGCTTCCATTTGTGAGGCGGTCACCCACACTGGACCAGCTGCTGTAATCGTCAAGAGAAAGATGGCTCCCGGAATCAAGGACCTTGAAGGCACCACCCATGCTCACGATGTCGTTCCAGCCAAGATTGCCATTGAATACCTCGAGGAACGTGGTTACAACGACGCTGCGGCGAAGATCAAGGCCATTACACCCAACTCCCTTGCCTATCTCTACAGCGGTTCTGGCAAGGAGGTCTTCGCCAACCGTGTCATATTCGGCGAAGCCGTTGTCTCCGTCCTAGAGAAGTTGTCCAAGGAAGAGGCCAAGGAGAAAGTTCTAGTTGTCGACTCCGATCTCGAGGGTTCGACTGGCCTCAGCGTGATCCACAAGAAGCGCCCCGAAGTCTTCATGTCCTCCGGCATCATGGAGCGCGGCAACTTCTCCGCAGCAGCAGGCTTCGGCTCCGTCAAAGGCAAAGTCGGTATCTTCTCCACCTTCTCCGCCTTCTGCGAAATGATCATCTCCGAGATCACCATGGCTCGCCTCAACTTCGCCAATGTCATCTGCCATTTCTCCCACTCTGGCGTTGACGACATGGCCGACAACACGTGCCACTTCGGTCTCAACACTTTCTTCGCCGACAATGGCCTAACCGACGGCGACACTACTCGCCTCTACTTCCCCGCCGATGCCAACCAGATGAGAGCTACAGTGGCCAAAGTCTTCTGGGACCAAGGCATCCGCCTCATCATCTCGACTCGCTCCAAGACCCCTTTGATCCTCAAGGAGGGCACCACGGAACCGTTCCATGGCGAAGGCTACGAGTTCGTACCTGGCAAGGACGAGTTCATCCGCGAGGGCAATGCAGGCTACATCGTTGCATATGGTGAGATGGTGTACCGGGCGCTGGATGCAGTTGATCGTCTCCGTAGCGAGGGCGTCGATGTCGGTTTGGTCAACAAGCCCACCCTCAACGTGGTTGATGAGGACGCCATGCGCAAGTTTGGTTCTTCTCCGTTCGTGCTGGTTGTTGAGAGTTTGAACCAGAAAACTGGTCTGGGAAGCAAGATGGGCTCGTGGCTTCTGGAGCGGGGCTTGGCGCCTAAGTATAAGTATATTGGCACCAGCAAGGAGGGATGCGGTGGCTTGAGCGAGCAGATCTTCCATCAAGGTCTTGATCCCCAGAGTGTGATTAAGGCGGTTCGCGCTTTGCAATAGGTGCTCGCTCCTTTTGCCTTCGCACAGCTGATGACGAAAATGAAATTGATGGGTTGCTGGAGTTTCTTTGCTCTAATAATCAACAATTATACTTATGGAAACGACCATAGATGCTTTACAAATTTACCTTCCGTCATGCGATATCATTGATATAGAGATTCATGCTTTGGGGCGAAGCTGCAAGTCCCAAAGGGAGCATGGCACGTGGTCAACGCGCAGAATCGCTTGGTCGAAAAGGGGAGGGCGGCTTGTGGCGAAACGGGAGCAACTAATCGAACTGCCGCATAGCCCCTTGAGTGCTCAGCGATATGGCTATCTGCAAAATCCATATTCTGGACAACCACTTCTTTCCTTCCTTCCTTCCCGACTGAACAAGAGCAACATGTGGATCTCCTGACAACCACTTTTCGCAATGGATTCGCTATTTTCCCTTCTCTTCCGAGCCAGTGTCGTAATGAGTAGTATCTCGACCCCGGTACCACTGTCTCCTATCCAAAGTACTTGTATAGCTCCCATTTCCGCAAATTATCCTCTGCTATCACCCCCAATCTTGATAGTTCAGTCATTCTTCATTCATTCAACATCGTCCTCGGGACTACTCTCCTCTTTTATGCAATATAATTCACATCTCAAATGTTAATTGTCATATTGTCTTTAAGTTTGCGAAGGGCCACGATGTAGCGCTGCGTGCCACACTATATGAGTGCTCCCAAGGTTTGATCACCACATTCGCTTCGAATTCCGCTCTGGTTCTCCAGCAGTCGTCAAGTACCGCCCTCGATTATATGGATGATTGATGAATGTCTCCGAGCGAATTTCAAGTGAGTGATCTCAAAGCAATAAACTCAACGTCGGAGAATTCGTTGCGATGTAAATGCAGAGATTGAAACGAGAGGTTTGACTAAGCTCAATTAAAGAGTTCGCTGAGAAATAATGTAATCATGAGCTTTGCCAGCATACGAAACAAAAAACTCTATTGAACCTTTCCTCCCCCATAACATAAGCCTGGAGGTTTATAGGACAAACAAACTTTGCAAAGTTTTAAATGTACTGTACTTTCCAGCCTCCTAGGATCAGGAAAAGTGATTAGTGCATTGAGTGAGGCCCATGACCAAGAGGGGGCGAGGCATTCCAATCGCCTCCTCTATGGCTTAGAACGAGTTGACACAATCCAGCACAATTTTCGCTCCAGATCTTTTCTCTATAACCCTGTGATATAGTCATCTCACGTTTGCTCGGAAGTAAGATTTGTAAGGCCCGATATAGTAACTAGCTTGTCTCGACTTAGCGTCAGATTACACCTGCGATATTTGGTCAGGGCGTGTGGCCAGTCGTGGGTGGTAAGTGGCCATTTCCTGGCAAAACCCAGGGAAAGAACTCAAGGCGCCGTTTCCTTTTACTACTTTTCATAGTCAACTGACACCTCAAGCTCTTCCCTCGTAAGAAGATACAGCCTTGAGAGCTATCACTTGCCTCAGAAGCTGCTAAATTAATTGCAGAACCTCCGTAAACGGTTGTCATCAAGGCGGATTGAACCCTCCAGTCTTCTGAATCGTCTTAGATAATTCATAACGAGTCGATCCATATATATCGAAGATCGAGGTACTGATTAATGAAAATTGCATCTTTGAAAGTCTTTCGTAAGTGCTTCCGCTGAGACCGTTTCCATAAAGGAGTCGTCATTGCCCTTTTCGAGCTTTATGCTCCAAGTCCCTGGAGCGCCCCAGCAGTGACTCAAAGTAACGTAATCTAGATGGGTTTTGGAGGTGTCCGTAACAACCAGTCTTGGGCTCGCCCCCGTTAAGTCTAGTAATCGTGATGGTTTCTGGAGGCTGCCTTCACTTCGTGGAGTTTGCAACAATTACAACTCGTATAACAGGTCTTCCGGTCTTCAGCCACTGCTTCAACAAAGGTAGCGAGTCTGTCGTGCTCGCAGTAGCATTAGAGGAATTCTCATGGATTACTGCTCTTTAGAGGTAAGTCTAGAAACTCTATTTGAGGGAGCATAAAAGAAAGACGTACCTTTGTTCACTAGCCACGGTTATATCACCAACGAGAGATTGGGAAAACTCTCGAGTATGACCAATCTCTCCCTTAGATGCGGTCTCAACCGGAATGCAAGCGTGCGTTTCCCAAGTATTCAACGTACGGCTGATCATGGTGGCAACTCCTTCAGGTTCAGGTACACCTTGGATAGAAAGTGCCCACCGGCTTCTTGTATGCATGCCGGCACAAATTGAGCGTAGAGTTGACAGCATTTTCGCGCGGAGCGTAGATCGGTTTGGATGCTATATTGAGGGAACATTATACCTTTTGATATATTTTCTTTAAGATGACTCGGCTAATTAGTGATAGCATTCCGACAGTACGTGCATAACTGAGGAGGATCCAGGATGCTAAATCGGTTCTCCAGCTCAATGCTCGCCTCCGACACAATATCTTTTCCTGCGAGGTCAGAAGATAGCTCGCCGTTTGGTACAACCTTTCCAGCAAGGTGCAGAGCCGAAGCACTGCTGTGGTTGGAGAGCTCATCACTCGACAAATTGATTGCATGAAAAGTGAAATATAAAAGCCAGAAATCTGAGTTGAAAAGTTGGAATGAAACAAGATACTCGGAAGAGAAGGTAATAGGTAATACCTTATCGGAAACCGATAGAAGGCGATACAGCATTGAGGGAAGCACATCGAACGGTTGCATGTGAGTGCCGTACAAATATAATCTCGGAACAGCCATGCACTGCCTTCGGATACCTAAGAGCTCCACAGCACCTTGAGCTGAGAAGCAAACCTCGTTGTCACACACAAAGTCATGGCGAGAGCCAGTCAAGAGGATTCAAGTGGCGTGAGTGTTGCGTATGGCCTTTCGTAGTAGGGTGGGCGGCGTATGTTTGGCCCCATTGTTAATTGTGAGTTGGGGCAATGGTGAACTTCTGAACTCCAGATGGCCTTCTGATATAATAAATTGGAAAGGCTGTCAGTATCAGACAGATTTGACACGGTAAAGCCCCCGGGGTAGGTCAGCCAACACTCGATCTTACAGGGATAATTCGTAAGAAATCGTGCAGAAATTGCAATCAAATTGTTAGTCGGGATCTTGGACTTCTATTCGAAGACACCCTCCTCATGTCTTTGGATGGTTAAGAACTCCACCTGGGGGCGTCTGTTAGTTGCCATCCACGTGATCCTCTCCTTCAAGTTAGCTCAGCTGCAGAGGTATAAACCCTCTGCTGGCCCGCACTTCTTGTACTTCAGACATCTCAATCTACATTAACTTTACCCTTATATTTGAAGCCTAAGTACATGCAAAACACTGCTTTGTTCATGCAATCAACATTTTATACTTCCATTAGCAGCAAAACTGCAAGAATATGGAGAGTATCACAATGTATAAAACAGTCGCCTCCAGAGCTAATGTTCTCTAATCGGCTGGAGCTAACTGAATAAAAAAAGCCAAACACAAAGCATTTCTGTTATAATTACTCGGATCCACCGAAAGTGCTCACACATGGGGAAGCCTGCCCACGGTGGGCCCTCAGAACAAGCTCTATATTCTCTTCCATCCTTGACTTGAACAGGTTGACATTAAGATCAACAGGATTATGACCGTTGAGGTATTGATGCTTCCTTGTCCACTTGGACTCTCAGCTACTGTCAAGGAATATATGCTGCCAACCTGCATCTTTACCTGGAGAATACTTCCGATGACCATTTGCAGGGAGCGAGAACTTATAGAGTAGCAAACTCATACCAGATGCCGGAACTGCTCGAATTTCTCGAGACAGAAGGTCTCCCAGGAAATCGTTTCTTGAAGCAGTACGACTCAGCCTCAGCGGCGTGCTCCATATTTGCTCCCCATTGTCGCTTCTTCCACGCCATTGCCAATTTCGGTGCAGAGCGGAGGAGAATATATTGAAGTCGCAATTCCTCAACACCACTGGTATTTAGAACAGAGCAAGCACTACACCCGTTGTACAAGCCAGCTTCCACAGACATTGCATTGTGATCCTGGCATATCTGTAGAACTTCACATAGGCTTCGAAGTTAGCAGAGAAATACTTCAGCGCTCGCCGAACTTCAGAAAATCAGCATCCATTTGTTACCTGACTCGTACATTATAATATTCTATCATCGCTCCATCCATATCAACAATCCTCATCTCATCTCGGGGTAGTATGCCAAGGAAACGCTCGGTCGCTCCCGTGTCGATCTATCTTCGTCCCAAACGCCAGTTATAAAGTCGCTCCGCTCAATTTCAATTCGACAAACGAAAATCCAAGCTCCTTTGGCTGAAAATCATTAATACTTAGCAGCATCCTCCATTCCGCCTCCGACTCCCACTCAACGTAAATACCTCTTCCCACTCCCTCATGCCACCTAGAGTTCCACCACCTAATCCCCACCCCTTCTTGGCCTTCCGTCGTTTCCTCATCCCGTTCGAATCAGCCGTCATCCCACTCTTCACGCTCGCCCCATCGCCGTCCCCAATCCACCCACCATCACCATACTGAATCCCACTCATCGGATCATCAGGATCAATCTCCCCCAGCTCAATCTTCGTCAAGATCATCCTCGCCAAACGATTAAACACCTCTTCCACATTCTCCCCACTGAACGCACTAACTTCCACCGAAACGGGAACATTATTGCTGCTCGCCCACTTGCTCGCCTCTTCTGCGCCGACTTCCCTCCCATCTGGCGCAACCGTCGCTCGCAGCTGTGCTCCCAATCCCAGACTTGTAGAAGTTGTAGAATTCACGGATCCGCCGGCTGCGAGTGGAAAGGACGAGTTCTTGCTGCTGACACTGCTGGGGGTAGCGGGTGGTAAGGAGGAGGAGGCCACGTCGATCAGTGTACCACTGTCTGCGAGATCAACCTTGTTTCCCGCGAGGAGGAGTGTGAGGTTCGGGGAGGCGAGGGCGCGGGCATCATTGAGGAATGAGGAGAGGGAGGCGAAGGTTTGGTGGGATGTGATGTCATAGACTAGTATTGCACCAGCAGCGCCTCGATAGTAGGACCGGGAGACTGAGCGGAAACGTTCTGTGCCTGCTGTGTCCCAGAGCTGATGGTGTTAACCATGTCCTCAAAGAGAGAAGAGAAGAAGGGAGGGGGAAAGTACTTGAAGCTTTATCCGCTTTCTCCTAGCGCCAGTGCCGACTCTGATGATCTTGCTGGCGAATTCTACCCCTATTGTCTGCGATGACAGTACCCTCCACTCGTCCTTCACAAATCGATGCAAGAGACATGATCTGCTGCTTGTCAGCGCATGCTTCAAATAAAGAGAAAGAAGGCAGCGTACTTCCCACTCCCGCTTGGACCCAGCAAGATGATCTTGGCAAGGTAATCGTACATGCTCCCCAGTTCCTGTCCCACATCAGCGCCAGTCCCTCTTTTACTCACTCCCCATCCAAGAAAACAAACCTGGTTGCCAGCCGTTCCACCGGACTCATCGCTCGCCGCAGACAACCGCCTTGGTCGCACCATTTTGAACCTTCTTCTCTATCTCTCCGCGAGGGCGAGCTAGTTGCGTGGCTTCAGATCGTTCTCTCGTCGTTGGTTTTGGCTTCTCCGTATCCCTGTTGTTGAACCTGACGCGCGATGTCGTTGCACACTTTGATAAGACATCGGTGTTTGAGCTGGAATCGCCGACGCGATCCCTCTTTGGGAAGGCTTCATCAGGGGTTTGAACCTCGGTTTACCAGATCTGACAGTGATTCAACAACTTCTCATTCACGAACATCAACATGAAGATTGAAGGCCGAACATTTGTTGTTTCTGGAGGGTAAGTAATAAGTGTGTTGTCAAAGGTTTGTAGGAGAGCTGATCAGGATAGTGCTTCGGGACTGGGCCGAGCGTGTGTGGTGGATATTTGCCGGAATGGAGGGTATGCGGCTATTCTGGATATGAACGAGGAACTGGCTTCGGAGCTCGTGAAAGAGATTGGTGGTGACAGGACAAAGTTCTTTGAGACGAATGTACTGGAGACAGAGAGTATTGCTGCTGCTGTGACGAGAGCTTTGGAGTGGGTAAAGGAGACCGGAAAGGAAGTTGGCGGGGTCATTGCAGCTGCAGGCGTCTCGACGCCAGCAAAGGTTTGTCTTTTCTCTTTCGAGTATATGCACTTGATATTTGATTTGGGTCAGATGGGTATTGTATTTCGATTCAAGCAAGCGCTTCTCTCTTCTCAAAGCTATTATCAACTATCTAGCACATGATACTCTTCAAAACACAAACCTCTTCCTCAATTACGTTCCATATTATCGTATTAGACTCTTCTTAAGTTTTACTTAAGCCTCCTAACTTCCCAATGATGGAAGACCTAACATCATATAGATACTCGACCGCAACCTCAACCCCTTCTCCCTCTCCGACTTCGACTTCGTAATGAATGTCAACGTACGAGGAACAATCGATCTAATCCGCCAAGTCCTCCCTCACATGGCCCGCAGCTCACCCCAAGGACCGGACGGCGAACGAGGTGTAATAATAATGGTTGCTAGCTCTGCTGCTTTTGATGGGCAGCCTGGGCAGGGTACATTCCCTTCCCTCCGATCCATCCTGAATTACCGTATCTCTGACAACCCCAAAGTAGCCTACGCCGCCTCCAAAGGCGCAATCCGCTCGCTCACCCTCCCTCTCACCCGCGATCTTGCTCGACACGGTATCCGCGTCATAACAATCGCTCCATCCCTGTTCGACTCGAGAATGACAGCCATGATGTCCGATAAAGTGCGTGCTTCGCTGACAAGAGTTATGGAATTTCCTGGTGTGTTCCCTCCTCTTTTCTTTCCTATTTCTATTCCGAATTTCCATCCTGCGAGTTCCCTCTTCCCTCTGTTGCTTATATCAAGTGCGTAAACGAGTGTGTGTTGAAGTGAGTTGGTCAGGAGGGCGCCAAAATTCAAAGAAGCTTCGTGCCATCTGGCCTCGGCGTCGGCAGTGGTCTAGTAGGACCCGGCACAGGATGGGTTTGCTGAACCGCCATTGCTTTGTTCTTGCGTTCCTTATCTATTTTCTTCTCTCCCCTTCAATGCTGGTAGCGCTGTGGAGAAAGTCTTTCTCTTCGTCTCCGAACTCTAGGAACCAAATCGCTGATAATTGAAAGCACGACCCGGCCAACCTGAAGAATTCGCTTCCCTCGTGCAGCACGGAATAGAGAACGTGATGTTGAACGGCGTAGTGTTGAGGCTGGATGGCGGGATGAGGATGCCGAGTAAGATGTGATGCTATCCTATCTCTCCTTTGCTATTCTGCTGTGCTGAGTTAGTAGGGTGGGCGGAAATTTTCGAGGTGTTCTTGTGCTTACTTGGATTAGAAGTTGAAGGTACTTGTATCCTGTTTGTGCCGAGACGGGAGGATAGTTGGTGTCTTGGTAAGAAACCAAAGAAAAAAGTGACGATTCTTCTTTTCCACCGTTCAGACTTGCAGAAGCGCACGCACTCTACTTGTACCCCGCCTTGACCCCCTCCTCATTTCCATCCCCTTTTCGCTTTCCAAAAATAACAAAAAGGTCACCTAATCAGCTCACGCAATCGCGAGATCAGAAGATCCTTCATCAAACATGCTCATCCCCTCCCCCCCCTGAACAAACTCACGCTCGTGCCCTCCTCCATCCCTTAGCTCAGGCAAAAAGCAGTTGCATAATGCCCCCCGACAGAAATATGCACGAGGACACGCATTCTTTTGCATTACTGCTATACCGCCGGTATGGTATACGCACCGGTCTCTCTCTTATACCCTCCCTCCTCTCATGGCGCCATCCCCCGCCTCCCCCCTGCACAACTCTTCTCCCGGTGTAGCCTCCGCCTCCTGGTGCCTCCTTATCACCCTTACTTATCCAACTATACCTCTCCCCACTTCTTATCCCCCATTCCATTCCCCCACCCCCACACTCTCCCTAAATCTTTCAAACATATCTTGGAGATGACAAAACCTGAAAGGAATAAAAATAGCCCTCAATTCCAAATACGAACTCAGGAAGAAAAAGTCCGCGTGACGCCACACCCCATATCTGATGCAGCTCCCTCCAAATTTTCATAGCGGACTCCCCCATCACCAAGCTCGTTCGTATGTCAAAGCTTGACGTCACACTCCCCTCTCTCATTCCCCATATCACCGAAACTGAAAACGAGAGTAAGGAAGGATCCTAGGCCATACCACCACATCTGGACCTCTCGCGCGGGGTAGTAGCCATGCATCCGCTAACCGCGCTGCTGCAAGATAATCCCCGGGTGCTGACGCATCTCCCGAGGCGCGTCGAGGTGAGCAGAGCTGAGTGGACGGCGTGGAAGGTTGAGATCCAAGGCTATCTGGCAGCGTGGAAGGGAAGAGCGCGGGGGATTGAAGTGGGGGCATCCGGAGGATTCCACGTGGTACGGGTTGGAGATTAATTGTGGGCTAGATGCAAGTTGCTCGGATGTAGGTACGCTGCGCATATTAATATGTGTGGCGTTACAAGTATGGGGCTCTCGGTTAGCTGAGGGGCCGAGGGACGAAAGATCGCGGTATTTGTTTGGATTGGAGCTTTGGAGGAAAGGATTGACAGTCGGTATTAAGGCAGGGTTGTACAAAGTGGAATTGAGGAGGTGTTGAAGACGTGGCGCCAGTAGTGTGAGTAAGCTTCACTTGAAAGAAGCGGGGTTGATAGTTGCGGTGATATTGAAGATACGAAAGACGCGACCCCGAGTACGAGTTTGAGGTGTCAATTTCGGAGTGCTTGCTTGAGTCATGAGAGGAGAGTGTGGTGGCATCGGAGTGCCAAGGAAAATTCGTAGGTGCATCTGACCCCTTCGTTCAGGGGCTGGTGTTGAAGAGGGGGCCTTGACAGAGGATGCGGCCGTCGCACAAGATTCCATTCTGGGAAAAGCGAGGTGCCCATAGACGCCACATCGTATTTGGAAAACATATCATCAACATGAAGCTGACGAATTGCGGGCGTGATAAGAAGGATGCCACTGGGAAAGATATGGGAAGCATAATGTTGAGGGAGTTAAGAGTGGACGGAGGAATGTCACCTGGTTCTCCTCAATCGTTGTTCTTGAAGGGCCAGCACTCCTTGATTTATGAAATGTTTATTATATTCCTTCTATGTTGATGATCTGAGCGTTCAGACAGTGGTACAGTACACCATCCGAGTGGTGGGAAAATAAATCAAGGTCGCAGTGTGAAGAGGGGAAAGTGTTTACGCGTGATGCTACAAACACCACGCATGTCCTTTCATGCCATTTGTTCATTGTATGAGTCTCGATATACTTATCTCGAGCATGGTGATACGACTCTGACGTGAGGGGCTCGCAGAAAGGATTAAAGGGCTGGTTCACGTGGCCCCCACACACTTCCCCCTACGTTATATGATGCCTACACATTTGCAGCTCTTATGGTATGTCCAGCTATGAGATAAATATAACACAACTCCTGTTATTCTGATAAGACTTCAGATATGATGACTCAGAGTACAAAGCAAAAGAGGACCAGTCAATGCGGATCAGAACACACTGAGAGATGAGTACCTCGTCGACTATATAGTTCAACTATTTGGGAAGGCTTGATTCCGTATGGGATATGCTTTCGTAAACATTACCATGCGTTGTAACGCCCCACAAACAAGGGGTATACTGTTTTCACGTGCCTGCATGAGGCTTCAGCTTTACGATTAACCCGCGAATGAGAACACTCTTAAAGACTGGAAACCTCCAGTGCTTCTCGGATCACGCAAAAGTTGGAATAATTTGGTGAAAGACTGCTGAATGAATTGAGTTTGTAGAAATGTTTCAAGTACTGTACAAAGTTCGAAGTTTGTTCCATTCAGCCTGGAAACTTCCGGCATCAGATGACACGAAATATGGAAGTACCGCGTGTGACGAAAATAACACTCTGACTTCAGAGCCAACCGGGCGATTCTCCTTCTCACATGTGGGGTGCATCGTGGACTTTCGGTAAGTGCACAACGAGGAAAAGTAAGAAACAAAGAAAGGGTTTCAGGCTTGAAAGGTTCCAGGTCCAAATCAACATGTCAGCAATCCCAAGAACCCGGTAAGCTAGTCAGGCCACTCAATGTACCCTGGTGATCCATCGTAGATACGGCGGATCGCTCGTGCATACATATACCTATATATCTATATGAATTCGGTGAAAGGATCCGTAAGGGCGGCCAGGCTTCTTGCCTATGCCAAGTACCTCTACTTCCTCGCCCCACATTACAACTTAGAACCATAAAACTTGGACTTGGCAGGAGATAAAATACGGATTACTTGTGCGTAACTAGGTGAATCAGATCATAGCATAGAAACCCGGAGAACGGAAAATATTGATTGCCAACAGACGTTGTGGAGTTGGGTTAATCCCGGCTGGTTGAGCCGGAAAGGGCGATGGCTGCACATGACTTCGCGAGCCTTAGCCGTACTGTAGTTATGGATGTAAGAATTATGTAATTTGGACGGTCGTTATAATAATGTAATATAACGGGGAAAAAAGCGTTATTACATTATTATCATACGCTAACCTATTATGGAAAGGCTAGCTTGTAAGGGAGAAAGAGTACGCGGGTACCCTGCGTTAAACAAACGGAGACGCCCAAATTTGCGTAATTTATGCCTAACTTATGCGTAAATTATAGAATCCTACTTGGTTTCATAAATCACAATAATGGCGACACCGCTATTATATTACGATTTTATACATCCTAACTGTAGTATCCAAGTCCCGCAAAAGGAGGTACGGATCCCCTGTCCAAGTCTGTGTTCGTCGTTTGAACTCATACCCGTCTCCCGCCTTGGAGGTGAGCGGAGGGTCTGGCTCCGTTGTCGTGTATTGCCGTTTTGGGCGGGGCCACATCCTCCGTGCGTTCTTCGAGCGGTTCGCAGGGCACTTGATATCCAGACGATGACAGGAGCGGGCAGCAGTCGCAGGAAGCAGGCGGTCTTTGTCGTCGTTTTTGGGTTAGAGAAGACCCAGAATGGTAAGCTGAAGGCGTACTTGCAGGGCGAAGCAGGGCCGGAGAACCCGAAAACTGGGACGGATCGTCTGGGCTCGCTCTGCCACGGCTCGGCCGAGGCTGCCCACGATTCCGAGAGAGGAGGCTGGCTGCAGGTACGTACTGTACTTCGCACAAGAGATGGAGATGCTCGGTGGGTGTGACGTTCTGGCGGTGGCACGGCGGCAGGCCCCCCAGCGAGCCAGCGAGCCCCACCATCAGAAGCCGGTACGACGGTATCGTTAGAAGTGGTCACCGCCTAACTTTATCCCTGCGATCGGCAGATCTGATGCGGTGATGTGTGAATAGGTTCGCGAGGTTGAATGCCGAGGAACAGTTGATTACGGAGTACTGTAATTGCGGAAGCAGGTGATGCTGCTTTGGGAGAGGGAGGTGTGGCGGGACAGGGGAGAACTTCCAGAGCTTCCTCGCTAAGGCACAATCAAAATCCTTGGCCGGAGCTGGAGGAGCTGTGGAGGAGCTGTGGAGGAGGTGTGCCTTCGCGAACGTCAACCTCAACCAAAGCCTATTCGAGCCAAACATCGTACAAAGAAATTCTTCCACCGCAGCCCGCGATCAGCAGATACGCTCAATGCCATCCCGCGCACACCAGGGCCGAACTCCCTATCCCTGCGCGCGAGCCACCATGGCATGGCCCCGCCACCAGTCCCTCCTCCGATCCTCATCAAGCTCTTCGAAGCATTCCACACCCTAGACTGCGGTCGCCCGGGGCTTGAGATATCCTGGACCTGGCATTTGTTAAGAACGGGACCAACACCCCGCAGCTAGAAGCATCCCCCATTCTCGAGTTCCCGTGTCACGAATAGCTCAAATACATATTCCAACCTCGACCCGCAGCTCGGATCCATGACTATAAGAGAGCCAGGGAATCACCATGATGCTCCCCCCGCGGCCGTGACCACCTCACACAGATAAGCTGCTGCTCTTCGACTCCTGGCGACCCAATTAAACATATACCACGCAGTCTACAAATACCGCCAAGATGCGGACCGAACACCCCTTCTCTTCGAATCCGCAAGCTCCATGCCCAAGCTCCTCATCCGACATGCTTCAACACACAACCATCCCGATCAACAAGGGGTGGACCTTCAAACAGGCAGACAAGGAGGACTCGAAGTTCCTACCCGTTGCTCAATTCCCCACAAACATCCACTTGGACCTGATCGCCAACAAGATCATCGAGGATCCATTCATTGGCAAGAACGAAAACGATGTCCAGTGGATTGGAGAGGTTCCTTGGGTATACAAGACTTTGTTCAAGTCCCCCACTCTGTCCGCAGAAGAACGGGGGAACGTGAAGGCAGTTCTGGCTTTCGATGGCCTGGACACGTATGCAACTATCGTTCTCAATGGCAAGGAAATTCTGAAAACGGAGAACATGTTCACTCCGGAGCGGGTGGATGTAACAACATATTTGAAGAAGCAGGGAGATAATGAGTTGGAAATCACTTTTGATAGCGCATATCTGAAGGGATGTACCCTTGTCGAGAAGTATCCAGACCATCACTGGGGATGTTGGAATGGGGATACTTCTAGACTGGCGGTCAGGAAAGCTCAATATCACTGGGTATGAGACTCCTTCCATTGCTTGGTCAGGACTAACGAGGTTTCAGGGATGGGATTGGGGACCAGCACTCATGACCTGCGGTCCTTGGCGACCAATCAATCTGGAAATGTTCTCTTCGCGGATATCAGATCTCTACTTTATCACAGATGTCGATGAATCGTTGGATTCGGCAGAATTTATTGCCAAAGCAGATGTTGAAGGGACGGCATCCGAAGTGAATTTTGTATTGTCTCTGGCTGGGGAAAAGATTGCTTCCGAGACCGTGAAGGTTATCAAGGGTCACGCAACCCACACATTTGAGATTAATACCCCTGAGCTATGGTACCCAGTCCGGTATGGCAAACAACCTCTCTATACAATCACAGCAACGCTCCGCCATATCAACTCGGAGATCGACACCAAGAGTAAGAAATTTGGTCTGAGGAGAGCAGAACTCGTCCAACGGCCTATTTCTGATCAACCCGGAACATCATTCTTCTTCCGGATCAACAATATTCCTGTCTTCTGTGGAGGCAGTAATTGGATTCCAGCCGACAATTTCATTCCTCGAATCAGCAAGGAAAAATATTATGACTGGGTAAAGTTGGTAGCAGACGGCAACCAGTTCATGCTTCGAGTCTGGGGTGGTGGAATCTTTGAAGAACAAGCATTCTATGATGCTTGCGACGAACTCGGCATTCTTGTCTGGCAAGATTTCTTGTTTGGCTGTGGAAATTATCCCGCTTTCCCGGAGTTTTTGGCCTCGGTGAAGAGGGAAGCAGAGGAGAACGTGAAACTTCTTCGGCATCACCCTTCAATCGTTATCTGGGCTGGAAATAACGAAGATTATGCATATCGAGAGGAACAGAAGCTCACCTATGACCCCGATAACAAGGATGAGGAGAGCTGGCTCCAGACCGACTTTCCAGCACGGTACATCTACGAGAAGATTCTTGCAGATGCTTGTAAGGAGCTAACTCCAGACACATACTATCACTTTGGTAGCCCATGGAGTGGAAAGAACACAACGGATCCAACAATTGGTGATTTGCACCAGTGGAACGTCTGGCACGGCTCGCAAGAAAAATATCAAAACTTTGACAAGCTCGTCGGCCGTTTCGTATCCGAGTTTGGAATGGAAGCCTTCCCCAACATCAAGACAATTGAATCTTTCCTACCCCTTGGCAAGGATGATCCAGATCGTTTTGCGCAGTCTTCGACTGTAGACTTCCACAATAAAGCCGATGGCCACGAGCGTCGAATAGCCCTCTATCTCGTCGAAAACTTCCGCTACGCCCCCGATCCCCTCGAACAATTCATTTACTCGACCCAGCTAATGCAGGCTGAGTGTCTGGCCAGCGCCTACCGCCTCTGGAAGCGGCAATGGAAAGGCCCCAAGCGCGAGTACTGCGGCGGCGCCCTCGTCTGGCAAATTAACGACTGCTGGCCGGTTACGTCCTGGGCAATTGTCGATTACTACCTCCGCCCCAAGCACGCATATTACACCGTCAAGCGCGAAATGGCACCCATCTCTCTCGGCGTCACACGAAAGCAGCACTTAATTCCAAAAGACAAGCACACCCGCGCCTACATTGAGAAGAAAACCGAGATCGAAATCTGGGGTTCCAACCTGACGCTGAACGATATGAAAGTTGACGTGGTGGTGAAAGCCTTCGACGTGATAACCGGTAAGGAAACATTCTCCAAAACAGTGAAATCCGCCTTCACGCTTCCCGAGAACCGGAGCACGGAAATCGCGTCCTTCGCCGTCCCGGTCCGCCATCCCAATTCGGACGAGGAGGGGCGAACGGTCGTTGCTGCGTATCTCTACGAAGAAGGAATACAAGTGGCGAGGTATATTAATTGGCCGGAGCCGCTCAAGTACGTGCATTTGCAGAAACCGAAGAACTTGGAGGTGCTTTTGAGTAGGGATGGCAAGGAGGTGGAAGTTAGTGCTGAGGTCCCGGTTAAGGGCGTGGCGCTTGAGTGTGTGGATGATGGGGTCGTATTCGAGGATAATTTGGTGGATGTCGTGCCCGGGGAGGTCGTCGTTATTGGAGTCAGGGGCGCGACCAAGGCGACCGAGATTGCGGTTCGTTATTTGGGGATGGCTTAGAGGTAGAGGATTGCTGGTATATTACGGCCTGGTGGTTTCCTGCTTATTGGGCTTCGTTCGGGCATGGGAAATAATATATGATGGCCGATGTGGATGAGAAGTTTTGCAGATATATACAACGAATTTCCTTACACAGGGATGCAATATTAGCCTGTCAAATTTATAGTCATGATTACAGTCCAGTTCCCCTGCCTTGTTTTGTCTTTATATGACCCCCAAGCGAGGTAAATAGAGTCCCTTAAGCTGCACAATGTAGAATCCCTAGCATCTACCCGCCATTTTACACGGATTTATCGACCCTCTGTTGCTCTACACTTCCATGTCCCAATGATGCTTGTAGCGTTGAAGTTGCCATGAAAGCCAAGAGTGGATAATTATTCACAATGTATTGTTGCATATCACTTCAATCCGGGATTGAAACTGTCTCGTTGATTTGTTGTACGTTGTATATTTCAAGTTGTATCGCGCCAATCCTCACCTCACATTGCGGGTGCGCCAAGCCAACGCCCACGTGCTCTATCTACTCACTCTCGCTTCACCTCAACCTCACCCATCCTCACCGGCCTCTATTGTGCGCTCTCCACCACCTCACCTCTGCACACCATTCCTACCTAGATGTGCTAACCTCCGGTCGCGCGGCTGTCGAGAGCGTTAACTCCTGGCGAGAATGATTCAGGGGAGTCAGAGCGGGCTCTAAGGGGCCGTAATAGGCCCCTGCTATTGATCCAGAGCATTCCTCTCTGCCCTCAACGCTCTGCTTTTCATTATTGGAATTTCGATCTACTAAGCTAGTCGTACAGTACAAGGACTTTTTATATTCTATCTACGGTACGCGGGGTCGTGAAGGGACGTTGCCCATACGCAATCGAGGAAATGCGCTAGAGCGGACCACCGACTTTACAGGTGAGACATGCAACGGTTCTGGACTTCCACGTATTAGAGCTTGGGCCGGACCTCGGTGATAATAGGATGGAGATCCTATAGGGCCCGGAAGGTTTTCTTTTCCAGCCTGATCGCATATATGAGCCAGATCCGTGCCGTCAATGTATTCTTGTGGATGCTTTTCATCACATTAACGTGCTCGGTCCGCTCCTGGATCGGCCTAGTTGATGAAGATTGCATCGATCCATCCGAGAGGAGAGTGCAAGTCGTCCACCCTCCAACAGATCGTCGGGCGCGCCGTGACCCATGACAAAAACTGACTAAGAAGCACTGCCTGATCTGGTGGGTGCTTGTCACTCGGTCCCATTTTCGGTCATTGCCTAGTTTGCTGAAGTTCAAGAACGTGGGGCCTGTTTTCGCACGCCCTTTCCTGATTTTTTGGCTTTTTGGCGATTGCTGTTAAGTGTGTTATACTGAAGGTACTGCCGAGATTGACAGAAGAACCTCATGGTTTAAAAGCAATAACGCCAGCAGAATGTCAGGTTGGGGGCCTGAGAGATGAAAGGGTGACTTATTGTATGTATAATGAGGACTGGAGCAGAAGATTGGTTAGGCAGCAGGCATAATCATATCGTAATAGTGACTGAACTGCCAAAAATATCAACATGAGCAAAAAAATAGAAAATATATGTATATAGCTAGAGATTATAAAAGGCCAAATCTTGCTCATCTGTGCCCTGTTCGACTCAAGCACTCACATACTTCCGTAGTCAAATATTCAGCCGTTACAATAGCCGTAACAAATGTTGAAAAGTAACTAAAAATGAAAGCAGCGCCTTGAACACTCTTCACCAGAATAGACAACTGCCCAACGAGTTTGTGCCTCGTGGAGGAGCAGTAGGCGTCGAGTAGGTACTTTCCTCTTTACCCGTAACATTTAGTATACGAGCGAGTGCTACTTGCGATTTCGATTATAGCAGTTCGGCCATTGACATAGCTCCCACCCTTCTTTGGACGTCTAGATTGTACACGAGGAAAATATGTGTTGGAGCCTCTAAAACGTCCCCTACCCCTGCCCAATGAAGCGTCTGACATCGGAGGCGAATCCTCGCCGTCTTTGTCATCTTCACTGGCTGTATCGGAGTTATAATCAACGTCATCGGCGTCAATTTTCAAATACGGCGGTTCTCCCACGGCCGGTCCATCCAGACGGTTTGCCTGAAGAGACATTTCGTTCAATATAGAGCGTTGCTTGGTAGCAAATCGAGATAAGAGGGAGGAAAGGAGGGGTGAACTGTGATCCACGAATAGAGAAGGGACCTGAGTTGGGATTTAAAGCCAGCGATCAGTATCAACTGACTAATAGCTATAGCCACATTGTTAGTGAGAGGACAATATGGAGTAAGTGCAAGAGGTCATACTCTGAAAAGTCTAAGGCCTATTCACTTGGTTTTGACCGGCTTGAAAACGCAATTGCGGGAAGAGAGGTTGGGGGATATATGTAGCAAAGGATGCGGGACGAAGTACTTAGCGACACCCTATCTTGCATGGACGCTAAAAAATGCCTGATCTGATGGATATGCAGTCAAAACCCTTCCAGGGAAACATTCATGCAACTGAGAACAAATGGGGTGGAGAGACGATAACCATCTCCAGAGCTATCAACTACCCCACGCATCTGAAAATTGACGTGGCCCACTAGAAACCAGAAGGAATCTGAAGGCGCATAGGCCACGTAAGTTTGTGCGGATAGCGCTGAGGAATTTGAGAGCTGATTTGGTAGATTCACCATCCAGCAAGATATGCTATCTATGCTACGACTGCGAAGGAATGAATTCTCAGCCACCAACGATGGGCGATAGCACACAGTCTGCTGTCGCTTCTGCACGTGGTTGCGTTTGGGTTGTAAAAGGAGTCAATCAACGAACTGAAAGCACGATGTAATGCATAGACTCTTGAAAAGGTCCATCTCACATTCGTCTGTTTGATGCTAATCATGCACTTGACCAAATTCACACGACCGCCCCCACATTTATCAGCTCGCCAATGTGGCTTCAGCAGCACATCCTCGAGCTTCCATGACTGTTTCACGCAGAACCTAACACGATCCTATTATTCTCTGGTATCGAGCGCTGTTTCTCAACGTACGACTGTCCGTTGGATTTCCATATATAATATTCCGTACCAGCTGCCCGTCACGCGATGCTTTCAACGGACCAACCCGAAGTCGCGAGCACATTGCAAGCATTACTCCGGTCCCGCCCTCTGTCTATTCAACTTTGGTGGCAGACGTCCTTCAAGTGCTCCTTCTTTTCGCCCTAGACACCGGGTTATAATATTTGATTGGCCATATATACGAGGCACTCGTCTATAAACATCATTCCCACTTTCAAAATAGATGCGGCTTGGCTTGCGGGACCAACACCTTTCCAATTATTTGTGTACTTTTATAGGACAATTATTCATCACGTGCAACCCGAGAAGCAATGATATATTTTGTTGTACATCGCAAAGGACGATTTGCAGACACCAAATTTCGGCCCTGGAAGTAAGGGGATCTATGTTAATCTAACCTATATTATAGGTAAAGCATAAGTATTTTTTTTTTAGAAAGTGTTCACTTTAGGCTCCTTAAGCGTCGTCGTCAAACTTGATAAAAGTGATGTGAGAGAGTAGAGGTTAGTTCAAGTGTAATTAGTTAAAAAGCGAGAAGTCAAAACACATGACGAGGTGGTCAATCTTGTTCAGGATGCTCAAGCCTGCTCAGTTGCGGGTACTTACGTTACTCAGGTAAGTCGACTAAGCCGAGGGTGATTAGCGCCTGAGTAAGAGCAGCAAGCTTCCTAACTCTATCCGGAACCCAAGAAAGAGAAAATTGATCCCTGATACCTGCTGGTTCTGCCTTGCCAGGATTTTGGCACACTCAAGCGAGGACTCGCTAATTTTCGAGGTACTTCCATAACTTCACCTAGTCATGTGCGACAAGATTGAAAGGGAACCAAATCGGCCCACCCTTACTCGCCATGACTCACCAAAAATTGCCGGTAAAGCAGCTCTGCTCACCTTTCCGAATAGAAACGGATTTTCTTCATGTTAGGATTGGGCCGTGATAATGAGCCATTGAGGCAACTAGTTGAAAGCTGACGAGAGCTCATCAACATCTATTTGAGAACTTGTCAACATCATACATTGAGCTCTTCAAGAACTCTTCTAGCACTCCTCGAGAACTCATGTTGAACTTATAGATAACTCCCAGAGAGCTCCTTGAGGACTCAATGATCCGGTCTCGAACTCAGGCATCTTTGTTGAAACTTCGTGTCAATATTCCAGAACTTCTGGCGCAATGAGAATGAGAATCTCCCGAGGCGATCTCCCGAGGCGGAGAGTGAATATCGTCTCCCTAATTTTGCCGTGCATCTATCTTATAAATTTTGAGCTGCTTCGACGATTAGGATTCTCCTTAACAGACTTCAGAAGGGGAGTTCAGAACACTATCATAAGCCCGACGTTCATTGCACAACGCATATTCTATTCTGCTCGATCTACCCAAGACCTATTCTATGTCTCGAATCTAGATCCCCTCTGTCAATATATCAAATTTCACACTTTGAACCCCCCGGGCTGCAACCTTGCTCCAAAGACCCCTTCTGGATCCCATTTCTGCTGTATCGCTCTAAGTCGTTGGCGGTTCTTTTTCCCATACCCCGCGAACACATCCTGACTCACATCCGCATAATTCAGATACACATACGGATGCCACAGCCCCATTTCTTTGGCGACGGCAATAGAGCGATCGACGATGCGCTTCCCTGCCGCCTCCACAAGCTCGTCCTCTTTTCCCTCCGGCCTCAAGTTATACCGTATCGTAAACGAATACACCAGGATCGGAGCGTCTTCGGCCTTGAGACCGAGACAGTTCCCGCCGTTGCGAGACATGTGTGAGATCTCGTCGGTGATCGCTTGGAAGACGGTGCTGGGCATGAAGTCCTTGACGTGCTTAATGGATTCCGATTCCTCGATGAAGATATCAACCAACTTTTGCATAAGTTCAAAGTTTGGCTTGATAGAGAGCGCGCTCCAGACTTGTCTATTAAACATCAGCCGAAGCAAGGTATGGGAGATGGGAAGTGGGGAGGAAGGGGAGGTACCGGTAGCCACCTTCATTCCAATCATTTAGCTCCTTGTGGTACGAGGAAAAATTCGCAACTCTGTTCGAGGAGTAGACATGTGGTAGTTTCTTCAAGGCGGAGAAGACTGGCGGGTTTGGGACCGGCTTAGCATAGATATTATTGGCAAACGCAGTCCAGAGGTCCAACCCCGGCACATACGCTAACGCAACGATTAATTGTGCGTCTATATCGTACTGTTCTTTTTGGAGGATGGAGAGGTAGGCGTTCAGCCAGTCGGAAATAGTGATGCAGTAGCCTAGTTTACATGCCCCGGCGTTGATCAAGCTGCCGAGCGTGGAGAGGGCTTTGGTCGTGAGGGTGAAAGGAGGGGCGGGTGGCAAGGAAAGCGAAGCCATGCGGGATGAAATATCGGAAAGGAGGTAGAAATTGTACCCTCCCCAGGCTTGAGTCAATGGGTAAGTGGCGAGATCGAAGTGTGTGACGATGCCGAAGTTATTCCCTCCGCCTCGTAGAGCCCAATAGAGGTCTGGGGCAGTGGGTTGCGAGATCTGGGCTATGGTGCCATTTGCGAGGATTACTTCGTAGTTGAGAACGTTGTCGATTGCCCAGCCGTTTCGCCTCGAGATGAAAGATATTCCGCCTTTACATCAACAAAAGACGTCAGTCATCACACTCGATTTGCTCGATAATTGAATGAAGGGGACGGGGGGACTCACCACCTAACATCAAACCACCAACACCGACCCTCCGGTCCCGCCCCCCAACAACAGTCTTCCCATACGGCTCAAGCTTTTTATACACCTCTCCCCACCTCCCGCCTGTCCCAATCCTCGTAACTTCTCCCTCTCCATCACCAGCCTCCCCTAGAAGTTCAACAGAATCAAATAGTCGCATATCAATCGTCACCCCACCTTCCGCACTGCTCATCCGTGCATTTGTTGCATGACCACCACTCTTAACTGCAAAATGGCACCCATGCTCACGGATAATGTTGATGGCAACTGACACGTCCAGGGCAGAGGTTGGCGTAAACCAACATGCTGGGATTATTTCTTGTTGCTGGATTGAGAAGAAGGAACTAACGAGGTCCGGGGCGGGGACCGAGTCGGGGGCGAGTGAGTGGTAGGTTTGTTGAGTGAGGGTGGATTTCAGGGCTTTGCACTATTGAGCGTGAGATCGTGGTGATTGTATGGGGAGGGGGAAGGTGAGAGGAGGAAAGGGGACAAACAGCGTTGTGGCACGCGGAGTCAGATGACTCGCCGTACAGGATAGCTTGGTTCCCAGACCGAGCGGTACATCTTGAAATAATAGCTGGGAAAAACGCCAAATTAGTTAATGAAAGAAGCCGCATCCTTGCAGCCTATCTGAAAGGGCAATGCTCAGGCAAGCTTGAAACGAAGAATAATATGTAGGTGGATGAGTAAGCACGAAGCAAAACAATGTTGGCGGGAAGATGCAGAAAGCAAACAAGAGCAAGACTAAATGCAGAAGGCCGGGTGGCCACGCATCTTAAAGGAATCTGGTGGATTTCCAAGGGAAATGAAGGCGAGAGGAAGGTGATGAAGAGAAGAGAAGAGAAGAGATCTGAAGCTGGCTTCGGGTTCTGACAAGGCTACGGGCTTAGCGCAGTGGTCTGCAACGGGACATGTTTACGATAGGCGAGCTCCACAGGAATCGAAATGGCCAATGAGAAGCAATTTGATATGCAAGGCTAGAGAAAAAAGTCCAATCATGAGCCTGAACTCGTACTCGCTTCAATCCAAAGAACCAACAAAAGGTTAGGGAGGTGTCACGACTGAACGAATGAGGCCAGAATTTCCCTTCAATTGAACTTCCTCACACTAACCACATATCGGAAATCACTTCCACGCCTCTGAAACAATAAATTCTCATCCCAGGCTGCAGCAAAGTCAGTATCGGCGATGCTCTCGCCCAAGAGTTCTTCTCCCGTGGCTTCAGAGTCTTCGCAACTGCTCGAAATTTAGCGAAGATCCAACATTTGAAAGATCTCGGATGTGAGATCGTAGTTCTCGATGTCACAGACGAAGGGTCAGTCAGTAAACCTGTGGGGCGTGTGAGCGAAATGACGGGAAGAACCGCATTGTTTAGTCAACAACGCCGGGATGAGTAAGCCCCCTTTCTAGCCCTCTCCACCGTCTCACAATCCCTATTTCTGAGTGGATAAGACTCCCAATACTGCAATGCAATGGGGTGTATTAATCTTAAAACAAAACGAGTAGCTGTAAGCTTTAATTTTACTAATTTCAAAGCAAAAGTAAACACAAAATATACCTGATTTAATTGGTAAATATATAATTAGTTAATAAACCCGCCGCTTTAATCTATAGCTCAACTAGCCTTCTTTGCTTTCTCTTTACTTACTTTCACCTCCTAGCTAATTAAGTGCTCCTATTCCAATATACCCTGCGTTCCACCTTGGGAGATAGCTCTACCGGCTATACCACTACCCCTATTCGGTTAGCCTCTCCTTCCTTAAGAGAGTAGTAACGCAATGCCTTAATATTATACCCCGTATACTCTATGGCCATTGTCCAATTAACGGCGTCTATTCTGGTTCCAATTCGGCGCTGGAGTATGCAAGCCATCAGGCGAGGATGGAGCTCGAGCCGTTTTGTGTTTGTGACGTACATGCAAGCCCTCATATTTTCCTCAAAACTCCACTTGAGATACAGTATGAAGCGAGAGATATACATTCCCGACAAAAATGCAGGTCATTGGCGGCGCCATCCAGAGCAACCTAAGTTCTAACCACTAACCCCCTCAGTCACCAAATTGTCACCAACATCCTTGTAATACCCCATCCGCACCCCTCTATCGAGAAAGCCGCCAACCCGAATTGGAACATGATGCTTTCCTCCCAATTCGCGGAGAAATTAGTATCAAAGATAACACAGAAGAGGAAGCCGGCGATGGTTTATCTGGGCTCGAAGTTGTGGTTTGCGTACCTTGCGCCCTTCGTAGCGTGGTGTGCGAGCTGGTTTGTTGGGGTCTGTTTTGGGATATGGTGATGAGGAGACCGTTTGGGATGGTGGAGTTGAAGAGGATTGTGGGGAGAGGGAAAGGAGTGGGAAAAGGGGGGTCTGTGAAGTTATTGTGTATGTGGATTGAGTGTGGTTACAGAGAGTTAGTGGTATTAAGAACTTCCGGTGTGGCGGTGTCCCACTATACTCATGGCACTTATCAACCTCTCCCCTCCTTGCCACATATTTCCCACCGGTCAGGTGGAGGATATCGCCTGTTTCATCATCGTCTGCTTGAAGGCCTGCAATGCCGCCGCGGGCTGATAATAAGGCACCTGCATCAAGTCATTAGCACTGTCTCAGCGAACCCCTTACCGTCTTTCACTCAGGCTGCACAACCTACCTCATGACCCGCCCCAAAAACCCTCAACCAGCTCAAATTGCCCACACTCTTAAACGTCCCGGCACTTGTTCCACTAACCGTATAACTACTCACCGCCTTACTCTGGAACGCGGTCTGCCCACTGTACACAATCGCGTTCGCAGCCGCAAGGCCGCCGAACCAGTTGCAGATCCAGTCTGCGTCGCCTGCCCAGATGAGGGTTGTGATCCCTGACTGGACGACGGTGGATAGCGTTGCGAAGAAGGAGCGTGCGTCTGGGTTGGTAGTTAGTAAATGTGGAAGAGATGGGAATGGAAGTGCGAACCGTCTCCACTTGCAGCAAACTTCTCGTACGGTGCATCTGGGCACTCGGCATATGTGCTCTTGGCGCCAATGGCGCTCATGACTGCTGAGCTCTGTAGATAGCTGACGTATGTCTCTGGTGGGTATGGATCTGCACTCGGCTCACGGATGTCATAGACGTCGAAATCAGCCACTTGAGAAAGCGGGCCTTCGATATCGTTGTAGCAAGTATTATCCGCTGTTTCGCAAGCCGAGTTGCTTCCTGTTACTGTGCTACATTTTTTCAGTGCGGGGAGACAGGATTGGGTGTATGTGTTTAGGTATGAAGTGTGTTGCGAGGCGGAGATGAGGGGCGTGTAGGTGTTGTTGTAGCTGAAGTCTACGTAGGCTTTGTATTGAATTATTGGGTCATACCAGCCGTTGTTAATTCCGAGGGCGACGAGGGAGACGTTCTGGCCGGTTAGGGTTCCCTTTGCTATTGCTGCGTTTTGAGCTTCGAAGTAGGATGCAAATTCTTGTTCCATTATCAAAAATTGTTCATTTAATATGATGGGGGAAGCTCACCAGGTCCATAGTGTCCACCATATGATTCGGTGAAGATACCAAAGTCGCGATTCTCGTATTGTGGGAATTGTGCGAAGAAGGCTTGAAGCAGATTCCAGACATAAGGAGCAGCTGTAACAGTGGAAGTCACGGGATCTGTGCCGTAGGAAAAGCCTGTCCCAATAGGCTGATCGATGTAGAGCATATTCGCATACTCGTTGAAGCTGTATGGATTGAGTGAAGGGGTTGATGCTCCGTTCACGAAGTGGCATGGGCCATTTTCCTAATAAGGTATGAGCATTCCTGATTGCGGAAGAAAAGGGTTGGCATTACCTGGAACAGCCCAATCATAGACGAGCAGCCTGGTCCTCCATTAAACCAAGTTGCAAGCGGCGCCGTTGTCGGATTATTTCGTGCCTCAAAGAACCAAAACCACATATTCTCATTGCCTGAATCTATGTTAGACAAACATTGCTAGGATATGACGCGGCTTGGCTTACTGCCAACGGAGAGGTATCCAGAGTATTGGTTCACACCTGGAGTTGTCTCGCAAATACCCGAGTTTGTGACAAAATCTATTGTGGCACCTGTTGCTTCATGCTCAAAAATGGTATGGTCTACACCATCACGTTTGACGAAAGAGCGTTTTCCTCTCAGCTCTGGGGCTGCATCCCGTCCAAGTTCTTGGGCAGGCAAGGCTGAGGAGAGTGTAAGGCAGGCAAGAACACACAGAAATTGAGAACGCATGTTTGGCAATAACACTTTGGCGTGACGACACTGGAGGAGGACAGAGAACACAGCATGACTGTAAACTATTTATCTTCATATTTTTTGCACTCCTCCAAGATCAATGGATCGAATTCACGAGCTAGGGACGCCGATCGCAAGAGTTACGGTAGTAGATCCCCGGCATAGCGGATTAAATGCTTGAAGTAGAAGCTCACTGGAACAACTTTAAACCCCACGCAATCAAACAGGAAGTCCCTAAGCCTCACATCTGCCCTAAGATTGCAGAGAGACGCAAGATAAGAGGTCACAGGTGCCGTCGAGCACCGGTTGTGGAGGGGACCTGAACACTAGGTGAGGAACGTGAGCGGCTAGCTGCAGCTCAATTAAGCTTAGATGATGCAATTACCGGCACTGATTCCCTGTGAGGAAGCTTGAAAGGAAATGAGGGGACAGCTGACAAATGAGTGGCTGAGTAGTTGCGCTTCGAGGACCTTCCTCTTTGGGAAGCAGCTTGCCGAGGCACTAGCTCGTGATAAGAGGGGTGGGGTTAGTCCGCGCTTCCTACTTTTCAGAGGCCCGTCTTGATGACCTCATTGGATGTTACAAACAACTAGGCGAATTCTCCATTCTTTCGTAATAGCTTTTACTGGCTGCCAATAGGAAGAGATTTTCAGGGGAGAAATTGAAGCACGCCTGTGAATCCAGTTCTGGCCATTCGAATTTCGCAATGTGTGGAAAGAATGGAGAGGGGTATATTCGGCTGGAAACTCTTTTCTGGGGCACTTGACCTATTAAGTTCTCCCAATAATTCCAAAAGACTTTGCCGTCAGGTCTTCTTCACTTGAAGAACTGGAGAGTTGTCACCGAAAGACCTTGACTCCTTGAGCTTGGGTGATGTTCTAGAAAGCTGTATTGAACACTCTTTTGCACATGCTTTGACTCTCCAACGTCCTATTTTAAGCTGGGACACTAGTTTGCCACTCGCCACCTGTCTCTCAAAACACCTCGTAGCCTCCTCTGACCAATTCAAACCACGAGCCAGCCCCAGGAGCTCAGCCGCATCAAATACCGCTTTTGCGCACAATTGGAAAGTCCTTTGGATGGCCTTCAATTCTATCTAGCCCTTAACTCGGCGGGGTCCGCCCTTCTTCCCTCAGTGGAACCTTCTGCTCTCTGTCCAGATATTGCAGGGAAGTGGATTTGATCACGGGCGTGACATTCAGCGCAAGATGTTGCCTGCTCCCACCTTCATGGATCATGTCTGGGTCACCTTAATCAGGCACAGGAGCTTGAAAGGTTCTCTAGGGAGAGTGGTTTCGTAAACGTGAATTCCTCCGCAAGACCCAAGGCGGAAATTCGAATATCGTGATATGCTGCCTCGAAGAAGATTTCCACGCGCTCAGTGGTGATTATTTCTCATTGACGGCATGGGCGGGAAATGGTGAACGTGAGAAGCCCTATCCACATGAGGAGGACAAATGCGGGGAGGCCTAACAAGAAACCCGGATCGTGTATTGCGCCCAAATTGCCGGCAGAAGCAGCGGAGGTTGAGGTGCTGCTTGCCTTCGAGGCCGAGCTCGGACCGAGCGGTAAGCTTTGATGTGATACGGAGGCTGAAGCAATTCCAGTGGGAGAAATCGCACCACTTGTCCCAGAGGAGGTGGTTGTCAATCTTCCAGTGGTCGAAATGGTTGAAGTGTTCAACGTGGTTGTGCTGCTCGGGGTCGTTGGCAGCGCTATCGTGCCTGTAGATTGCCGAGGCGGCTGGACGGATACTTCCAAGTGGCTTGTTGTAGTTTGAGACATGTTGAGATGTTGTTGAAGAAAAATAAAGATGAGATGGTGAAGAGAAGACGAATGATATGACGGGGTAGATGTGCATCCGAAACAGGTTAGAGCGAAAAGGGGTCCGATCGCCAAGCCAATCGCGGGACGGACCGGCAGAACAAAATTCCGGCCCGAATTTTTTTCGACGAAGATAATTCTTTGAACATAGCTGGGACATTGAACACAACCTACGACAATGGACATCTTGAAGATCCTTTCAAGGTCTACTAAGCATGTCAACAAGTCTGCGGGAGGAAAGGATGTAAGCTCAGTAAAGCTTCCATCTGCAGGAACCTCCTCGAATCCACAACTCTACCACGATGCGATTCCCGGGTTAAGAGGGAAGAAGAGGAAGCGCGGGGCGGAACAGAATGAAGAGAGCGCTCCAGGACAAGAGGAGGAAGCAATTGATTTCTTTGCGGCGAAGGCCCAAGCTCCGAAGTTGAAGAAAGTACCTGGCTCTGCCGATCAGAAGCCACAAACGTCGGAGAATGTTTCTCTAACTACAGCAAAATTGTTGGATGAAGAAGAATGCCGACAGATACTGCGATCGCACAGACTAAAGGTCACTCTTTTACCTGCAGGCAATGCGCCAGCAAAGAAAGTGAAGAAATCGAAGAAAAGCAAGGCTGCCACGAAGTCGAAAACGAAGGACGAATACACGCAGGTTTATCCACAGCCATTGACGGCATTCGAGGATCTGAAGCATACATATGGGATTTCGGGGCGCATGGCAACGAACTTGGCAGAGCAGGGATACAAGATACCCACAGAGGTACAAATGGGCAGCTTACCTCTGCTTCTCAAGCCGGAATTTGCCCTCGGAGCCTCTCCAACGGAAGCAGAAGGTGCTGAGGACGGAACGGCCTTTGATCTGCTTGCAGTCGCTCCCACTGGCAGTGGGAAGACTTTGGCGTTTTTGATACCAGTGGTGAACCAGATTATGCAACAGCGGAGGACTGAGAAGGATAAGGAGGAGCACAGTTTGCAAGCTGTGGTAATTGCCCCAACGAAAGAACTTGCAAGCCAGATTGTCAACGAGGCGAAGAAACTGAGTCTTGGAACTGGGGTGAAGGTGGTTGGAATGCGAAAGGGCTTGAAAATTCTTGGCACGCAAGATGTTGGAGCTGGAGGTGAGAGCTCCAGCGAGGATGAAGATGATGAGGCAAAAGAGCTATCGAAGAAACCAATCCAAGGTGTTGCCAAGGCCGATATTCTCGTCACAGCTCCTGGGTTACTGCTCAGTGCTCTTTCGACCAATGTTCCAGAAGAACACAACCCCTTGCCAACTGTTCGGGCACTGATATTGGATGAGGCAGACGTCCTTCTTGACCCCCTATTCAGAGATCAAACACTTGGGATATGGAATGCATGCGCAAATCCACAACTCCGCGTTACTTTATGGTCAGCAACCATGGGCTCAAACATCGAAGCTCTTGCATTATCTACAATCTATTCAAGAAGAACGAAACTTGAAATTGACGATGACTCTCGAATCGTCAGATTAGTCGTTGGACTGAAAGACTCTGCCATTCCCAACATCACCCACCGACTCACCTACGCCGCCACCGAACCTGGGAAACTCATCGCTCTCAGACAGCTCCTTCACCCCACCGCAAAATCCACCGACGCCACGCAATCCCTCCGCCCTCCCTTCCTCGTCTTCACGCAAACCATCCCTCGAGCCGTCGCCTTACACGCCGAACTCCTTTACGACATCCCCGCCGAAGCCGGTGGCTCCTCCCGCATCGCAGTCCTACATTCCGACCTCTCAGACTCTGCCCGCTCCCACGTAATGACCCGCTTCCGCAATGGCGAGATCTGGGTTCTCATCACAACCGACATCCTTTCCCGTGGCGTTGACTTCCGCGGAATCAATGGCGTAGTAAACTACGATGTCCCGAACTCTGGAGCAGCGTACATCCATCGTGTTGGGAGAACGGGACGAGCTGGGAGGGACGGTGGTGTGGCAGTTACGTTTTATACGAAGGAGGATATTCCCTATGTGAAGAACATTGCTAATATTATTGCGGCGAGCGAGAAGCAGGCTGGCAAGCCGGCTAGCGAGGCGAGTATGCAGAAGTGGCTGTTGGATGCGCTGCCGAAGCCGACAAAGGACGAGAAGAAGAGGTTGAAGATGTACGGTGTCGAGGCGAGACGAGGGGGCTTGGGCCCTGGAAAGGAGGGGAAGGAAGCAAAAGGCAAGAAGGGAAGGATGCAGATTAGTACCAAGAGTGGGTATGAGCGGAAGCTGGAGAATAATAGGAAAGGGGCGATTTTGGGGAGCAGGAGACGTGCTCGCGAGACCCAAAAAGAGGAGACTGATGATCGACCTACTGCTGAGGACATCGAGTGGGGTGGCATTGATGAATAGGGTTATAGTCACTTCAGTGGCTGTGGAAATAACTTTGGAATTTTGCTTGATACCATGAAATCCTACAAAATGAAAGATTGCATTATTTCAAAAGTTGGAGGGCAATGGATTGATGCTCGAAGGTGCAGCAGAGGAAATCAAATATTGTAGGTTGGCAAGTGCCACTAATGCAGCTCTTTCTCTCATTCTTATTCGGATTTTCTGCTCTTGAGTACATTTAAAATTACCCTCTCTACCCTCTTGTTGAATCACACGCGCATCGGCATCCAGAATCCCGACAGCGCATCTCTGGGGTCAGAAACGCCTGCGATATGGTGGCTGGGATGGACCAAGTCGTTGGAAAAGAGCCAACCTTCCCGCCCGAGACATGTGCTCGTGGCTCCAGCCCTCAGACTACAACACATGAGACTTAAGGTTCCGCATCCCCCTGTTATTACTGATGCTCAACGCATCATTCATAAGGAGCGGACGTTCAACTTTCCCATCCTCCATCCGAATTCTCCATTCAAAAAACAACTGCAGACTTGACAGCAAGCTCTTATTTGACATTCCTGAAAGTTCAGACCGTCTTTTAATACAGCCACTGCCCCAAATCACGATGTGATATCTCACTTGTTTCCTCGCCCCCCAGTGATTGTTGGTCTTCGGAGTCAGAATGGCATGTTCGTAGACGACGCCGCACGGTTGCTTTCCCACATTCGATTTACCACCTGAGAAATAATATCCCGATGAAGAGGCTGTGAGGTTTGAAGGTGGTTAATATGCTGACAGGAGAGAGGAAGCAAAAGTGAGCGCACATTGAGCTCCACATCTTCTTTGAACACTTACGTCCGCTCCTTTGCAAAACCCAGCAAGGCATCGACCAGACCCCAATGTTGATTATCAACCCTCAGGCTTCTCTGACTCGATCTCCATAAATTTCAGCCAGTCAAGAGTGGGCTCCATTCAGTCGGGATCAAACAAGACGTGCATCGTTTGGTGAGAGAGCGAAGGTTAACTATGCGAAATTCGAGCACACGAGCTCCGCTGAACTCAAAGCCTTCCTTCGGGAGGATATAAACCACTATACAGCATATTCGTTGAACGCTTGACGATAGCGTCTGCGCTAGCGATTCCCGAGGGACTTTGCGAGAAGGAAATCCTCGGAGACGATGTATACCTCGATTGAAGTATTCGAAGATGTGAATGTCACGGAGACTTCTGTTCGTGGCTCAGAACAACACGCAAGGTGATGGGATCACCTTCCTTTTTATGTCTTGGGTTCTCCGTCCCAACTCTCCATCCGAAAAGTGTTTCCAAACTTGACAGCACCTTCCTTCCCGACAGTCTCTGAAAGTTCGAACTACTATCCACAGGCAAGCCATGTCCTGACTGCAACTCATCAACTCATTACGTTTGACACGTTCAAGGCTCTAAATGGACTTGAACACTAGTCTCGAATGCAGGGTGACCTAACAGGGCGCCAAACCAATTTACTTCCCCCTGTTTGAATCACCCCTAGGGAATAATATCAGTGGTGAGGAGTGTGCCGGTGGTGACCCAGGCGATTTATAGTCCATGTGGCTGCTGGGAGGGAGCTAGCGATGAGCTTTTTACACGTCATGCTCACTTACGTCATTGCTTCTTATTTGTTCCTTTCTCGGAAATGCGCCTCGCCCAGTATTCTGCCTTGTGCTATTCGAGGGGAGTGGGCAGATTACAGTACAAACATTTTCCTATATGTATTCAGAATATGCACTCAAGTTGTGTCCTCAACCCAAAAGCCTATTCCTCGGGTAATCTCATCGAATCTAAACCTCCCTTCGAGCCAAAATATGCCTATAAGTAAAGAGTTTTTGTTTCTTGTTTCTTGCATATTATTAAAAGATCTCATTCACCTAGCTAGAAAGTCCTGTATTTAAAATGTTTAGGGGTTCAGATTCGGTTCCTCTGCCAGATTCTAATTTGGCGCTGTTGGGCTACATGTACCTCCTTGAGAGGTTCAAGGCGCAGCCTCGCCGTATCAATCTGTGAACCGGCTAATAGACCGACCTTATTATGACTGGCTACGAAAGCGCTAAGGCAACGAATTGTTTCTGAAAAGGTGGGGCTTGAGGCGGCAATGCGACCCAATGGCGATTTACCACGTACGCAGCCTTCTCTATCTTGGTGGAAATGCCCGTGGAAGCAGTTTCCTCTTCTTACCTCTTTTTCTCATCCTTTCTAGAACCTCTATCAAACTATTGTTGATCAACAGCCAATATCACGGTCTTGGTGTACAACACTCTAGTATTTGAACACAACAAAACTCCGACCGGCAAGAGTCCCTGTCGCGGCTAATGGACTTTGTCTATGATTCCAGCCTGGCCTCGTATGAGCTCCGGTTGCTCCAGCCACTGGCAGTCGATCACCGTGTCCTTCGATTCAAAACTCGGCGTGTCCCACGCGCATCAAAGCCCCCTTACACAGCTATTTCGTATACGTGGGGTAACGAAGATGCGTCAGAAGTTATCTACTTAGATAACCAACGTTTCCGCGTTAGGCTCAATTTGTGGTCATGTCTGTATTACATGGCTCATGCTGCTAGAAATAATGGAGCGTGGGATTGCCTTTGGGTAGACGCGATCTGTATCGACCAAACCAACGACGCCGAACGTAACTCTCAAGTCCGGTTAATGGACCAGACATACAGAGATGCTGTCTGCGTGTCCGTCTGGCTGGGGCTCGTGACATCGCCTGAGCACATCGGGCCGCCTACACAAATACCTATCAGGACAGTAGAAAGCGATGGATTCGACTGGGCAGAGTCGATAGTCGATCTCTCGAATCGCCCATACTGGTCTCGCGTCTGGGTTATCCAGGAGTTCCTACTTGGGCAAAATGTCGAGCTGCATTGTAGTGACAATCGGATAAATTGGCTAGACTTTCAGGAATTCCTATGCCGCGAGGCTGGCATAGAACAATTCTACGATGTGAATGGCGACGTTCCCCAAGGAGACGGAACGACAGCACTCGCCGCTTTGCCGCTTGTCATGGGGCGGCATGTGGATAAGCATCCCGAGATCTTACAACCACTCTGCGACCTGCTCATTGACAACCGCAAGTCCAAATGCAAGGATCCACGAGACAGGGTTTTTGCGCTACTAGGACTTATTCCCCTCGACGAAAGAGAGATTCTCAGCATTTATTTCCCGGACTACTCCCTTACGGAGGACAATGTGCTTATCATAACGCTGGCGCACTTGACACAGTTTCCTGCGCTGTCAAGAATGCAGCGTGGTGGAGAAAATATTACTCCTGATTCGGAGGAACTTTTCATGGGTCTTGGTGTCGAACTGAAGCCACAAAGGAGAAGACTTCTGCGTCGAGCTAAGAGACTTGACTACTTAGCTCGTATGTCTTCTCAGGAAATGTTGAACTCTTTGGCTTGGCATGATGAGCTGGAGGAATACGGAGGGGAAGATACGGACGAACAGCAAGAGATGAGTGAAACTGAACGACCGAGGCGTTCTAATAGAAGGTGGCTTACGGTCTCGGTTATATCTGTACTATTTGTGATTTTGTTGATGGGAAGTAGTAGACATAAATTTGGTAGTCGGTAAAATCATTTATGGAGATGAACGGTCAATATCTGGGACTCAGCAAGTATGTAAAGAACTATACAAGCTAGCAATAGAGGTAATTATTAAAGCACTAGTTAGCAGAAATGCAAGCCATATATAGAGCTATTTGGTGATTTCAATACGGGACTAAATATTAAAGAGAGCTCACCTGAGCAAGATTAACCACATTATCACGTGTTTTGACTTCTCGCTTTCTAGCTAATCGCACTTGAACTGACCTCCGTTCTCTCATATCATTTTCGTCAAGTTCCTAAGGAACCCAAAGTGGACACTTTCCTCAAATTTCGAATAACTCTAGAAGGGCGTTAGCTTATCTAGGCAAAAGCAAAAGGAACTTGAATTCTTCTCATTAGTTGCGAGAAGAATGAATCAATTCGATCCAGCCCATGTTGGTATTAATGCATTGAAAGAATACCTACAGGATTTGCTTGATAGACATATTACGCGAATGCTTCCTGGAGTCTGCGATGAAATTAGGACTCTTCTTATCTCTATAGCAGCGGAGCTTGCTAATCTCGGGAATGAACATTCAATAATAGCATACATGCGCATCGTCCTTACCTCGTTACTCACTACAATGTAGAACATTACAACGTAACTTAAGTGGCTCCTGAAGAAAACTACCATGAACGCGGTATCGACTTTTTGGGTGACCCTGAAGAGTTCTCTATGCACTTACGAGCAGAGGTTCGTGTATTGTTCCAGTGGAATTAATGGCTTTTTTGGGGGGGGAGGGGGCTAAGCAGGGGGCTCGGCCAAGCGCTTTACGTTTTTCCTGCGCCGTCATGCGCCCTCCTCACGACAGCAGCACAAGAACTCAGCGGAGGCTTTTGTCCGGGCAGCTCTACCGGAGTTCGAGTAATAAGAATCAAATCGAAGATGCTGCAGAGGTGGTCTGTATGCGCTTGGAAATTATTTGGCGTACACAAGCCATTCGAACCGCTTTTGTAGTCATGTCCAAACCTCACTGCCGCGGTCGGATGCCTTCATTAGTGTTCCAGTCCCAGCTTCTCCCGACAATATACAGCCATGTCCGAAGCCCTGGTGTGTAATTGCATTTTTTGATTTTGCTAGGGGGCATGGCTTCTGGGTATCTGCTGCTCGCAAGTGAATACGGTAGGCTACCACTGCGTCGGAATAAGGGTCTGGCGCCTGCGAAGCTAGTCTAGTCATGCCTGCGAGGAGCTTCGGGGGTGGGAGGCTGTTTGAGGCCAAATCCCCTTTCACAACGTAGCTTTACCCCTTCTGGAGGACATCCGTCTGGGGGTCATGCGCGACGCGGGGGTATCACCTCGCCTGGTGAAACATTGCCACGCTAGCCGCCGCACGCGAAGATCCCCTGTTCGGTCACGGATTACAACAGTCTCCTCCAACCAGGCCATCCGCATTTAGTTCTATGCGGCCGCTAGCGCTGGCAATCCTCACAGAGCGAGGGGATAAAACGTGCGGAGTAGAACCGACCGAGCGCACACTCAGCGGGCTAGATGACACCGAGTCAAGTCTGCTGAAATTTGATTAACAGGAGGAAACACATGGCCCGCCGTCTTCTGGCCTGGTGGAAGGGAAACTGGTCTAAGCTCCCTCGGACTTGACTTCAAAAATTTCCAAGTGCAGAAAGACAGGATTCTACCAGTCTATGAGGCTACAGCGCAGGACGACGGGGCTTTGGAGCATCAGAATCAAAGAAAAGAGCGTAGGTGTGAGCTTCGGGAGACGGGAAATTTCATGCCACAGTAGACCCAGGACGCTCGGGAGCGAAACGATGGTACTAAGCAGTAGATCGGGGACAAGGTGGCAGAGATCGAGATTCGATATTTAATCCGGAGCGGGTGAGTAAATATCGAATCTCGGAGTCCAAAAATAGCTGGACCAGGTACGAGCAAATGTAAGGTATTCGCATTGCTACATTTAGAGTGCTTTAACTGAATTCATGTGCTTCATTCCTCACCCACCGACGCGTCACTCCTGGTCACGTCCTGCCACTGCCTCCCTAGCCACATCTCCACCTACTCATCGTCCTCCACATCGAGAACCGTTTGCTTCCACTTGCGAGCCGGGATACGACGCTTGAACATGATGTCAATCTCGCGGTAGGATAGACCCTTCATCTCAGGCAAGTAGAAATATGCCGTGATCAAGCAAAGCAAACCGGTCGCACCCCAGACGTAGCCGCACTTGCCGCCAAGGTTTCCACCCTGCAATATGTCAGTAACTGTCACCGCAAGTCTCGGAGGGAGAAAAGTCCTACCGTCGGGTTGAGCATATAACTTCCGAGGAAGATGCAAGGAATCTCAACGATGTAGTACGAAGCGCGTCCAATTCCAGTCGTAAGAGGCCTAAGGCGGATGGCCGACGTTTCTCCAATAATGACCCAGGAGGCGGGCGCAGGTCCCAAGGTAAACAGGACGGAGATGATAAGGCCCAAGGACGCCTGCGCCAGCGAAGCTGCAGTCGCAGCTGCAGTCCCCTTGGTAACAGGGACAGAGGCTGCAACACCGAGGGCGACCAGTAGGATGGTGTTGAAACCCGAGCCCCAGAGGTAGATAGTACGCCGGCCAAAGTACGTGGTGAGGAACCAAGAAAGCATAACAAAGATCATCTGTAGGGCCGAGGTGATAAGACCTAGGGCGAAGGCAGTATTCGTCGACACGCCAGCCTCTGCGCTTCGATTAGCACAAACATTTACTTGAAAACAGCGATGATGACAACTCACGCTCGAAGAAGTAGACGGCCTGATTAGCGATAAGGTTGCCCGTGAGGTTTTGTGCTAAGTACACACCGCACACAATGAGGGTGCGGTAGAGGTCAGTGCCTTTGAACAGTTCCAAGTGGTTAGGCTCCTTGTCTGACTTCTCGAGCTCAACGACACGGCGCATCATGGCGACAGTCTCACTAGAATTCAGCCTCGACCTGCGTCCAAGGCGCTCGACCGAATGTGCTGCTTCTTGGAGACGTCCCTTTCGAACCAGCCACCAGGGCGACTCGGGTGCCAAAAAAATAAGGATAGCGAGCGGGGTGGGGAACATCCATTGAAGCGCAATGGGAATCCTGGTTTTTTTTCGTTAGCAAAGGACCTGCTTGTAAATCGGATGAGCACGTACTTGTAGGCGCTTGGGTGATTTATACCGTTGTAACGGTAGGTGACGGCACCAACGATGATACTGCCAATCGCCCAGAACATCTGCAACATCTGGGTAGCAGGGGCTCGCAGCTTTATCGGTACGATCTCGCTGCAGTATGCCGGCGCATTGGCAATGAAAATGCCCCATGGCAAGCCCTCGAGAAGCTGGGCCACGAAAATGACTGGAAGCGACTCGGCAAAGTAAAATGCGAAGATGAAGACATTCAAGAGCATGAGGCCGGTCAAGGTCGCCCAACGATATCCGATATAGCTGGTGAGGGGGCCAGCGAGGAAGACGCCGATAAGAGCACCGAGCTGCCCAGACACTTGAAGCGCAGACTGCCACTTGGTCACGATGACAAATGAGTTGGTTGCGGCATCAAATACACCGTATTTTTCCCTGAACGCAGGTAGGGCGACGAAATTGCCGATGAGGAAGACATCGTAGGACTCCATAATCTGAAGATGGTGTTAGCTGCGATTCCTCGTTGGAGGAAAGGAAAAGGTTAAGTGGAAAGGGGAAGGAGGGGAAGGCAGCTTACAATCGTGAAGGACATGACAAAGGCCCAAAACGAAGCCATAGGGTACTCTCGAACGGCCTCCAGCACCCCCATTTTGTGCTCCGCGTTCTCTGCCTCGACTGCATCCGCCTTGTAATCGGAGATTTTCGCCTTCTCGTCAAGGTCGTAGGCATGTTCCAATGGGGAGATGCCCCCGGTGGCCTCGACCTCTGGGGCGTCGCCAGATGATTTAGAATCGACGGGGCTATCCATGTTGGCTGGTGTTTACTTGGATGAATAACGTGTATTCTGGGAGAAGAGGACAATCAGTGAGAAACAGAGACAATCGTGACGGGGAAGGCTACTACCTTTTATGCTTTTCATACTGTCCCACTTTCGTAGAGCCGCCGGGACCCTGTTCGCCATGCCTGTAAAGGATACGATTGAAAGGTTAAAGAGACACGAGGCTGACTACGCCGCAAAGAGCTCGCGGCAGCTCGCGGCAGCTCGAGGCTCTACTACCCCGCATGCTTGAATCCCAGCATTAGTATGGATGAGTACAAGGTTGGTACGGCCATGGACTTGTTTTGTTTCGATGGCGTTTTTTTTTACCCGAGCCCTGCTGGTGATGAGTAGTGGTCATTGGCATTGATTGGGGCGCATGCGGAGATCCTGGGCGTGGCCAACGCCCCCCGCCTGCCCCCAGGAGCCTCCAGATACCCCCATACTGTTCGTTTGGCAGTCATTGACTCGAATCGGCCCTGGAGAAATTAATCCACGTATCACCCGCTCACCATTAGAAAGGAAGTCTCCGTCGCAAAATATAGTAGTATGCATTAGCCTGAGATGCGCGCTAGCAGACGTTTCTTTGGCCTAATAGCAAAAGAGATCGGCCCGTTTTCAAGAAACGCGATTACACGAGGGACGTCATTTCCGCAGCCGGTTCGGACCAGCGCATGCAGTGCGCTGGTGCCACCAACTCCGATATCCTAGCAACTCCGATATAGGGTTTTGGGCCTATTTTGTTAAATAAAAACGCAGCCACGCATTAGATAGTTATAAAAAATTTACATTTAAAAATTATTAAGTCTATTATATAAGTGTACTATATATTTATTTTTTAATTTAGGAGAGTAATATAATAGAAATAATCTGTTTTATAAAGACTCGATATATTTATTACCTAATTAATTAATTATAAAATATTAGAAAGTAATAGCTAATTTAGCTTTTATTAATTAAAACTATTTAATTTTTACTAATATAATTTATTATTATTATTAGTACTTTACTTAAGCTTTAATATTTATATTATATTATAATAATTAATTTTAATTATATTTTAATTATTTATATATATTATAAAGATTAATAAAATTCTTATAAGTATTCTTATATATATAATAAAAATAAATGGCCTAAAATACTATTATTTTATATAATAATATTATATTTATTAAATTCAGTTTATTATAATAAGTTAGCTTTAATAAAAAGCGAAATTATTAGTAAGTAATAAATATAATAAAATAAATAATACTTGTTATAGTTTTAATTATATATATATTATTACGAGTATAAGATCTAGGGCCTGGAAGGTATAGTTAGACTATTTCTATTTTAATAATTTAAAGCTAAAGAGAGAAGAGGATCTTAAAGAAGCCTCGGATCTAAATAATTACGAGCTATATACGGGCTCATATACTAGCTTAAGCTCGGAGTCACGTATAATAATTAGGTAACTATAGATGCCTTGCTAGCTCTAGTTTAATTCCTACTAGTATTATATATTATAATAACCGTAATATTACTTCCTTTCTTAAAATAAGCTTGTTTCCGAGCTTTAAAAGTCCTTATCTAATTCTTAAGTTATAGTTATATATAAAAGGCTAGGGCCTTTTATATATAACTTGCAAGAATTTCTATTTATATTATATAGTTCCGGTAATATATTATTCTTAGTATAGTCTAATTAATAGGAGAGGTTCTGGGGTAGTCCTAGCTATTTAGGGTTCTTATTATAAAAGCTTTAAAAAGCTAGGGCACTATTACTTAATAAGAATATAAGATATTACTCTGGATCTGGATCCTATTCTTTTTACTAGACTTAATACTTGAGCTTCTTATAGAGTAGTTTTATTACTAGTATCTCTTGAACTTTATATTCCGTTTCTCTATTTTATAGTTCTAATAGTAGAGGCTCCGGATTTGCTTATCTAGGAAAGAAGTTACCTGGGTTCTTATATAATTTCTTTATATAAAATACTAGATATATTCTTATTAATTCCGGAAGCTTAAGCTTAAAGAAATATCTTACTTATTTCAGGATTTTATATAGTTCTTCTATTTAGTAAGCTAGCTTATAGCTTGAATAGTTATTTTTCTAGTATTTAGTAGTAATTTATATCTTATTTCTTATTCTAAAGTTTACTAGTTAGTAGTACTTATTAGCTTGGGCAATATAATACTCTTATACTTATATTATGTTTTCCTATATTCTTTACTATAATTTATAAAGCTATATTACTAGGGCCTTTACTTCTTACTTATTTAGCTCTTTCTTTAGGATATCTAATTATATTTGGGTTTCCTAGTTAAATAATATCTGCGGTTTATAGCCTTTTTCTATAAAAAACGGGAATTAGTTTATAGTTTCATAAACTAGAGCTACTTACTAGTAGTTAATTATTATTACCTATTTATTCTAATTATTCTAGTAGTAATTTATATAGGGATATAGCTATTAGTTAAAGTACTAGTTAATAATCTCTATCTAGCTATTAGTTTAGGAATAATTAGTAGTTAATAACTTAAGCTTTATATTAATATACTTATAAAACTTGTTTTAGAAATCTAATATAAACTAGGGGCCTTAATTAGATACTATAGTTTCCGGAATACTAACTTAGTAAACTATATAAATAAGAAATAGGAATACTAACTTTTTAGCTATTATTATATCTCGGACGGGAATTATAATAAAGTACTTGCCTAGATAATTAATAAAGATTATTATTATATTATACTTATTTCTATTCTCTAGATATTTCTTAAAATATACTAATATATATTACTAGAGATAATTAGAGACTAGTAATAGATATAAGAGCTCTAGCTTCTTATTTCTAGAAATATGGGATTATTAGTAAGTATAATAGTTATTTCTATACTAATTAATATCTATACCTTAGCCTAGCTAGTAATAGCAGGCCTAAAGAAGCTATTAAAGCTTGGCTTATTCTAGGTATCTTATTAGAAGCTATATATATACTTTCTAAATAAGGGTAATATATAGAAATATCTCGGGTATTATTATATTATTAAATATAAATAGTTTACTATATTATAAGAAGAGGCCGTTTTATAGTATCTAAATGCTTTCCTTCTCGTTTCTTGCCTTATTCTATAGCTTCTCTAGCTCTAGTAATTCTCGATTCTCGCTTAATAGCTTATTTACTAGCTAGATACTATTATACTAGATTTCTTTCTGAGCCGGGCTTATAAAGGCCTTAATTAGGGCTAACTAGAGATCTTATATAATATTATTATTAATTTTTTATTATAAGAGGAGAATTTGGATCTAGTAAGCTATTATTATCTTATTCTAGATAGTTATATTCTTATATTTCCTATTTAAGGTATTTGCTTATTTATTTAACTTGCCTATCTAATATATAAGCTTAAAATAATAATAGGAAAAATACTTTATCTAGTAAGCTTATTTTACTAAGAGCTTCTTTATAGTTATAAAATATTTAAGAGCTCGGTAATCTAAGTAAATTATAAAGGGTACCTTTTATAGGCCTTCTAGTTCTGCTTATTATTTAATTAAGGAAAGAATAATAGCAAGTATTTCTTTATTATAGATATTATAGTTTAGCTTTACTAATTATATAATCTTAGAAAAGAATACTACCGGATACTAGAGTTTTATCTAGGGGTTTTATTATAAGAGAATACTAGCTATAACTTTATTTAATATATTTATTTTAATTATAATAGGAAAGTTTAGGTTATAGTAATATAGAATTAGTACTAAGAATATAGTTTGCTTTAGTTTTATGAAATTTTCTTAATACTAATTTATTTACTTAAACGGAACTTCCTTATATATTAGAGCTATTAGGGGCTTTACTATATAGCTATATTCCGTAATAAAGTACTAATAAAAGTTATAAAAACCCAGAAAGCCTTATATTTCTTTAATTATCTTTAGTAATTACTAGTTCTTAATAATTACTATCTTATCTAGATTTACTTTAATATCTCTAATAGAAATAATAAAGCCTAGGTACTTTATATAAATAATCTTAAATTCTAATTTCTTAATATTTACTTAGAGGCTAGTATCTTATAATTACTAAAGAATCTTTTATATATAGTTTTTATATTTTAGGGAATTATATAAGTAAATTAGAATATTATCTAAATAAGTTATATAAAAGATATTAAGATAATTAAAAAGGATATTATTTATATATTTCTAATATATAATAGGGCTATTAGTTAGGCCTTCCTAAAGAACTTTATATTTATAGGCCTTATATCTTATATGAAATATTATAAGTTCTTCTAATTCTGGATCTATTTAAATCTAATAAAACGCTTATTAAATATCTAGCTTTATATAAACCTTAGCTTAAGCTAGCTATATAAGAGTTTTATAAATAAGAGAAAAAGAATAATAATTCTTTTATATTAAATTATTTAGCTTATAATAGTTAATATAGAATTAGAGAGCTCTATTAGTTTTTGTTATAAAGAGAATAGGAAATATAAAAGGGAACTAGCTTGACTTAATAAAGCCTTATTAGAGGTTCTTTTCGAGAAAACGCTTAATCTCTTATAGCTTATAAGTTAATTATTAATAAAGCGGGAAATATTCTAGGCTTTCTAGGCTTTTAGAATTATTAATCTAAATCTTATAGTTATATAATTAATATAGGAATAAGATATTTAATACTTTTTTTAAGAAAATATCTATAAAATCCTTAAATTCCTCTAGTAAGACTCTTACTAGCTATTATAGCTCCGTTTCTCCTGGCTATTATTTGCCTGAAATAAACTTATTCTCTTATTATAATTCTAGCTTTTTATTAATCTCGAAAAATAATATTATAAAGAAAAAGTTCTTTTTCTTTTATAAGTTTATCTAGAAAGCGGCCGGCGAGATATTTATAATATTAACTATAGGCCTTAACTAGCTCTTATAGCTTTTTTTTTAGATAGTATAATTTTAATATCTCTATTTCTAGCTTAGGAGAAATCTCTATATTTCCTAAAATTACCTATATTTCTTTATAGTATTAAGCTTAATTTCTTTATTATATATGGCTTTCTGAGCCTGGTTTAGGAAAAGAATAAGAGAGTTTTCTCTTTATAAGCTAAGGTTTCTAGAACTTATTTATAGCTATAACTTTGTTTCTTCTATTTATATTTTCTTAATACTAGTTACTTTTTTCAGGTTTTAAGTTCTTATATATAATAATTAGAACCTTATTCTAATTCTTTTTTCTAGGCTAATTATTTAGCTAGATTAATTTTCTATTCTTATAATTAATTAGAATACTAGTATTTATAAATTACTATTATCCTAAAATTATATTATATTCTTCTAGTCTTATAACTAGTAT